GCCCCCCGACCCATGGCGAGCGGGCCAATTTACCGAGACCGGCCCCAAAGAAACAACTAGACAATCGCTCAGTTATTAGTACTCCGTACGTTCTGTTCTAGATGGTAGAGCCTCGAATACGGCGATGCCACACACCGTGGCCTCGAGGGATTGGCCAGCCTAGGTGAAAGGCCCCGAGTCCGGCAGGCAAGAGCCACTTGACATGACAACAGGCTGTGGCAATCACAAATGAATCATTCGCAACGACACCATTGACATCAATTCAAGCAGAGTGCACTTTTCAATTGAAGCTCGGCCGGGTTAGCCGCTATTACACGAACGCAACTTTCACCCCGAAGATGCATTTAACTGAACGCGCGTCAATCAATTATTGACTATCTGTCAAAAAGTCAAAATGCATGGGGGACAAGGAAAAGAGCCGAACAATGCTGGCCGTCATCTGGTGTCATAGGTCTGTCAGCTCCTGCAACCCACGATCCACTGGCTTTGATTCCAATTAACCTTGCATCAACATTGGCCACACCATGCGCCACGGCGGTGCAGGCCGACGTCGAATTCCAGAGGCCGAGCCATCCTTTTTGTGCTCCAACTTCCAAGCAAGAGTCGACCATATTTCCAGCCACTATGATACGTGGTGAGCGAAACAATACAGCCAGGCCCAGCGAAAATACCCAAGAGACAAATCTAGCATCAGGAAGGTTTCAGCGCGTCGTCTGCCCAGGCCGGCGATGGTCCAAGCACGCATCGGACGGGGTCGTTCTGACAGGGCTTGGTATCCCTGCAACCATGTCTTATCCAATGATGGCGCGGAAGACAAGGCCGAACTCCTGGCCACCGCCGCCTTCACGACGCCTGGTATCCATACGGATACATGTCGGGGGCCTGTCATGCTTAGGGCCCGTGATGTTGCATCAGGTCGCTTGCAGCCGGTCAAGAAGCCGAGTCCCTGTTGACACTGGACAGTTCTTTTCCTCCGTCACAGGCTCACAGCCGCATGTCGACTGTAGTTTTCCATCTTTCATCACACAATGGGGATTTGTATCAGCTTAGTTTGCGTGGATGATCCGATCGTCTGATATCTAATCTAATTAACCATATCCTCTTCTAGACCCTCCCTTTGGTTTGTAACTTCTTCATCCATACTTCACTGACTGGTCACAACCTTTGCCTTTCTCTTCTATCCTTACTGCTGGTTCAGTTTTTAGTTCTACCGGAGCTGGGCTCCTTTTGTGCGACAACAGATACCTACTAGAGAAATCGGTAATCGGGAATGATGGAGAGGGATATGGAAAAGGGCGAGATTGATCCAGTGCGGCCAAAGGAGAGCCATGCTGCACCGGAGAAGGCACCGAGGAGAATGTCGTTCGCGAGGCCGCCGCCGCCGCCCCCAAAAGACGAGCCCGCACGACCGATGACGAGTTCGACGAAGCGGCTGTCCTTTTCGACGACAATGAGTCAACGCAAGATCAAATACGGGACTGGAAGACACTCGCAAACAGAACTGAGTCCTCAGCCGAATGATGACCCAGATGATCCGTTGGTATGTTCGGTCCAGCATTTTACAGTGGGCGGAGACTAACGAGCCTGTCGCAGAATTGGCCGCAATGGAAGAAGGAACTCAATTTCATCGCTCTACTAATGACCGTAGGCCTGATCGGAGGGATGAAGACGGCATACATGAGCGTCAATAGCGTTCTCGCCGTCAGGTTTAATGTCTCTTATACAGCAGTGGCATCCTTGACGGCCGTACCGCTCGTCCTATCTGCCTTCACAGGTCTCTTTAGTCTGTCAGTGTCAAAGATATGGGGAAAGAGGCCGGTTTACTTGGTCTCGATGGTGTTGATCTTCATTGGCGCGATTTGGAACATGCGCTCAGGCGACAGCTTTGGGCAGTGCATGGGAGCGCGCGTCTTCCAGGGCCTCGGTTGGGGTGCCTTTGATACACTTGTTCTCGCTTCAATACAAGACACTTACTTTGTAAGTCAGCGCAATGATGTTCCATTCGCAGAATGCGGTTGGAATAGCCACTCACTGACATCCATCTAGGAACATGAGCGCAGCGCTCGCATCACGACTTACCACGTCCTTTCAATTTCAACGACCTGGGGAGCCCCCTTGTTCGGTGGCCTGGCCTCGTTTAACGCGGGCCGCTTTACCATCCAGTTCGACATTATCAACGCCTTTCAGATCATCGCCATACCGCTGATCCTCTTTGGTGCTCCTGAAACGACTTACGATAGATGGTCTAGTGGGAGCATCGCCCAAACCCCTGCGTCCGGGGTGTCGTGGATGTCAAAGGCCCCGAAACCACTCGGAAAGCCATCTGTCGAGGAAGTCAAGGCTTACCTGCGTACCATGAAGCCCCTGTCCTTCTCCGGCATGACGGATGTGCGCACGATTCTCCAAGCCCCGCGAGCTTTTGTCGCGCCCACGACCCTTCTGCTCTTCGTCATCACCTTCATTCCGTACTGTGCGCTGTGGAGCTTGACGGAATCTCTGTCGCTCCTCTTCTTCCCCATGCCGTGGATGCTCCGAGAGAACAGTATCGGTTCTCTTATGGCGGCACCCTTTATTTTCGCGATAATTACCGCTACTGGCCTTTCCGTTTACCAGAAACGCAATGTCGGTTACTCCCCCTACCAGACCTTTTGTACCTTGGCCGGTGGAACTGTCCTCGCGGCTACTGGCATCCTCGCATTTGGACTCAAGACGCACGCCGTCATGTCTGAAGTAGCTGACGAGGACCCTGCCAGCGTCTTCAAGTTGGATGGCGTAGGCGCACACCTCTCCTTCCCTCTCCTGTCCTTCCTGCTAGGCTTCCTGGCTGCAGGTGTCACGGTCATTGACACCGCGATCCGCCCCATCATCTGGCGCTCGACGCAGTTCACCTCGTCTAACATGAACGTGTGCCTGCGGAACGTGGCCGATATGGATGCCGGCGTGACGTGTTGGAGGAACTTGTTCGCTGGTGTCTTTGTCATGACGATTCCTAATGCGATTGTCATGTGGGCCGGGTTAAAGTCGACCGTTATCGGGCTCGGGGTCGCCCAGATCTTGGTCGCGATGGCGGTTTGTTGTACGTGGTGGTTGTATGACGGGCAAGTGAGGAGGATGGACGGACACGTCATGGGCCTGGTTGATTTGAGCATGTTGAAGAGGACTGGGAGCTTCTTTGATATGGATTGAGGGCCGCGTGGTTGTGAGACGTTTCGAATAATGACTGGGAATGATTCGATGATGAGTCCAAGACAAATGAAGGGGGTGGGTGGCACATATGATGGTGTCTGGCTCAGTCGGGCTGAGTCGGACTGAGTCGGACTGATTCGAAGGTTGGGGGCTGGTCTCAATACATGCGGGGACAGGAACTATCTGTTCCACTACTTTCTTTTGTTTGAGATACCACCATATTCGACGGCAAGCAGTGCTGCAGAGGAGCCGGGGCAGCAGGAGGGATTGATCAGAGACAAGGCAGGATAAGAGTGAAGGTGTCAAAAAGGAAAGAGAGAGTGGGAGAAAGGGGCAACTGGCAAGCTTTTTCAAGCACCCACGGTGAAACTATATAGTCTTCCGAATCAACTTGGCGGAGGGGAGGACACGAGTAATGGAAGCACCTCGTTCATTTTTGCTTCTTTCCAGTCTGCTGATGCCGCACTTGAATACTTGCATGTTTGCTTCGCGGTGCTTTCACCTTCTAGTTCGACAAGGTTACAAAGAGGAGAAGGGTGTTGTGATTTTCTTTTTCCCTGTCTTGTATTTGAAGCAGGAAGATGCAGCATAGTCCCGGTCGGGGGAGATCAGGGCCGGAGGCGTAATGCGCGGGTGGAGGGTCTCTAAGTTTCAGGGTGGGGATTTGTGCGAGGTGATGTGGATTTGGCTTGGCTCGTGGTGGAAACGCACAGCATGAGCTGCCCTGTAGCCTCGAAAGAGTTTTGATAAAGCAGGGGAGGCTTCGGGTTTTGATTATAGGATTATGGTTATGCCGATGTTGCGAATTTGTGTGTATCCAGATATTTACGTGGTGTCGTTGTGCTTCTTTCGAACAGATCTGGCATTACCTCAGTCTGTGTTTCTGGAATGGTGACAGGTCGGGTTGAAATTGCGTTTTCAGGCTGGAGGATGCTCCGTCTGATGTTCGGATGGGGGCTGAGGTTGGACTCATCTGATACTTGGGGATATTGGTGTGTTGCGATTGGGTTAGCTTGTTGGTTTGATCGTCTGGAGTCTTCGAGGGCCGGGGAGAGCGCGGCGGATGCGGATGGCGGGCGGAGAGTTTGGGGCGTCCGCCGTCTGATCTTCGGGTGGGGGCTGTCAGGGAGCGTTTGGTGGCTTTTGCGGATTTGGATGGACGCATTGTTGATTTTCGTCTTTGTATGTCATTTCATCGAGGGATAAAGAACTCAGGAAACAGGTTTCGTTGAGAAAGTTGCTGCTTTGTAGACGATTTTGTGTTTGTCAAATGGTCAGGAGAGGGTGGTATCGTGATCGTTCTGGGAGTCTTCTCTGATGACTGCTTTCGGATTTGAGGTCGTTCAAAACGTAGATGGCTCATCATTGAAGACTTCAATGAAATAATGGGATGAGGATAATCGCAGCAGAAGGAGTGAATTTCCGTCCGTGTTCTCAATAATTACCTTTAACTTAGTTGTCGACTTGCGAATTATTCGAGGGACGGTTTAGACTGAAGTGTGCTTGTCTATCATTACTAAAGTAGGTATATCTCTTTAACTCGTCTTGAAATTCCTCTCCTTTCCAAAGTATCGCACCACAAAACGATTCATCATTATTTTCACTCCTCCTTCGTTTCCTCCCACTGCTTCCCGTAACGTTCTGCCCGCCTCCGAAGGCCCGAAGAGACTGGAATCTAACATGACAAACCCCTCATCGACTTAAGTTCCCATCCTCCATACTTTAGGCCGATTACATTCTTCATTATCGTATTGGTATAGGAACATTTCCTCAAAGAAGTGTTCACCTGGAGTATGACGTCGATGCTTCCGTCTCTACATCCTCTCGACCTTTCTTCTCGGCTGTCCCATTTCCTGGTCTTCAACCGAGCCAGTCGAAGTGATCTCCTCGGTGTGCATCGGCGCCTTGCGGTCGACAGAGACACCACGGGTCGTGCTGGTGCGGCGGAAGTATCGGAAGTCGGTGAAGGAAACAACGGCGGTGTATGCGGCCAGGAGGCTATGGTACGGAAGTACAGTCAGCTCATGTTTCCAAGTTGAAGGCGGACAAATCGTATCTCGGCTTTGATTCTGGTGGGAACGTGTAAACTTACTTGAGGAAGATACCGCATCCTACAATCACCCAGCTGAGAATGCAGCTAGTTCCAATGCAACGCTGAATGTTACCCTGGATGGACATGAAGACGACGGCGCCCCAAAAGACTGGCTCGAGGCCGTTGAGGATGGCGTTGGCTTTCAGGGAAGCCCAGCCCCGGCCTCGGGCCCAGTGCTGCGTTGCGATTTGGTAGATGATGAAGACCATTGATTTCACGGACTGTTTGATTATGGTGTTAGACCACTCCATTCCTTGACTCCTATTGTCGGACAAACTGCGCCAGAATTGAATCGTCCCAAGAAACTAGACTGCTGGAGGAGGGTAATGGGGAAAGGCTGTACTTACTATACCCAACGACATGGTGTTCGTGCGAGTAACTGGGCCGCCCTTGAGGAATATTCTTGCGCCCGAAAGTCCCATGACGATGTGAATCACAATGATTTGCACAATGTGGACCTTCATCATGTGCCGGTTGTCGAACAGGGGCATATTGGCGATTCTCTCCATGTTTGCTTTGGTAATGGGTGGTAATTAGCGGGTGATATGTGATCGTGTACTCGTCGACGGGGAGGAGAAGGTCGAATAATTGAGGATTTTCGGTGTTGAGAATAATTGTATCCTGCGATGCGGTGGTTTCCAAGACGCAGAGATAATCATGGAGGCACACAGGTTTCTATATGAATTATCCCCAACCACGTAGGTTCACTCTATACGCGTACGGCCTTCCCTTGGCCAGTGTAATGATGAACCGCATCATCCGCAAGTGGTTGACAAAGCCAGCACAGCAGCGAAAACGCCCAGCGTCAGTTAGTATGGCTGTGAAGCTGGAACGTCATGTTACTATCTCGAGGGAAAATGGCAGTGCAAATCAGCCCGTCGGTCTCGGTTTCCCATGGAAGTGGGCCTGTTGAACACCCTTGTTCTCAACCTACCAGCAAGCTTGATTAGCATTTTTGATAGCGGAGCGCCAACCCGCACGCCGCCAAAAAACCCAAAATGTCGGTCTCGGTTTACAGTGGCTTTGTAGACCCTGGTTCAATTAAACGTTTAAGGTTCTGGTGGCACCGGGCTAGCCAAAAAAAAGTCTCGCTGCCAAGGAAGGACCTAGACATGGTTGGTGACGATCTGCCATCTGAAGATTGGATTGTTTGCCCCGGGAATCTGGTAATTAATGAGGATTTGAGATAAATGGCGAATAAGACGTCCGTAAAAGTGTCCGTTGGTTGTTGGGGCGCTGCTATGTCACTGTCTCGTGCCGGTTGAGCCTTGAGGCTGTTGATCTTGCGCACGCAGATGTTTGCTAGACCAGCCGAATCGATTCTGTCCCATCCCTGACAACCAACCTTCACAACCTTGACCAACCTTGACAGCCCTGAACCCCCCTGCTCCACAATTGCTCATCATTCTCCAAAGCATCAGCTTACCTTACGGCTTACCTCACATGAAAATGGATTTCCCGGAAAATTAAGATTTGGTGCTAGAGCGCACTTATTCTGTAACTGGAGGGGGTTTGATTGGTGATTAGCAAGCCCGGATTCTCCGGTTAATCGGCACTAACGGCAGCCACAGACTCACAAATAATGTATTGCGCCACGCCGCGAACTGGTTCGAGACTCTTCGGTTTCTCTATCGCGGGGAAGCGATAGAGAAACTTTAAAAGCCTTTCGGCGACCTGATGCCCTTTTAAGCTTCGGTTCGTGAAGAAACGGAAGGTGCAAGAATGGCGCAACAGGATTATGGATTCGTGGAGTTGAATGGACTTAATGGAGTCGCATGAGTTATCCCGCCTTCTCAACTATGCTTCTAAAACTGTTCCTCGAGTAGCATTTGACAAATTGAAAGAAAGCTAGATCTCATGAACACCCCACTCCTGTAAGATATGACTCCGACCCCCACATCAGACTCACACTCGTTTCAATATCTGGTGCAAACTACACAATACTTTTGAGACCTGACCCCATGAAATCTTGGATTAGAAATTAAGTACTTTTGATGCAACAAACTCGTTTGTTGTATTTCTGGAGCAGTGGAAGGTACGAATCCTGGTACCAACTCAGGCAAGTCATTTGTGCTTCCGTAAGTCGTCTTGGACACCACGCGGCGGCGGGAAGGGGTCTACATGGGAACGAAAAGTCTACAAAAGGCCCAAAGAAGCTACATCTCGCAGTCTCCCCACAGTCTTGACACAAGACAATGAATATAAAGGTTTCGCATGAGCTCCACAGCTTTGTCCGCGAGCTACCTACACTAAACAGTTCGATCCGGACCACAGACTCAACAGCATATCAGGGCACCCTTAATAGGGTAAACTAGAGCCAACAATCCCCGTGAACTAAGGATTTCAGGAGTTCTGACTACTCAAGGTGGATTCATAAGCAGAGAGTTCCCCCGCTGTCTGGAGGTAGGGTAGTGTTCAGTTCTTGTCTTCGGGAATCAATTTGCCCCTATTCCGGCAATCTCCAATTGATACGCACTTCCGTTTCAGTCAGGCTCTTAGTTGAGTCCCACATAGGTAGTCTTGATTCACGCAACCAATGGGTAGTATCCAAAATGCCGAAGGCTTCCAGGAGATGAAGCAGGCGGTGTAATGGAGATGGCGACTTCGTGCTCAATCATCCCGTCCGGGTCAAAATACGATTTTGTCTTCGCCTTGACCTGCACAGACCGCGCTGAGCTTTCCGCGAAGACGAATGCCTCCTCTGCCTTCTGCGAAGTGAGACTCGGTTGATTAATTGCTCTTATCGACATGGGTGTAAGTGTCATGGGACCCGCCGAGGACTGGAAGGTGTCGCAGCCGGAGGGCGTAACTTTGTTATCCTTCTGCAGGCGAAAGTCCGTGTCGAACAGCTTTCTCATGGCGTCGACTAATGATGCTGATATCGCGGTGACATTTTTGTAGCCGAACTTTCAGTAGTTGGGAATGTTCACCCACGGTTGCAGCTCTTTCCAATGCCCCTGCTGCACAAGTCCCATTGCGACGTTTGAATGCGGATATTCCCAAGTATCTTATGATGCGAATTGATCCGGTTTCAGGCCATCCAAGTCTTTATTCGGTGATATGATCCAGAAAGTACCGACTCTGGTAGATGTGAGTTGGCCAGTGACGAGGGTTGACTGATGTATTCGGTTCCACACCCGCGGTGGCGAAGTACCGATGATTTCGAGTGCCCAGAGTTGTGACTGCAAGGTTTCGTATAGTAATGTGAAGTGATGCTCCAAATAGAACAGAATTGTGCCGGACTGTAGTATAGAAAGCGTTCTGGGAATGTGATCCTCGAATCATTCGTGACAATGTGCCGGATCCAGGTAACTTGTAGGTAGGACCCTTCGCGCGCGCCTTGCAAAGTAATAGGATGTTCGAAAGACTTGCAGATAAGCACGGCGACATCCAAGATGTGGGTAACTGAGTTTGTGCCGCAGATCTATCATGTGCGTGGATCAACCTCCTCGAGTTCCAGAGTGGCTACCGTGGAGTTGAGTCTGATCCGGGCCTGGCACGAGGACCCTCCATAGTGGCGATTCACGCTCATCGTAGAGTTTCAAGCCATTAATGCCCAGCCCGACTCCCTTGTTCGTCATTTGAATGTCGCGGGGTCATCTCCCAGCTCCGATCCAGGAGGAATATCAATACAGTCCCAAAAGTTGGAAGGCGAGCTAGCAAGCAGACCCCGATGCCGTTGTCCGAAGATGTCATCAAGTTTCTCCACTTCACTATTCCAAGCAAACATGGAGAGATCAGTGAAATCTTGTAATATTGCTACTTGAAGATGATAGAATGCCTTGGATTCCTCGCCGTAGATTAGAGGTATTTTCACGTCAAAGATGCCGAACAAGCTGCATGCGCGGTCCTCCTCTTGAGCGGTATGTCTTTCCGCGGCCCAAGACATTCTGCTGGCGATTGGTATGCGATCCAAGCGGCTACAATCTTCGAGGACATGGGAACTCATACGTGTAATCTCGGATATCTGCTTGCGCAAAGACTCCTCTGTGCCGTAGACTGTCTAGTGACTGCCCAGTACTTGTCGAGGAAGACTACCTTACTTGGTTACGAGAAGCTCCTGTAAGGTCCATCCCCGAGTAAACCAGCGGCAGTCCTCGAAGTCCACGCCAGGAGCCCCCTCTTCTGATAATCGACCGTTGACCGCTAGTAGCATTACGAAATCGGAGAGATGGGGGTAGCAAATCTCGGCCTCTTGATACCACCGCCACATGGAATTGATTGATTCGGTTAATTCGGCACTGCTGCTCTTGTTGATGCAACATGTATCGACCCAGGCCCAATCCATGCCAGATGCCTTGGCAATTTCGCACCTCTTGGCAATCTTGGCAAATCCTTTCTTCGTGGAAGCAACGGCGAGGTTGCTCATGTATCTATGCGACGCTTCCTCTCGATCCCATGTATGAGAGAGGATGGCGTATCTTGTTCCCTTTGAACGTTCATGAAGTTTAAGTGTTGTTATGTCTATGAGTTACATGCTAACCATTGAGCGAGTCTTGGCTAAGGCCAGAGGTTGATTATATTTGACATGCTAATTGGTAAGGAGAAAGAAAGTCCTTAAAACCAGACTTCTAGAGTTCAAATCTGACTTCATGGGCGGGGGTTTGCCTTGGTCGGGAATCATTGGCCCAAGTGAACCACAATTTCAGCCTACAGCTAGGCGAAGCCACGAACCAATAGGGATATTATCTAGCATCACCTTCGGCTCCAGAGCCATGACATGGCCTACAGATGGGACAGCCTTGTCGCATCAGTGCGGGGTGATAGATCGTCCGCCTCATCAGTCTTTTATCACATAATGACAAAGTCTAAGAAGGCCACCTTTTGCTAACATCACATTAAATTAGAGGACAGCTCATTAACTAGTCGAATTGTACTGGAGCCCAATAACAGCTATTTAAGGACGAGGATCGCTATAGTGTAGATCGGTTTCGCAAATTTGAAGGCTACATCCGAAGGGAAGCTGATGACAACACACTCCCCAATTCCTGTCTTGGTCGTGCCCTCCATTCAAGAGAAGCCATTTTAGCTTTCGAGGTTGAGAACGATCTTCTTCAAAGCGCTCCTTGAGTGGATAGCTAGGCCCAGATTTACTACTCGGTAGAACGGATGTGTTTCGTGCAATAGGATGTCATATGACGGGTGACCAATCTTTAGCAACATCCATCTCGAATCCAGTACTAATTATGAGCAGGGTTTGCTAATCGTGGAGAAATTTACACATAGGTACGTTTGAAACCAATCGTGTTGCCAGTATTTGTGATGACTGAGTCTTCAGGTATTCCCGAATATTTCGCAGTGACAGACTAAGACCAAAGAACAAGTAATGGGACATTGGATCGAAGACAAAGATTTCTGGATTCCACTTTGAGCAGAAATGGACGAAAGACTCGCCGACTCATCAATACATATCTGCAGGACGAGAAATGGCATATGTGATTAGCACGCGTGGATCGCCAGCATGAGGAACCAACTTGACTTACGCTGGCAAAATTGAACCACTTTAGTAACATTGTCAGCACATCCCCGTTCCGTAACGTCACATGGACAAGTAGGCTTCGGATTTCTCTGGCGCTAAGGCTTTGAGGCGTGCTTTTGACCTCACCTGGATGTTGGCGCTTAAGCCGTCATTACCCAACTATATCCTCATTAAGCAATGTGTCTTTCGTCCGAAGTGAGCCTCCTCGCGTACCGTCCTTCCCTCTTCGTACATTCGTATCGACCATGGCCGCTGCCTAAGAGTAGGGGGCTGCATCGAGAAGGTCTCAAGTCACCTCTACTAGTTTAATTATCGACGAGCGACTAGACACGGGTCACCACTCAACCCCCCACGTACCCCGTGTCTCTACCCAGTACCTAAGCGTCGAATGTTGAAATCACAGCGCGATCGCCAGTGGGTGCAAGGTTGACAACCCATCGACGAGTTTGAAGGATCAAAGTAATTAGTCGAGCTGCATATCCACCCGGACACTTCATGTGCTAGGTGCATGATAGTGCTCGGGCCGAGACGACTAGGTTGAATGATTGGCTGCGAAAGCTTCCGGTTGGGGCTGACGACTCCCCCCAGCATCACATTTCACAATCTCAAATGCTCTTAGACTTTTGGCTGTTTAAAAACGCTCCAATCTTACTGCATTTCTGAAGGCTGACAGGCGCTCTGATTCCTTGTGATGATTGAGGCGGACGGCTTCAGCCGGTACTCTGAATCCTTGCTAAGTCATTCATGATAAGGCATGCCGCGTCGGAGCAACGGGAGAGCAGATGAGGCACAACGGGATGCAGGGGCCTCAAAGAAGATCTTACTTGGCACTTTTGCCAACGAATAGACGCCGACCTAATCGTAAATCGTGCACAAACGACAAGGATTATGATCCAAAAGGTTCTCGTCGCTCAAATTTCGTGAATAACGGCTCGCGACCGAGAGCCGCGCTTGCGAGAGTCCGCACCGAGTCCCGGTGTGAGCAGTACTTGTGAATACTTTCCCATCCGTTCTTGTCTAGTCGTCGCCCGGGAGGCGTGCGATGGGTCAACGTCTCGGTTCGCGCCGGGCTTAGCGGTAGACTTTGTCTCTTCGGCTAAGCATTACAAGATCCATGGCATGTTGGATTTATCTTTCGTCTACGTTTGCCAAGTCAGGAAGCCTATCAGCCAAGCTTACTTACGTATACGTGTAAGCACAAACGTCGTTGGCGTTCAATCCCGACACCTCATACATACCCTCTTTCACACCGGAGCACTCAGTTTTCGAACAAACTAGCACTTACAGCAATCGAGGGAGACAGTTTCCATGCTTGCGTCTATGCTATTCCTCTTCCCTTTCCCACATACCTTTCAGATTCTACACCACAATGGCCTCGAGTTGGCCAGAACGGCAGCAGCAACGGTCAAATGAGAAGTCGGTGAGTACGGGGCCGGTGTTGGTGCCTAGTTCCCCCTCTGCAAGCGGAGAGCAGCATGATGGTGATGAAAATCTGCCCCCTCGAGACAGTGGTAGGGCCGCTTGGACCAGTCTCACTGCTGTCTCCGTCATTGCAATGGCAACTTGGGGTGAGTCAAGCTGAGGTTTTCCCTGTCGCAAGCCAGCACTAGAATTGACAATCATGGTTGTAGGCTTCGGGGCTACTCAGGGCGTGTTTCGAGAATACTATTTCAAGACTCCTCCCTTGGAAGGGAATCAATTGGTCGCTTCTACCGGCCTGTTAGTGGTGGTGAGTACCCTGACCGTGCACTCGCACCGCCAAACTAAGTTCTACAAGGGCCTATTACAAACCTTGCCGCCGTTTCTGCTCAAGATCATCACTGCCTACCCTCACTATAGACTCTACATGATGTGGAGCGGTATGCTTCTAGTGGTAGCATCCTCAATCGGTGCTGCCTTCTCTACTTCTGTAAGCAGCTCACGAACGATCGTCATCTTTACTTGAGAATGTTAACAGTTTGTCATAGGCAGTGCAGGTTATCATGACACAAGGGCTCATGTATGGGTTCTCAAGTGGCCTCCTCTTCGCACCTTGCCTAAGCTTCGTGGATGAGTGGTTTCTCAATCGACGTGGTCTTGCCAACGGCATCTTGTATGATGCCCGGAACCTCGTCCTGGTGGCGAATGAGGCAACGAGCTAACTCATGGTGCCAGTTTCGGGGCCCCTAACATCGCGGCTGCTGGTCTCTCTCCAATCTTTTCCGTTCTGTTGAAGCGCTTCGGACCTCGTACAACGTTAATTGGATGGGCTGTGTTTACAGCAGTTATCATATCGCTTGGCATTGTATGCGTCCGCCCTCGTCGTACAAGCAAAGCGGAGATGGAGGCTGCAGCTCGGCAACGATCGTCTACCACCAGAGTTTTCAGAAAGCCGGTGTTCTGGCTCTTTGTTCTTTCGATGACGCTTCAGAGTCTGGCAAACAATCTACCGGCGAACTACTTGCCCAGTTACGCTACGGATCTCGGTGTCTCACCGGAGAAAGGTGCATTGCTGGTCACATTCTTGTCGCTGTTTGGAATCATCGGCCAAATCTCTCTTGGAGCCTTGACGTGAGTAAACCGCCCCCGAGGTCTACGAATGACTCTTTGCTAACAGACGTATACAACAGAGATGCGATTGGACCTTTGATACCCATGCTGCTAAGCACCCTCGTCAGCAGCTTTGCGGTCTTTGTTATATGGGGATTGGGTAGATACTACTGGAATATGGTGATTACTTCGATATTGTTTGGAGCATTTGCCTTCAGCTTCATGGTTCTAAGAAGCCATATGGCGGCCATTGCAGTCGACGATCCCGAGCGGCCTGCCGAGGAACTCTTCGTCTCCGGCATCCTTCTATTCACTAGGGGTGTCATAGGCGTAGCGTCAGGCTATATCGCCGCAGCTGTTCTCCAAAACAGCGAGCACATTGGAGTACAGCCTGGGTACGGTGCTGGAAAGTGGCGCCCATTGATCATTCTGTTGGGAACTACGATGACAGCGGCTACCCTAGGAGCCTTCGGATTTCTAAAGAAACGGAAGACAACTTGAGATCTGCCATTGTCTTCTCAAAGTTAGATTGCGCAGATTGGATTCGACTGGAGAAATAGGAGAGCGGTACTCTAGATATACCTTCGCAAATGGTGCCAATGAGGTGCAATTCTGTTCACTACACGCGTACTTTGAACATGTAGGCTGAGCGCTGTTGCATCACCAAATCGATGAAGCGAAACCATCTAGATTACTTTGGTGAAGCCCCTGATAACTGTTTTACACGTGAGACCTGGAAAAACAGATGATCGCTTATTGAACATTTGGTTCGTACATGTAGTTCTTGAGGATAAAATTTTGCTATTGGAAGGTCTTGCACGCGAACAAGGTTTCGTTGGCAAGAAAACTAGTATACGCTCTCGAGCGAGTACGTCTCAGAATTTGAATTTCAAAGTAGAGATGACACAACTTCTGTCTCTCTTAACAGCCCGTCCCATCGATGTCCTCGAACAGAATAGTACTCGCAATTTTTCACAAGAGTTCCCTTCCCAGTGTCGGCATCGAAGACATAGCAACCGTTCCTGACAATATTGGGAGGCGTGTAGAGATGAAGCGAAACGGCAAAGTCGTCACTGTTGTTCCACATCTTGTGCACACCCTGGTCATCACTCATATAGGCCACATCGTTCTCTGTGTAAACTGACTCCAAAGCCACATCCATGGTTGCATTCCTGTCGCCTAGGGGGATTGAAATGTTTTCTCGGTTCGATTCTTGGGGAAAGTCGTAACGTGTCTCTGTTAGGCTGCCTTTGAGGATTTTCATCAAACAGTGTGCGTTACTGTGACTATGGATGGGGCTTCCCTTGCCGGGCGTCCAGACGAGGACCAACTGTATTCACGTCGTTTAGAGACTGATGAACGTGTTTGATTGACACAGGACTTACCAAGTTACTCTTGCCGTTGCCCTCGTCTACAAGGTTTCGAGTATATGCCATGCTAGGATTGGCTAGTGCAAAGGCTTTCCATTCTTTCTCGTCGCTGGTATAGGTCTTCATGAGGTCCATCAAGAAGTCAAGGTCGATGTCATCACAGGTCAAACCTGAAGAACCGAGAGAGTCCTTCAAGGCTGTCACAAGATCATCGAACTTGCTAAGACCTTTCAGGCTAGTTGTGTCTTCGAAGTGCGGCATTGTGAGAAGCTTGAAATCGTCTTGACTCAAGCTGAACCCGATGCGAGGAATGACTTGGAAAGCGGCCATGATAACACGTCCTTTTCAACCTCAAACCCTAGTCTATAGGCCCTACTTCCACGTAAGTCCCAGTACTATCACGTAAAACCGTATCGGAAAGTCATTGAATTTCCATTTCCTATCGATTCATCTGGATTCTGCCTAGTCGAGCTGTTTAAATCGGGCATGTTTTCAGTCGGGGGCTGACATGCATAGTGCGGTGGCAACTCTGTGATTATCTCGACGATATTTTGGTTATCACTTCAGGTCGTTCTCAGACTTGATTTGAGCAGGGAAGCCGAGGTGATCAGTAGCGTGAAAGTGATTGCGCCGAGACACGGCTATGACTCCATTCCGATCCTTCCCCCCACATCCTCACCGGGCCACCCTCTCCCTGCAATGCAACGCTTACATTCCCGTTGCGCCGCGTTTCTGTCTTAGCGGCGAACGCCCTCCCAAACTTTGTATATGCACTTTCCTCTTCTAGTCATACCGTAGAAACTCGAGCAACTCGAACTTGCGCTAGCCCGTGCCAGCCCTGCTAGCGGCCCACACTAAGCCCTTTCGAGGGATCAGTTTTATCCGATTATATAATCGACTAAACCGTATACGGAAGGCGGTAAGTGATTATTTTCCATTTTTTACTCCTACCCAACTGCCCACTTCCACCGATTACATCACCGATTTGACCACCAATTATACTGTCAATTATACCTCCAATTACACCTCCACCACGGGCCTCGTCGACGTGCCCACGATGCCCTCACGACGGGCCCTTGCCGAGAAGGATTCGAATACGGCAAAAGTGCCAATTACACCTCCAGCAGCTAAGCGCCGCGGGCCTGCTCCTACCCCCATCAAAGACCGGAAATATACACCGCGAAGTGGCCCAATCAAGCGCCGCCAGCACCACTATACCCACGATACCAAAGTCAACGTCCTGATGTTTTTAGAGCATCACCGCGTGAGGAAGCTCGACGAAGAGTCGATTTGCCCCCCGAGGCTGCGCCAGGGCGAGACCGAGCTCCCAGGGATATACAGACGTCCCACATACCAGGAAGCCGCAGATTGGTTCAAAGTCCCTCGAAGCACGGTTATCTCCTGGTATCAGAACCGCGAGTCAATCGTCAATCGGTCCTCCAACTACGCCTACCACCCTCAGTGGCCAGAGCTCGAGACAGCGCTATACGGCGCCTTCCGCCAGCGACGAAGTGAGGGAAAGCTCGTTAGTACCAGTTGGTTCAAAAGGACCGCTAAGCGGATTTTCGCCCAGCAGAACCCGAACAGCAAACATCTTTTTATTTTTTCCCCCGGTTGGTTTCGTGGCTTCCAGAATCGTATGAGAATTACCCGACGTCGACTTACCAAACAGGCAACGAAGTTACCCACTGAGTACTTCAAAGTTGTCAACAGCTTTCTTTCCTTTATCCGACGAGTTAATCAAATGGCCCTGGCTAAGGTGAAGCGGTCTAACGTCGGAGATTTACTCGGAAGTCCAGCCCGTCGATTTCCTAACTCGCGAATTCTCAACCTCGACGAGACCCCAGTTCCTTTCGAATACCTAGACGGTTACACATACGACGACGTCGGGGCCAAAACCGTGGCTGGCAAGAGCGACCGCAGCGGTTGGGGCAAGCGGCAGGCCACATTAATACTCTACATCTTCGCCGACGGCATACAACGAATTAAACCGAAAATAATATTCCACGGCAAGCCCGCAGAGGAAGGGGGTCAATTATGGAAAAAAGAGGGCCTATTATACGCAGAAGGAGTGACAGTTGAGTTCAACAAGACTGCCTACAACAATGAGTACTTGTTCAAAAGATGGATTGAAGAGGAATTGGTAGCGCTGACTAAGGGAGACGAGTACCTATTGGTAATGGATGTCGCTTCCTTCCATAAGACAGATTCCATCCTTGCGCTATTACGTCAGCACCACATCACACCCTGCCTCATACCGCCAGGGACCACTTCCCTCCTCCAACCTCTCGATACCGCAGTCAATAAGCCCTTCAAGCAGTGGCTTTCAGAAGCAACCGACGCTTACGTACTCGACGAGGAAGAAAAAGCGCTGAATAAGCAGGAGGAGCTCAAGTGGGAGACGGGTATGAAGAGAATAATGGTCACCAAAACAGTCGAGACGGCAGCCGCTAAATTGGCCCACGAGAAGGGCTCAATGGTCAGCCAGGCCTTCCTGCAGTGCGGAATATCTATTCGGCCCGATGGCAGCCAGGTCGACGAGATCCGGATCAAAGACGTGCCCGCCGAGGCCATCGATTACACTGGGTGGGAGCTCTTCGACGTAGAAGCCCACATTGAGCAGGAGACGCTGCAAGAGGAGATTCCAGACTTCGCTGTTCTGAACGACGGGTTAGAGTACATTTTCACAGCAGAGGAAGTCCGTGATGGCATCAATGGGCAGATCGTCGACCCGACAGTCCAACCGCCGTATGAATAGGGGCCCGTTGGAGGCAGTGGGCCAGGGGACAGTCAGGGGCTCGGTTGCTTACGTACGACTGCTTCCAATTGACACTTTTGCCCTTTTTGCCAATTCGACGAGAAAAGCTCAAAACCGACGAGAAAGCCAAAATAATTATTGAATTATATCAATTGTGGGTCCGGCCTCGACGGCGAGCTCTCATTGGTCAGATCGATCGAAATGTTAACCTACGCCAAAAATAGGTGGCGGCCGCATTTAACCACTTTAGGCAGTATTACGATTCTGCCAGAGCGCTAGCAGGGCTGGCACGGGCTAGCGCAAGTTCGAGTTGCTCGAGTTTCTACGGTATGTTTGTCCTCGTCCTATGAAGTAGGTATTCACACGGCTATCGGGCACCGATTACCGGCGGCCTTTCGAAGGGTAACTACGTTTCCTGTGCGACAGCCGCGTTGGTACTGGAAGATACAATCCCAACGCTCCCGCATGAATGAAATCACAGCCAGTGTGAGACATAGCCCCTGCAGGGCCCCTCGCTGAGCTCTCGCGGGCGTCTTGTTTCGATTTTCAGCCTCGGATGGAACCCTGCGCTTAGTGGAACATGTACGATGTTCATCACACGAAGATTTCAACACCTTATGCTTCAAGAAAGGATCACAAAGCGAGGGAATTCTGACAAAAGTCCCGCATTTTAGGCAGTCAGCGGACGTGACCGTGAGGCGCATTCCAATAGTACTTGTAGTCCGAGACAAGGAATTCGTAAAGGTAGAGAGATACATAGAAGTAACCACGGAAAGGAAGGGCGGAAGTCTCGTACGACATGATCCAGAGGGGATCTACGGGTTGAAGATGGATTTAATGTCATTGAATGTATCGATTCGGAAGTGAGTAAACAATGTCATAGCCTGATTTCAGGTCAGACGAGATAGAGTCGAGGATGAATAAATGTGATGGGTCTCTGTGGCGGTTATAGGATCAGCAAGGCATTGATCTGACGCGTAAGCGGGCGTAGCTACCCATTGTATCGAAGTTAACTCAGGAGACCTGCGAAAAGGCAAGTGTCTCCTAATATTTGAAAGTTACATCTTACGACTGAGTGTTGGTTATATGACCGATCCAAGAAGCTCTCCTACCTCGAAACTTCCAATTAACTCTCTCACATCGCCATCAACACTAGTACATTTACAATATCACATCCAGTTTCTCTTCTTTCCCCAAGATGACTGTGGCTGGTTCGAAAAAGAGGGATGGTGCTGCTGCACCCTACGCACCGACGGCAAACCTAGATACGGTGGTTTTCTCCAAAGTGTTAGACCGCGATCCGGCGACCATTGACAAGATCATCTCTGCCTGCGAGAATGTTGGATTTTTTTACTTGGACATTTCGGACCAGTATTCGGCCACAATGCTAGAGAATCTTGACAAGTTGAACATTGTCATGAAAGACTGGTTTGACCAGCCAGCCGCCGCAAAGCGCAAAGAGCTTGCCATCAGCATGGCATCCCATGGGTATGTGATAGTTGTCCTTTTCGTTTGAGCCCTTAGTCCTTCGTGAAGCTAATTCAACCTGTCACATTCAGATACAAGCCAATTGGATCCCAGGCTGGAACGCATGGGGGTCGTGATGGCTGGGAAGTTCTCAAGGTGAGTGATAAAGACTAGCATCCACGGAGAATGACGATTTTAACAAGTATCCAGACCGGTAGCTTTGAGTTGGCCGGGCGGTGGGGTTTACCCCCAGTGGTCGAGAGTAATCTCCAGGCGTTCACCTCATTCCAGAGCCAGTGTCACTACATCACGCGAGTGCTTCTTGACCGCATCTCCAACGCTTTGGGCCTAAAGGGGGCACAGAGCCTCAACCACTTCCATCGTAGCGACTGTCCGTCTAAGAGCGCGCTTGCGTTCTTGCACTACATCCCTATGGATCCGACAGGAGGTTATGCCGGACACAACGTCCACACCGACTATGGCACACTAACGCTTGTCTTCGCGCCTCAGTGGGGGTTGCAAGTTCTTTCACCTCCTGAAGCGTCCTCACCGTCGTCGGCCTCCTCCTCAGTGTCTCACGACTCAGATGAAAGTCTCGATAGTGGCTACCACAGAGGACACAATGAGAGCACCGACGATGCGAATCTCAAGAAAGAGAAGGTGGAAGCAAACTTAGAGTGGCAGTATGTCGAGCCGCGTCCCGGTTGCGCCGTTGTCAACGTGGCTGACGTGCTACGATTCTTGACGCGCGATAGACTGAAGTCGGCGGTACACCGGGTGCTTCCGCTGCCTGATGTAGATCGCTATTCTGTCACATACTTCCTGCGACCTAGTGATGACGTTGAGTTCATCGATGGAGAAGGTCGGTTGACAAATGTCATGGATTGGTACGACCGTAAGAACAACATGTATGAGGCTTCTTTCGGAGCTCAGGATCGGTCCCTGCTCATCGGAGGGTTGTACAAAGAGGTCTAATGTGGCCATTCGAGCATGAATTTCATCTGAGACGCACAGCCTTCCGACTGTTCATGTGTCAAATCCATAGTGTCAAAGTAGTGCTTCTTTCGTATCCCCGGTTCGCACTCTGCCCGGTGAAACAATCTAATTTCTAGTTGTTAAATATTTCTCGCCCGATGAACGCTTTGTAAGGTGACTTATGTAGTAGTTTTACAGTACGAATTGAAGAAAATAATCGCAGCCCTATTGTTGTAATTAACTATACCATTCCAAGATCTATCAATGAAAAAAGCCTTCATCTCCAGGCAAAGTGGCCAAACCAGATCAACCTTCAAGATCTTGAATCCGCCAGGAACTCTTTTCTGAGATACTTGCTGGGGGTCATACTAAGTAGTGACCTTTTCGAGAAACTGAATGTTCTCTTGGCCGTAGGTGCTGAGAGGGTCCTGTGATCCATTGGCATATCCCAAGTACTCCCATTCAACATTGACGCCCTCGGAGATGTAGAAATCTTTCAGTTCCTGGCGCATGGCAACATGTTGCTTTCGGGCCTTTTTCTCAGCACTGTCAGCGCGAACCATGTGCTGCATCTGGAACAGAATCGCATCTTCAGCCTCGCGCTCCATCCCGACCAAATTGCCTCCTCGCTCTGTTGAGTGCTTGAACAGCAGTGTTGGCATAGCCTGGAAAGTGATGTAGTTTAAGAAGTCGGCGTCTTGTGTGGCTTCTCAACCCTCGATGAACTTGGCCTGCGCTTAAACAGCGCGACGTATGAAGCGGGCATCATTCTTGCCCGTCAAAGTGATCCAAATCTGGCGGTACCCCATAGGCTCCTCGAGCTCAACAGTCATGTTCAGGTGACTATCATGACGGAAGGTATTCGCTATCTGAGGTCCGATCGTCTGAAATTCCTTATAGGCTGGTGCCCACTCGGAGTCAGATGTATCATGAAGAGCAGCCGATACGACGGTGCCAGCAGTGGGTGTGTATGCCCAAAAGGCAACAGCTGAACCCTTGGTGTAGTTGGGGATGTTATCAACCCACTTGACGTAGGCAGCAATGTGTTGTTCAGTGGTGTTGAGGGGGTAAACAACCTGTCCACCCCAGATGTTGACAACGTCAATCCTCTGAATGTCGACACGTGTGACTATCCCGAAGTTGCTCGAACCATCCTTAAGCGCTTGGTGTAAATCGGAATGGGTTTCTCTGTTGGCATTGACGGTCTCGCCGCTAGCGAGTACAACTTCGAAGTTGACAACGTTATCGCAACCGAGTCCGACGTCTGCGCCGAAGAAATTATTGCCACCGCCGGTCAGGAACCCAGTGACGCCGACAGTCGAAGTACGTCCGCTGGGTGCCGTTGTACCAAAGGGCTCGAGCGCAGAGTAGATGTCACGCCAAAGTGCCCCGGCTCCAATGCTGGCGACCTTGGTTTCGGAGGAGTACTCAACTTGGTTGACCAGGTTCATGTCGATAGTGACACCTTCCTCAACTTGCAAAACAAGTCAGTGCACGTGTGTCAAACAAGACTACCCAGCGAGAGCCAAGTCAATTTCGTTAAACTTCCAGGCTCCCAAAGTAGGTCTCCCCCAACATTAAACTTTTGAGGGCCATGTTGGGCTCTTCTCTATCCATAGTATCTCGTGGCTTCACGTTCGACGAAAGAAGGTTCCAGAATCAATTTGGTATGTTTTACGAAACACTCTTCCTCCCATATCGGTGAATACAACATCCTAATTGCGAGGATAGCCGTCACTCATCGACTCGAATATGTCGTTTCCTACTGTCCATGGCACCGAGGTGCTGATGGAACCCCCCAGAAAACTACCAAGTCAACTTCACTCATCCATTCAGAGACACTGCAACTACTAATTCAAGCTACTGCGCTTGTGCAATCGACTTTATCGCTGCTTTCCTGTATCTACTGCAGCGCGTGTACACGGCAACTGTCATTGTTGGCCGATGGCACAGCGATGATTGTAAGATGGCTGTCCAGGATCTAGTGTTAGTAACAGCCGCTGACGAGGTGCACAAGATATGATCCTTACAGCATGGCTTTTGACGACTGTCGATCAGTTTCTTATTCTTCATTGCCTTATAAAAGGTGTCCTCGGGGTTCACACATGGGAAATCTCGCTTGAAGATGCTATTTGGGAGACCACGGTACGAACATGATCTCGCAACATTTGCATTCGCGAATGCCAATACCATCTTTACTGACTTAACATTGAGATCTAGCTGATTCATGCTAAGACTTTGACTGTGCTACCGGGCACCGTTCTCGCGAAGCTTGTGCTTTGCATATTTTACTACCGCTTGTCGCCAATTGTTTGGTACCGCTACGCCATCATTGCTACTTCTGTCATCATCATTGCTGCGTTCAGCGCCGTATGGTTCACAGTCCAATTCGCTTGTTCCCCGATCTCGGCAGCATGGAATCTGCGCCTTTACACTGGAACAAATCGCATCGACCGCCCTCCCATGTACATGCTCCAAGCTATCATGGGCGGCGTGACTGATGTAATGCTCATGGTTATGCCTCTACCCATCATCTTTCGACTTCAGATGTCGTGGAAGCATAAGGCGGCACTGATCGCGTGGTTTGGCACGGGCTTTAGCACGTTGGGTGCCGCTGTAGCACGCTTGGTTATCCTGATCCCGAGTTTGAAGAACTCAAACACCACATTCGTTTTAGGCCAGGGCACACTTTGGTTGATTGTGGAAGCAAATCTCATCATTATCTGTGGCTCGCTGCCTACCTTTCGTGTTTTCTTGAATCACGTCGCGCCTAAGATCCTCGGCGAATCAGCAAGTCGCACCGGCGATGGAAACAGAGGCACTCCTCCGGCCAGGATGCGGTACGCTCTACGGACGTTTGGTGACTCTCAGCCGAAGCGGAGACATTTCGATACCATTGATGAGCTTGAGCTTGGCGACAGACCATATGGATCAGAGATGAGGTGGAAAGTGGATACGGATGAAACGGGCTCAGCTTAGACGCGGCACAAGCCAAAGAGCCGCTCAGAAGCTAGTGATGAGGAGGCTATTGTCAATACGTCCCATACATTGGTGGTTCGCTTCTGTCGATAAAACATTTCATTTGTGAAAACTGGCTACTACATTCTCAGGTATTCAAGCCCTTGCGTGGGTACTGGTCACGAATCGTCGATCGGCGATCAAGGACTGATCGCTGAGCTTCAAAATTTACCTTCCGCAGCCCTGCAAGCCATAATAGGAGTATTGACAATGAGTCTCCTCTCTCCTGCTGGTTCTGGTGCTCCCGGGGAGACTTCCCTTCTCAGAAGCAATGGTCGTGAATCTCACGTACTCCGTAGCCAACTGCCAACCTATAAATCATATCAAGAAGTTACTAAGCCATCTGGCTTTTCAATGATAATAGTCCCAGAGTTGGATCAAAAGGCAGCAGCCTAGCCAAAGACACACGCTGGGGTCATCGGGCAGTTCTCAGCACGCCTCACCTACGAGAATACAATCGTGAACGCGACGGCGAAGTCTTCCTTGGTTATTCATCGCACAGCATTGGAGTCTTTCACGATTGGGTGCCGGATGCGTGTTCATATTTAATTCCAGCCCACCTACCAGTGATTTGGCATCCTCAAGTACTTGTAGAAGCAGCAGGTGCAGCAACAGGAATCACGATCAAGCGGAGAAATACACGAACGACTCGAGCCACTGAGAATTCTCCTCGAATGTTACGGAGAGAGAAACCAAGATTTGCCTTGAACATTCCAAGAAACTGCAAATGAGTTCCATGAACGTTCTTATCGTTGCGACACTCGCATTGCTCTCCGCGGGATCCGTATCCGCAGCATATTACGCTCCTTGCACCATCTCTATCGACAACAGGATCAATGTTACCATCGATACTAGGGGGGTAAGAAAGGCAATCTATCTCATTTCAAGTCTATCTTTTGAACTAATATTATGTAGTGAGACGTTCTTGTCTGTGCTGGTCTTTCTGAGTACATTTTCTTCTCGAACGACACCGAGTATGCGACGACTATTGCATCCTACTACTTTGGTGACGTAAAAGTCGTTCGAACTTCATGTGTACTAAAACCAAAGACGTCGAATCAAGTCTCGGACGCTGTGAAGGCACTAAGTAGTTCAACCGGCGGCTGTTGGACCGTGGCGATTCGCAGCGGTGGTCACTCGCCCTACCCATCAAATAATGCTGCTAATGGCGTGACTATTGGCCTTGGCCGCCTCAACTCAGTTGAATACGAAGAGAATTCAACTTCGACAGGCTATGGAGTTGCATCCATAGGCGCTGGTGGGCGGTGGGGAGATGTGTATGCCGCACTTGAGGCGCAAGGAGTCATGACAACCGAAGCACGGGAAACTCATGTCGGAGTGGGAGGGTTCTTAGTCGGTGGAGATACATATAACGCAGAACAGAGACGCGAAAAAGGGCAAGACTCACTGACGTACGGTTAAGGCTTCTCATGGTACTCCGGAAAGTATGGCCTTTCCGCCGATAATGTTATCAGCTATGAGGTGAGCACATTCCGCACCCATGGTGCCTATCGTACTACCTGCAATTGCTGATGAATGCGGCCTTTCAGGTGGTTCTGGCCAACAGAAGTCTTATTGAGGCCAGCGCATCGCCACGATTATTTTCCTTATGACACCCCTGTCAACTAACTATGCCAATAACGGGCCGAATATCCTTGGGCTGAATGAGGAACTAATAGAGCCATCCGTCGTCCTCCAAGTCGAGTGCTTGTTTCCAACGACAGATGACGAGGTATTATTGACGGAAAAGTTCGAAGCAGTGATAGCTGAGATCGCTGAGTACGCTGCAAGTATTGAGCAGGGCGCACGATTCGAGTATATCAACTATGCACACCAGACACAGGACCCTCTTCAGTCGTATGGAGGCGATAATCAGGACTTTTTGGAAAAGGTAGCTCAGGATTATGACCCTTACGGCTTCTTTCAACACAGGGTGTCAGGAGAATTCAAAATTTCCAAGAGCACTAGAGCTTAAACGCTAAGACATGATCTCGGTTGTAATGAATCTACGCTCATGTGGGCGAAGATATGATGTTTGCCATCAACGCATGTCCTAGGGAAAACGGGAATCGTGATGGTCTTCTCAAACGAGATTAATCAACTTTAGCGTAGCTCCTAATGTTCAAATATCTAATCAGAACGTACCAAAGCAAGATTGTGGTTCTGTGTTATAACAAGTAGCGAAGCCACATCTAACCACTCGAATGCAAAGCATGCTGATGTAAGTGCCGCCGGTGAAATACTTCAAGGTAATAATAGTCTCGTTCCCACTAGCGCTTGTAACTGACGGGCGTCGACGTAACGCGTGACCTCCGAGCGCTGCCTACAGCCCACCCTGGCACCACGCAAGACTACGTCCTTGGACAAAGCAAGCGCTACGACATCGGACATCTTGTCCTGCGAGCATGACGCAAGGAAACCAATTAAGGCGGCGATGGTGCCCCAGACCGGATTGAAATCTTTGTGATGAGCCGCTCCTCAGGGACAGAAAGTAGCCAGGTAGAATTGCCGACGCTGAAGTTCTGAGGCAGGAGTCTTTGTAAGAGCTCTTTACGGTACATTAGGCCCGCGCTAGCAGAATGACAAAGAACAAGGGATGGGGGGCTCAAGCTGATTTGATCTACAAAGTACAGGGGACTGAAACTAAGATATTTTTTGCAATTTAGAGAGCGTAGAAACAGATTGGGAACAACCTTGTGGCCGCGGGCTCCGCAGTAGGTCACCGACCCAATATTCGAGCTTGGTAAGCCCGGTGGGAGCATTGAGAACACGAATCCAGGGGATAACCGTGCAACAGAATTGGCTTTGCGGGAGCGGATGTGTCAACCTTATTTCATTTCATATCATCTTTTGTCCGAGATTTGACGTATTCGAATTCTCCAAACATTCATGATGATCTCAACGCAACATTGACCCGATTTTAACTGCCCCTAGCATAATGCGGGAGCCGGTGGGTAGTAGATTTGGAGCAAATAAACGAGAACGGACTTTTGCGGTCGATATTGACACGTTATCACTGGACTCTAAGTCTTTGTCATTCAATTGAAGAAAATCAACTCTCTTACTTCTCTTGCGCGCATTTCGCGTCCAATATATCTCTTGACTCACCATATGATCTCCTGATAGCGACTTTGGTATTTTGCGCTTGATTGTTCTCTTTTCTGGTGTTTTTTCGACTTGCTTCATTCTCTAGCATTACAAACCCTAGCGAGCCGGTATCGCAGGGACTGATCACTATTCTCGACCCTTAATCGATAAACGAACATCATCTGGTCCCTAATGTGAACGCATCAGCCAACCTGCGTGCGTCGTTGATTCGCACATCGGTGCTTATCCCGGTACCCTTAGGTCCTACAAGATTCGATAATGTCTCCAGCACATACTCCCGGGGGATCGAAGTTGGCGATGGAGAAAGGCGTCGAGTCGTACAGACTCTCAACTACCTAGAGTATCGCGTGCGATGCGACATGGATCGAGAGGAGGCTCTTCCGTCGCCGGTAAAAGACTATTCCATCGAGGATTCTGCCATCGAGATTGAAGGCTCGCAGCGGTCTCAGCTTAAACGAATGTTTACAATTTTCCCTTACAAAGACATGAATTGGATTGTCACGATGCTATTCCTGGTTGGCAGTGTGTCTTTTGTTATCAATGCAGGATTCGGGCTCTTTCCTACCCTCGAACCAAGCCTGGCTTTCGAGACCCTCCCAACCGTTGCTCTCCCGGCGACCATCACAATCGGAGCCACAATGTTCATGACTGCGGGCATTCTCGGTATCTTCGCCGCTTTTAATGCTGACCGCGGCACCCTCGAGAAGAGCAACACCAAGTCCGTCGATGACAGCACTCCGGCCATTTATCGACCTGCCCTCATTGGCTCTGAAGCGTGGCTCTGGATTCCATCTGCGGCCGATTTTACCGGCCTTCTCCGGACTGTTCCTTTTCAGGCTGGTCTGGTGATGCTTTCTGGCGGTCTGATCCTCTCCGTGGCCGCAGTGGCCGGCTTCCCAGGAGTTCTTAACCCCATGGATCTGTTTCTCACTCAAGCTCTTGTCTTCATGCCTCAGGTTATTGGGGGTGCCCTATTCTTCATTGCCAATATGGCTCTCGTCGTACACGTCCAGAAAGACTGGTACAAACCCAGAATTCTTGCAGGCGAGTGGCAAGGGGCTGCTTGGAATGCACTGGCATCCGCTGGCTTCATTGTGACCGGCGTGTTGCTCCTCAATAATCGAATCTTTGAGAGCTCAGTTGTTGGATTCGCGGCGAGTACTGCCTTCTTGATAGGGAGCATCATCCAGTGGTACCTTCTCATGGAGTTTCATCCAACCAATTGGGCAGCTTGAGGTCTTCATAGCTTTCTAGCAGGCGGTCGTTTTGGGAACACTAGGAACAGAGCTCGCCCTTGTTAGAGACCCATTCTTGGAATACACTTCTGGAAAGCCCAAGATGTACATTTCAGCATGGCTTGTTAGAGCAGCACCTGATGGAAAACTATGATTCTTTCAACATGGGAATGCTCTGAACTTTGCTCCTACGCACAGCTTTGAATGGCAGACCGCCCATTGCCTTGCGGGACAAAAAGCCCCGCTGAGACACATCCAATCTTATTGATATATCCTTTGAGGTAGTACAATGACTCATCCTGCAATGATGTCAACCCACGAGCTACCTTAGGTCTGGAGGGATGATTAGGTTGTGGTCGTCATTGTCGGTAAAGTAGGAAGCCAGGCTCGGCGTCGGCTTAAGCGAAGAGAGTACGCGTGAAAGCCCGAATACGCGGTCCGAGTATCATCAGCCACAATTTACGTCACATCATTCGAGGTTTCATGCTTGGTGCAGCTAAGAAACCGGGGCTTCTACAAGGCTTGACGAAGAATAGCTAAGGGATATCTCCAAATTGTTGCGTAGATTTGTGGGTGAGCTTCCCGATGTCGGCAAACTTCTTCTCCCCTCCAAGATTTACGGAGTAGATCGCAAAAGGCTTGCATTTCGCTCATCGACCAGGGACTTTGGAAAACTCTTAGGCCATAGCCTGACTTTGCCGCGCATTCGTATATCCTCAAAGGTGCATCATTTACAGATGAGGTAATACTTATCATAAACGTATTTCCGTCGATAACTATTAGGACCGTCAAATTCCTTAAATACTGAAGTTCGTTCTTACTTTTTCAATCGATTCGATACTCGCATGCCGTGCACTATTACCTCATTCATTCTTTTGTCATCCTTCTACGGCCTTTCCACATTCGTTCAAGCCGCCAACTAATCACCTTCAAAATGGCTCTCAGTAGGCTGATACTGACCGCTGCTATTCTCGGCACAACCTACGGGGCTGCTATTAGCAACACCACTCGAGTCCTCGACCTACCTCCTCGTTACCACAATGGTACCGTCAGCGTTGAGCATCTCTCGGTGGCGGACAACCTCGATGGGTTCAAGATGCTGACCCCGGCTGCCAAGAGTTCAGCCGACTTTTGGTACTTTGACGTCGTTTCGAAGTCCACTAACCAGACTCTGAACATCGTCTTCTTCAACTCAGGGGAGTTTGCACAGTACCCGCATCCACTCGCGGTTCAAGTTTCAGGAGTCTACCCGAATGGGACAGACTTCTACTTCGAAGCTATGGCCGATGCCGGGGTCCACCTCACCAACGGTCCCCGTGGTATCACTGGAGACTGGGAAGGTGTTGGATCCTTCACGGGAACCTCGTTGGACAAGCCTGATGTGGAGTATACGATCAACATCAACTCCGAGGACATGGGCATCTATGGCAGCGTCTCCTTTAAGGCCGTAAGTGAATGCTCTATCCTCATTTTCGCCACTCTTCATTCTCAAGGGACTGACACAAGGATTAATAGACTGCTCCGGCCCATTACCCCTGCGACCTGAATGGCGCAGTTGGCGTCAACCAGAACCTCTTGCCAGGACTGTACTGGGCTAACGCTGTCCCTGATGCCGAGACTATGGTAGACCTCGTCGTTAAGGACACGGTTATTGCCTTCGAAGATGGTATTGGATATCACGATAAGAATTGGGGCAACCAGTCCATCATCGACGGTCCTCGTTATTGGGACTGGGGCCACGCTCGCTTCGGTCCCTACTCCATTGTCTGGTACAACCTTCTCGACTATAGTGGCAATGAGAGCAGACGTTCCTATGTTTCAAGAGACGGACAAGTTCTTCTCGTCAGCTGTGACATGGCGAGCATGGAAGTTCGCCAGAAGGGAGGAAAGGCAGCTTGGCCTCCTACCACTGGACTGCTGGAGACCGATGGCCTTTCCATCAAGTACAATCTCACAAACGGCGACGTGATGGAGGTTGATGTCTCTACTCAATTCATTGTCAAGGATGAGGATGGCATCTATCAGCGCGCCAATGGTCTCGTCAAAGGCGGTATTGCTGGACAAGAGACTTTCGAGGGTCGAGGTCACTTCGAAGAATTCATCTTTGGGATCGTTAAAGACTACACCCCACAGGTCTAACGTCTAGATTCATTGATTATTCATGGGGCTGAAGCGAACTGTTTAATCTTGAAAAGTTGCCGGCGTATTTGTACAGCAGATTCTTCCGGGGAGACCAATTGTTCATCGCTACACTTCCGCTAAGAGCTGACTTGACCCTATAAACATATCTTAACTATTCATCAAATGACCTCTAAATTGCACTACATACTTAGACAGAAACAGTTCCAAAAATTCGAGAGCATATAGTGACTAGATCAAAATTTAACGAACGGGGTGATTTGACCTTCAATGTCAGTGTCACAGACCTTCGCTTGCAAATATCACCTCTAGCAGCGCGTTGACCCATTTGCATCTTTTAGCTCGTTCTCCTAGCCAGATCTCCCAATTTTAAAGCCCCCGGGAACTCTAGTTTGAAATGCTCCGCTCGGGTCATACTTGGCAGCAACATCCCGTATGAACTGGACGTTCTGTAGGCCATAACCTGCTAGCGCGTCCTGTCGAGGACTGGCATAGTTGAGATAGACCAGGTCCATGGCGCCTCCGACAGATTTCGCAAATTTCTCAATCATGTATGACATCGCAGCCAAACGTGCTTGCGCGATGGCAAAGTCTGCATCGTTCGTCAAGACATACACACCTCCGGTCCACATGATGGCACTGGACTGCAATCTGTCTAGCCCAAGCATGTTCCCCCCACGTTTTTCTGCAATACTCCCGTAGTCGATTCCCACGGGCTGTAGAAAGATCATCGTTCCAAATGCTTCTGAACTGATGGAATTCTGAAGTGACTTGACAAAGTTTTCGTGGAGCTTGCCGGCGTAGCGGAGGATCTCTGGGTCATTCCTAAAAAGGACAGTCGCCGCAGTACTTCTAGAAATCACAAAGTCAGCCGATGAATGAGTGATTCGCATAAGCTAGACTTACAGCTGTCCGCCCTGGACTTTCGAACCTGCGGCAGTCTTAGCCACAGACTGTTTCACAGAAACATTGCGAAGAGCCGGAAGACCTCTGAGGTTATCAAAAGCCGTTCCGATGTCATCGTCTCCAACAGTGTTGACATAAATGGCGGTGATCGTGGTATCAGAGCCCGCACTGCCGTTGTATTGGAGAAAAGTGACGAGTGCATTATCAGCCAACGATATGTTATGATTCGCAAATTTGACAAGTGTGTCGGAAACCGCATCTAGAGCACTTGCCGGCAGAATTCGGACTTCGTAGTGGATATCACGGGTGGGAAGGGCTTCTAGGTCAAACCTCGTAACAATGCCAAAATTGGAGCCACCACCCTTGAGCGCCTTCCATAAATCCGAATTGCTGTTGTTGTTCGCATTGACGACGCTGCCGTTGGTGAGAACCACTTCGTAATTGAGGACAGAGTCGCAGGCGAATCCATACTTGGGTGAGAAATAGGATGTGCCGCCGCCAAGGAGAAACCCGCCCACCCCAACGTCGCCATCGCGGCCACCGACTACCACGACGCCTTGCTCTTCCAGGCTGGCGTAGACATTCTCCCAACGGCCTCCTGAGCCGATCATTGCGGTATTAGTTGCAGCATCATAAGTGGAAGAATTCAGCATGCTCAAGTCGATAGTCACGCCATTCTGGATGTTATTGTTCAGCTGAAAGCCATGGCCTCCACTCCGGATCGCTATGTGCCAGTCCCCAGCGCCTTTGCCAGCTTTGAGGAGCGTGGTCAACGTGAGGGAAACTTCTTCGGTACTCTCGGGCAGCACAAGACACCACGGATGAAGTTGGGCGTTTCGAGCCCACCAGGTTTGGACTTGCTTCTCATACCCTGGGTCGATTGGCGATAAAACCCTGTCCCCCAAACCAGCGGCGATGAGTGCGTCACACTAGCAGTGTTAGTCAATCACCCAACGGTGGCTCAAACGGTGCTCACTGGTGGAGTGCCTCCGGTGGAAGGCATCGGCGTGCTCATGTCGGCAGCTAAAGACTTTAAAGCAGCCAGCGACCCGACAAGGGTACAAAGTTTCCAGAAGTTGTAAATCATGGCGGAAATGGTGTGTGATTGAGGGATGCTGCTGAGATCACATCGATGTAGCCAATGTTGCTTATCAGTTGTCGATGAACAGAAGAATTCACGGTCATTGTGGTGCAGAATGCGCGCCTTCTTAAATAATACAAATAATCCCAAAGCCGTATTACAGAGTCTTTGATGAGCCCAGGTTGAGTTGAGGTCGCTGAAAACCCCCGGGCCCTCGGGCCCTATGGTGTCTTCCAGCTATCAACAATGGACATGTGGCGCTGTGAGAATTCACGAGGGTAAAGCCACAGGTGGTCTAAATTATGTGGCGCATTTTCGGGTGTGGTAAGATCTCTAATGAGCTTGTTGGATTCTCGGGGCCTCGGGCCCGGAGATGGTTTGCGGTCCAAGGTCCCCCGGCCAAGTGCTGACTGAGTGAACAATGAAGCTGTCAGCGATCATCGTCGTTGCCTGCTTTCGGCTCTTTTTGCGTCGTCAGCTTGCCAAGGGTAGGATGAGGGTCCATCGGGCCTCGCAGACCGATGCGAGGGTGATCGGGAGCTTCACGAGTATTAGCATTCCTTGGAGAAACGATCAGTTGGGAAAAATAACTGGCCGGGAACAGAACGTTTGATAGCAATCGCTGTCGGGCGGAGGCTTGCGTAAAACTTTCTATCTACTAAACAGTTTCCAAGGGCACGGAGCTTAGACCTCTCGAATAATAAGCAAAATTTCCCACTTCCGGATGATTAGGATATGCCCAATAACGTAAAGCACCTTTATGTGTCGCAGTTGGGATGGCACAGGTAGCCTAAACTTTTGTTAATACTGAACTTCCCGCCACTTCTGGCCTGTAAGCGATCGACACTAGTGCATATTCTTGTAAGATTAGTCACTAGCAGCCGTAACTGACGTCCCCTAATTATTCCACTCCCCTAAACATTCGTGGCCTTGGAGATCATCAAGAACACATGATGACAAGCGATCACCCGTCGAGCCTTTCTATCCACTTGGCTTGGGTCCTTTTTATTCACTCTTCTCTGAAATCTATCTAGGCTGTTGAATCGACCCGCCGCAGGTAGAAGCTATCACCTGTCTCGCGCATCATGGAGGCCACCGGTAGCAGCAGCAAGAGACCGGCAGTGAGTTCCCTACCTTTGCCCAGCTCAAACTGCATTGCCTGTATGCTGAACCTGTTATTGCAAGTGTGATAATTGTAAAGACAGAAAGGTGAGCTCTACATCCCCGATGTCATCATATCATCAAAACGCCGCACAGTAATGTATGTAATCAACGAGAAATGATAGACCAAATGCGACCGCGAAACACCATGTTCAAGCTGCGTGGCCTCAAACCTTACATGCCACCTGACGCATCGCTCATCCCAGAGACGTCAGCGCGTCCTTATCTCGCCCCGTTATGATGAGGCCATAGAGAGCGTGGACCGCTCACTGAAGGAAGTCTCACAGGCGGTGCAAAAGCTGCTCGAAATCAACCAGCAAAAGTCGCACTCATCACCACTGGCGTCCCCACCGTCCTTCACCGGCTGCCACTCTCCGAGCATCTCTGGCTTATCTGAGGGCTATAGAGGTGAATCCTCTTTCAAAGCGCATGTTCAGCGGGTCACCGATGCACTCAAGAATGCTGCTTCAGATCTGGAGTCGACCCTGGGCGACGATACAGCGCTCTCTGCGACCGTGCAAATGATCGACCATGCCACGCTCAGTGAAGAAAAGAGTTCCGCCCAGGCTCATATGTCACCTCTGTCTTTCCAGGCTCAATATCCCGAGTTGGACAGCAGGTCTCTTCCACCGGTTGAGAGCGTTCTGAAGCTGGTTCGATTATGTCAGACTGAAAAACAGCGATTTTTCGTCGATGTCCCTGTGATTGACGAACAAGAGTTTGGAGAGATTTGCCAAAAGGTTTGCTTTGCCATCGCCAACTTTTCCATTACGGATTGGGTTATCGTCAACGTCGGTCTGTTCTTCTTACTACAGGGGCTCAATCAGCATCATTACTCCCATTTTGGCATCACGAAATTGGACCTCGAGACATACTCTCAACTACTGAAAGCCAATGTTGAAGCTGCGATACAGTCTTTGAGGCTTTGCAGCGACCCTTCTATGCAAGCATGTCAAGCTCTGGCGGTCCTAGTAAGTCTCGCGCGACCGCCGCTGAAGCTAATTAATTCCTAGCACTAACATCAAAAGTACACGTTTTGCAACAAAATAGGTCGAAGCGCACTCGCATGGCAGTTGATATCGGCTGCATCTAGAATGTGCATTGACCTCGGCTGGCATAGACTATCTAGCGATGAGCCAAAGTTCTCAAAAAGGCGGCAAGTTTTTTGGCATGTTTATGTCCACGACAAGAGCATGGCTTTCACAATGGGCAGGACGCCGGCGATCCATCCCTATGACGTGTCAACTGAAAGGCCGTTTATACCCAAGGACCACGTTTCAGGCGTGCCAGTATAGTAAATCGTCCCCCTCTTCGGATACGTGTAGCATTCGAACACTAACAGTATCGTGAGTCTCTATGCCGGGTTCATCGAGTATGCATTTATCGTTGGCGATATGCACGTGGAGCTGTTTTCTGCTTCCGCGCTTCGTAAGCCACTGGAAATACGGAGCCAGAGTGCCACGCAGGTAGTTTCGAAGCTGCTTGAAGTCAACGAACGTATCAAACAGGTGCATATAACTTTTCATACCATTCATGAGGAGTCTTACTCATTCTCACAGTGCGTTAAAGATGATCCCTCAGACGACGACCTCTACGAAGCGCTTACCGTGTTGCTCGACTTCATGATGTACGGTCTTGTTACGATAGCTTATCGCGTCATTCCAAGCCATGAACCAAGCGATGGCCCTTTGAAGTGCAGCGACGAATGTACAGAGGCTGCTCGGAACGCCCTTCGTACAATTGTGAGAGCATTCGAATCGTGGGGGCACCTCAGAATCAGTGGGTGGACGATGCTCCTCAATATGTACGCTTTCACATGATGCTGCCATGATTATTGATGGAGGATCTCTGATACCTTGGTAGGATGTTCTCTCTAGTACCGTTTGCCTGCTTCGTTGTCCTCGCGGGAAATACAGTGGCAACAGCGTCTGAGGAAGACCTGACGCTCCTCTGCAGCGCCATCTCTGCCATTGAACCCACATCAGACAGCTCGCCTTCAGCCAAGAAGCTGTACGATGTGTGCAAGACGTTCTATGAGCTCGCCAGCTTTTCTGTCAAGCGAAAAGACTCAATAGGTATGAGACTGCAGCAAGTAGAGCAGGTGTATGGACAGCAAGCACTTGAGGATATACCTCCTTTGCCAGAGGTCAATCTTGCTGCACCTTCGTATGATCACATCATGGCTCCTCAGGACTGGGAAGCTGTCATGGATGAGTTCGATTTGGGCACTGGGGCCGGCGCATTGGCTTCTTTTGTAGAACCTTACATACCATTTGATGGGAGAATACCATGAGAGATTCTGCGGCGCGAACTAGACTAGTTTGGCAATTCGAGTTGAAGTTTGAGCTTCTTGGCTACAGGAATAATCGAACTCAAAGCTTTGCGTTCACAACAGTTCCTTTACCCTTGCAAGCAGCGTCCACGCAAGCCATAGCTTGAACTAGCTGATCATCCCGCAACCTGGGTACAACAACTTGAACACTTAGCGGCGTACCCAGATATATCTTTCGGTCAATCTTATTCTCGTCCCACAGCTCTCTGTTTCTCTCATCCCAGCTACTCAGAACCTTCCCACCCTGTGGCTGACCTAGCTGCAGGTCACTCTCCGTGACATCACGGACTGGTACCGTTCCTGCAGGATAGTCAAGCATCACCCAGCTGCTAGTCAAGCCGACAGCATTATACCCTTCGATAGGCGGCACAGGGTGCGGTGCAACAGGGCATATGACGGCATCCAGCTTCTGCTTTCTTCGGCCGTGTTCATCGTCCTCGACCCACATCTTGAGCATCTCCCGCTCCAATGTTGCTCGTTGTGCCTGAAGCTCAGCAACTTGCGTGAGTGACTGCGGTTTCCCCTTTTTGAAGCGTGCCGCCGTCCACGGCACCAGCGGCTCGCCCGTCGCGTCAATCATCTCCGCCATTGTGACGGAGCCGTCGACGCCCATGAGCTTGTTCATGACTGACTGCGCTTTTGTGAACGCCGCAGGGCATGTCAGCTCAACCACCTTGACATTGGGCGTTTCGGAAAGGGAAGAGGAAATATCATCCAGCATGTTAGCAAGAGGCGGATGAATGCTGCAATTTCCATCGCTGCGAAGAACACCGATAACCAACTCCCCGTTTCTACCGCAGCCCGAGATCGACGATCCTCTTGAGCTGGAAGGCCATGAGGCGGGCATGCAGTCCTCGCCCCAAAGAGCAGCTCGAGGAACAATCTCACGCATGAGGGCGTCAATATCCTCGACGCTGCGGCCAATAGGGCCCGCAACAGCTTGTACGGAAGTGCGGCTCATACCGTCGATGCCAGTAAGAACCTGCCCGCCGTACGGAACGCGTCCGTTGGATGGCTTGAAGCCATAGACCCCGTTGCACATGGCAGGTACACGGATGCTGCCCCCAATGTCGGTCCCGATGCCAATCATGGAGCCCTTCATGGCCACAAGGACGCCCTCGCCCCCAGAGGATCCACCAGCGGTGCACAGGCGGTTGATAGGATTCATGGTCCGGCCAAAAACGTTATTTACGGAGTCCAGACTTCCGAGAGTTTGCGGGATGTTGGTCTTGGCGATGATGACGCACCCCAAAGAGAGAAGGAGATCGACCAAGGGCGCATTGGAAGCTGCTGGCTTGTGGCACAGGTACGCCAGCCCCATTGAGGTGTCGACGCCTGCGACGTTGAATGTGTCTTTGACGGAGACGGGCAGGCCGTGGAGGGGGCCGAGAGGGGCGCCGTGGTCGCGGAGATAGTCATCGAGGAACTGGGCCCGCTTCAAGGCGGTGTCGAATAGTGGCTCCGTCAAGCAGTTTGTGAGTTGCTGGGCTATGGCACTCCTGTGGCAGAAGGCCTCGATGACTTGTTTGGCCGAGAGTTTGCGCGTGCTTATGGCTTTGAGCAGGGTTGAGATTGTGTATGTCTCGGTGATTGAGATTTCGGATTGAGACAAGAATTGGCGTGGTATGTCGAGGACTTTCTGTGGCCCGTCGCTTAGTTGAGAGGGGTCTTTTGGGATGGATCTGGTTGGAATGTGCCATTTTGATGGGATGCGTGCTGTTCTTTCGGCTTGTTTACGTCGGGCAATTTCTTTCCACGGGGCTTCTTGAGATTGAGGAGACATGTTCGTGCACGATTCGTAACATCAAAGTTCAATTTTCGGCTCTTGATGACAGCTTAGAGGTGGTGGACGATCAAGTTGTTTGTTGTTAGACTTGCTATCTCTCCAGGCTCGACTGTCGGTGGGGTTGATGATGAATTGTCACCAGGACCTCGGCATTCTATCCCACCGCTGATCGAGCCGGCAATCGTGTGAACCATCGAGTTGCTGTGTTACGTTCTAGTAGACAGAACGCGGGGAACGCTTAACAACCGCCGGTTCCCCAACTTCAATGTCTACGAGCTGATTACGCCTGGGTTTCTGGTTGGCGTTCACGGACCGCCCGGCCCCTGTGGGGTGATTTCAATCATATTGACCGTGGCCCGAGGGGGGGGGGCGCGCTGCTGCATAGCCCCGAGCTCGCGGTTCCTACGGTACGGAACGAATCTAGCACGGCATAGAGATTCTGCGGGGCATGGATATCGAGGTTCAGCAAACAGCGCAAACAGTGTGGCTATCAACACAGTCTAGGTCGATTTGCGAGAATCTTGCGGAAGCAAACGATCTAGAAGTCCTCGGCGCATAATCCTTGCTGCCTGAATACTTGGACCTTCTGTTTTCAATCGGTGACTGAGTCTCTGGAGTCTTCAAAAGCACGGTCCGGGTACCCCGTTGATAGAGTCCTGTCCAAAGCTCCCACCTACATACCTCAGTGAGGAATTGGCTCAAGTGTGAGGCTGGTGAACACAGCGAATGGTTCGGTTGATGCCCAATCAATCGCAACTGCCCTCAATAGTGTCATAGATTTGATCAACCTTTCAAGCTACCGTAGAACAAGACCGCGCCTCTTTGTAAAACCTTGAGCTTCCGCATATCGTTCCTATTGTTCTGTCCCTTCGCTGAGTCAAGACTGCAGTGAATGAATGTGGTCGCCGAGACTGGTTTTCCCAGAAGACCATACCATGCGAAGGGGAAAAGAGTCTCCCACCTACCTACATCGGACCGCTAGTTAGCCTTTTGCGCTCATCCCTTCAAGCAGGTTCAGTGAATGCATATCGAGTTCGAACAATGCCCCCACAAGAGTCCTCACCGCGATATGTTGTGCGAATGACCTGCATCAGATCCAATGACCTGGTACCATACTAATTAGCAGTGTACCTACCGGGTCGGTGAATCTGCTGACGAATGTCGCATGCACGATAGAAGAAGGCAAACAATGAGACCGGCAGGATAGCTGCAAAGTCCCAAGTCATCACATCAAGCCACCCGTCTAGAAGGAACTATGTGTAACCCTCCTGTTCACTCGAAGATATCTGTCAAATACAGAGGATGCCGTGGGAGTGACGCCTGCTCCCCGTTGTCACCCGGAGGCCGTGGCGAGCCTAATTCAGCCAAGTGAATGACTGTAAGAGACTGTCACAGTGCATCCGTCCCGTTGGAACATGGATTTTTCCTCACCTGCGGCAAAGCCAACCCGCTGACCCAATCAGACCTATCGAATCCAAACTGACCATATTGCATCTTCCAACGACATTTAGCAAACAAAGATCCCAGCCCAATCCCATGCGGCATCACAATGGAGTCCCACATATCGCCCTACCATTGCTGGGGGGCCATTTCCAAAGCTGTGTGCAGGATCCCGGGCCTCAAAACTCTGGGGCTCAGAATCGGGGTTGGTGTCGTAGTCAAAGGCTCGCTACGTCTATATCGGTAGCCCTCTATGCTTTTTCCGGGTGCTCATGCAAGTCGAGTCACCGCCCGTCTCCATGGAAAGCCGGCGGTAGACCCGGAGGTGCGGCGGCTCAGCGTCTGACGTTCCCTTCACCCCAAAACCACCTCACCAAGCAAACAAACCGGGCGTCCAATCGTAATTCGTAACACTATGGAGGGGAAGTCACTTTGGGGGGTCTCCGACCTGGATTGATATCATTCTTTTGTTGACAAACAAGATGCATGGATCCACCAAGTCCCGAGACGCATGCATACCGGGCCGTCAGCCACCTTTCAGTCGAAGAAGCGCTGTGATAAGTGATATATGTCTTTCTGCGGCGGTCACGCCGTCAAGACGAAGATTCTTTAATGAAGAGTTGCCAAAAGGAGTCATTACCCGCGACAAGGGTATCTGCCATGATCCCTTGAGCCAAGTCTTCATGTTCACAACCAACACGACCTGCGTGACGAGTTTGAGAAATCAAGGCAGCGGCTGATGTTGGCCCATTGTCACTCTGTTTCCACCCGCGCACATTGAATAGGTGACTACTCGCGCGATTACCGGCTGATATTTGACTTGTCAATAATTTCATGTGATAATGGGTCCTTGGGTCCCTGGAGTCTTGAGTGATGTGATAAAGGGAGCCAGATACTCTATGGTTCATGGATCATGGGTGTTCTTGTTTCTCCTTCTTACTTACTTGATGTAGACGTTCTGGTTTGATGCCAGTCGAGACCCCTAAGATGTTTACCAAAGTACGTGGAGAATCGCGCCTGGAAGGTGGAATGCGAGATGCTTCTGCAAAGTCCGCATGCTTTGTCCTCATCTTATGTACACCCTTCCTTCTCACTTATCTTTTCACCTACATCCGCTTTCTCTGGCAGACCCGACCTTGCAGTAGGGCAGAAGCCATACGGCCTGCTATACCTTCATACTTCGTCCCGGGACTTGGCCATGCCTACTCCATCCTCTTCAACGCCGAGAGATTTCTTCGTCCTCTACAGTGAGTGGAAACGATATGAAACTACGTCAACTTTACGATGCCAGTCTAATACTAGTCCCAGGCCTCGCCTAAAGGGCTCCGTTCTATCCCTTTCAGCACCTGCAAGTTCGCTTTGCTACGTCCTCCCCGGCGAAGGCGTACGTTCGCTTTTCAAGGGGCCTCGAGAGCTTGTCCCAGTACCTGGGATCTTCGATGCCTTGACTATCTTCTTTGGCTTGCAGGCTGCCGACTACCATGTGTTCGAACATAACTACGTCTCGGCATTCGAGAAGCGTGACGGCGCAGGATTTTCGACCTCCCATCCGGACGCATCCAGAAGAATCATGGAACATCAACGAAAAGACTTCATCACCTTCCTGAATGGGGAAAATCTCAGACTTGTGATGGACAGATTCTCATCTAACCTCAATCATCAACTCTGGCCACATAACGCTTCTGTCACGAACCAATGTCCCGTTGTGTTTCCTGATCTATATAAGTTCGTCCGCGATGCAATTTTCCGAGCGGAAGTCGAGGCCCTCTACGGGAAGCACATCTTTAAGAGTTGCCCATCATTCTGTGAAGACTTTTGGGCCTTGTATGATGCATTCCCCGTCATCTCACGTGGAGGCCCACGCTGGATGTACCCCTCTCAATACCGCACACGAGACCTTGTGCTCGAGAACCTGAGCAAGTGGAGGAGCTGGTGCAACTCCAACAGTGATCATGACGATACGGAACCGGGCAACGCGGAGTACGACCCTATTTGGGGTACCCGCTATGTGAGGAACATGGTTCGGCGCTATGAGGATCTTGGATTCTCCGAAGCCGGGATCTCAAGTGTTATCCTTGGTTTCTTGTTTGTGTAAGTCTACCCCCGGGTAATTAAGTGATTTACTCGGAGACTCACACTAATCCACATCTCCAGAACAACGGCGAACACTATTCCCGCCGCCTGCTGGATGGTTCTACATGCTCTACTGGACCAGTCTCTTACCTTGAGGTTGAGGCACGAGTTGAGCATCCGAGACAACGGAGAAAAAACATCACTAGACTGCACAGTACTATCGTCGGCTCCGCTGCTAAACTCAGTCTATCGAGAAACGTTGCGACTTCACGTTGCCGGCGCTATCGGCCGCAAATCGGTGGGTGGCGGCCTTCGTCTCCATGGAGATTCCTTCTCCACTTTACCATCGGGGACCACCGCCTTATCAGCAAATTGGCTCGGCGGTCTAGACGGATCCATCTGGAACACGGGGCGGAAAACCAACGGGGTCACGGAGCACTCTCTCGAGTCTTTCTGGGCGGAGCGGTTTCTCGAGTACCCCGACGATCCGACAAGCGGCCCGCTCCGGAAGCCCGACTCGGTGACGCATAACTACGATGTGACGGAGAAATACGTGCGCGATGATTCGAAAGCCAAGCTGTCGAATCCATCCGCGTTGCGAGGGCACTTCTTTCCCTTCGGAGGAGGCGCCTGGAGGTGTCCGGGGGAGACTTTGGCGAAGAACACCATTCTCGTCTCCGTTTTTCTCATTTTGAGGGACTTTCAGGTGGAGATCTTGGACCCGACGGATGCGGCTCAGGCTCGTTCACATCACCGAGCTATGCCATTTGGATCGCATGCCTTTGATAGAAAGGTACCGGTTAAGATTTGCAAGCGAGGTTGAAGAAAGCATCCCTTAGAATGTGACATGAGTGGAGTTTGGCGTTTCCCTTATTCAAGTTTGCACTGTTTGTTGGTGAATGAGTTGCATGATCTAAAATACCACACGGCAGATTTACAATGGAAATGAAGCCGAAATGGCCTAGTTTGTTGATTGATACAAAAGCATGTGTTTTTCTCGCCGTTTGCTACATGCCGATTGTCGATCTACTTCAAAACGAAGGTCTCCAAGAGCTTGGTCAACGCAGCAAATGCTAAGGATTTCCTTATCAGCTCGCCTCTCTCACCCAAGCTCAGTCTTCAACGGTGAACCTTGACAATGATGATTTTTCCCCTGGAAAATCCATCTTAAATTGATTTGGGAGTCTCCACTCGTCTCCTGAAATCGGAGTCAATCCCTGGCAAGTAGAGCAATATTTCCCCTCATACTGCCGAGTCAAGATAAGAATCCTCATCTTAAAGAGTACAACTACCGGTTCGTCCGATGTTTTTCAGCCCCAGAGTTTACTCATGAGCTTGACCACCGGACTCAATCTGAGTTGACAGCCTTCATCAGCCATGGCCTCTTCGTTCGTCGTGAAAGTTGCGACAGCCGCGCTGGCTGTGCAGCCGGCCTTGGCAGCGCGTAAGAACATCATCATTGATACTGACATCTTCAGTGACTGCGAGTCAGTGCCAACCATGCCCCCAAAAACTCCCCAAACACCCAGACTCTAACATCGCAACAGTGACACCGGCGCCCTCCTGCTGGCCGCAACCTCACCAGAAGTGAACCTCCTAGGAGTCAACGTCAACTACCCATCAACCTATTCAATCACCGCGACCTCTGCAATCCTCGCATACTATGGCCTCGCGGACGTCCCCATCGGTGCGCGCAGACCAATGACAGATGAGCCCTTCTTCGACACTTTCGCCTACGACCTAGGCGAATACGCAAGCAAGATCTCATACCACTATTCGGGCGGCTCGCTCCCCTTCGGCCAGGCCGAAAACGCCTCCGACGCGGTGACGCTCTACCGCAAGATCCTCGCTGAGGCCGACGAGCCCGTGACCATTGTCTCCATCGGCTTCTTTGAGAACCTCTCCGCGCTATTGAACTCCACCGCTGACGCCGTGTCTAACCTCACGGGGCCCGCGCTGATTGCGAGCAAGGTCTCGGAACTAGTTGTTATGGGCGGGGGGTACCCGTCCGGTCGGGAGTTCAACTTCTTTGGGGATAATCCTTCGCACACGGCCCACGTCGTGAACAACTGGAAGGGGCGCATGGTTTTCTGCGGGACTGAAGTCGGCTCCATCGTCTTGTCCGGAGCGAAGCTGCTTGCAGAGGGCCCCGTGTCGGATCCGGTCCGGCAGGCGTACATCTACTACAACTTCTACCGGCCACGGGAGTCGTGGGATCCGCTAACGGTGCTGTATGCTATGCATGGCCTGGGAGATGTCTTTGATTACGGCAACACGTACGGGCGCAACTTTGTGTATGCTAATGGCTCGAATGAGTGGGTTTATGACAACAACGTCACTAATCAGCACTGGCTGAACCTCAAGGTGGACAATGTCACGGCGGCGGCGGCGCTGGACAAGCTTTACCTCAAGGGGGCGTGGTCGGTAGTGAATGAGACGTTTGCATGAAGAACCCTAAGCATTACTCTCACTTCCGAACGCCGACTACCTTATTCGAGTAAATGTAAGCTTAATATTTGTCCTTGAGAAAGTTGCATTTCGGACCTTATGCGTGCGCTGTGTTTGCCAAGTTTGACGGACTTTGGTACTTGAAGCCTCTCGACCGATTGCGAGGCTTGGTAACCTTACCGATATATCACCACACTTTGATCGACGTGGAATTTACATTTCGGGCACTCTCAGTATCGGCCGCGGCCTCAGTTGCGCCGAATGTATGCGCCAAGATCACGTTGCATTCGCGCCGGCAAGGGCAACATGGGGTAGTGCCTACCACCTTCCTTAAGCCCCCTGGTTCCCCGTTGACGGATTTCCGGATTTCCCTTATGAAGCCATCGGGACCGCTGCAACATGACCGTTGAATGCTGCGGCACAGACAAGATTTCTTGCCAGAATAGACAGGATCCGAGTACGTGATGAGGGGATTCCTCCACTGTCATTGCGAAGAGACCACAGTATCGCCATCTATCGTGCTCTTATCTTGCTCAATTGCTCTCAGGAAGCTCGTGTTGCCCCGCACCCTCCGGTCGCTTCGTCTATCCGAATGTCAGTTTTGGGCGATTTTCGGTGGAGAACGTGTCCCCTCAACACAACATGGCGATAGTGTCAAATGTGACCCTGGTGACCACGGGCATAGGTTTTCGAAGCGCGCCCATCATGTCGTTCGAGGTTTAGACGTATATATAAGTATATCCTGCAGACACACTATGCCTTGGCTTCCTCGGAGCCCTGGACTATAGGACTTTGAGGTTCTTCGTAACCAAAAGATCAGCTCATCATGGTCGCCTTAAGAGCATCGTTTGCGGCATTGACCGGCATCGTGGCTTTGTCCTCTGCATTGACCGTGGAGAGAGATCAGGTGACACCGGTCTTCGAGGAAACTCATGTTCCTGGCGCATTCATCGTCGAGTTTTCCGACAATCAAGTCAGTCCACCAACTTAACCTGTGCCCATGGGCGATGCTCTAATACGCAGCAGGACGGTGCCGCATTCCTCAACCAGCTCAAGACAGAAACTGGCGCAACTGGGGTCTCCCAGCGTCTCAGCCTCGATTCCAAGGTCTTCAAGGGCGTGTCCATCCATGTCGAGGGCTCCAACAACGAGACAGCCCAAAAGATTGCCGGACTCCCGCAAGTCAAGAAACTCTGGCCGGTCCCATTGATCAGTGTACCTAAGCTGGAGATCACCTGGACCGGCAAAGACAAGACCTCATCCAAATACAAACGCCAAACAAACTCCACAGATAATTGGCCCCCTCACGTCATGACGCAAGTCGACAAGCTCCGCGCCAAGGGCTTCATCGGCACAGGCCTGAAGATCGGCATCGTCGACACGGGCATCGACTACACCCACCCCGCACTAGGCGGCTGCTTCGGCCCAGGGTGTCTCATCGAGTTCGGATCCGATATTGTCGGTGACTCCTACGACGGCACGAACGCGCCCGTTCCCGACGCGGATCCCTTTGAGAACTGCCTGGGTCACGGCACACATGTCGCCGGCATCATTGCTGCGATGGAGAACCCCATGGGCTTCACTGGTGCGGCGCCGGGGGTGAAGTTGGGTATGTACCGGACCTTTGGCTGTAACGGACAGACGACTGGCGATGTTCTGCTCGCTGGTGTGATCCAGGCCTTCGAAGATGGTAGCGACATCATCACCGGATCCATTGGAGGGCCGAACGGTTGGGCTGGAGAGGCGTTTGCCGTCACTGTTTCCAGGATCGTGGATGCCGGCGTACCCTGCACTTTCGCCGCTGGTAACGAAGTTGGTGGTACGGAGGGCCTTTTCGGTATTAGTACACCGAGTACCGGTGACGGTGTGATATCCGTCTCATCCTACCAAAGTCAGGGAGCGGATAGCGAGGGAAAGGTATCTGCTTTCACGAGCTGGGGTCCGACCTTTGAGCTTAAGCTTGCGCCGAGTTTCGGTGCCCCCGGTGCCGGTATCTTGAGCACATGGCCTGTCGCTCTTGGAGAATATGCTGAAGCATCAGGCACATCCATGGCAACTCCTCTCGTTGCCAGCATCGTGGCTCTTGTATCACAGGTAGGTTCCTACAATCAATCGGAGTGTCTCGACCATACCCTGCCCATACTAATTAGACTGACGGCGTACAGGCTCGAGGAACTAGAGACCCAGATTTGATCAAGAGGCTGCTGGCTTCAACCGCAAAGCCAAACCTCTCACAGAATTACGGAGTCGACAACATCGAAGCCGGTCTTGGCCCTGTGCCGCAACAAGGAGCTGGTATGGTCCAGGCCTACGACGCAGCGTACGCAACCTCCGTTTTGAACGTCGCCAGTCTATCATTCAACGACACCGACAACTTCATCTCCGAGACCAACTTCACTGTGACAAACATTGGAGACACAACGGCAACGTACAATGTGTCCCACATCCCAGCCTTGACTGCCACAACTCTCACCGACATCTATCGTCAAAGCTCTCCCGAGCTCTTCACGACGTACGCGACTCTGAAATTTGAACCATCAAGCTTTAGCTTGGAGCCCAATGCCACCGGTGAAGTTCGTATCAGCGTGGTCCCTCCCAAAGGTTTGGATGCGGCAGTTCTCCCGCTATACTCGGGTTGGGTCGCTCTTAATGGTACTAATGGCGATGGTGAGATCGCACTTTCGGTCCCTTACATCGGCGCTGCTACGTCTTTGAAGAACATCACAGTCCTTGCTGCGAAACGCCTCATCTTCAGCCGCAGTGACGATCCAAGAAGCCCAGACGTACCCGCTAACACCACGTTCCAGCTTTCCGTCCCAGCTGCGCATCCTGACTGGGCCTTGCCCCTGGCCAACACTTCGGGTCTCATTCTTCCCCTCGGAGCTTTGCCTAACCAATTTTTGTGGTTGGTCATGGGAAGCTCCGAGGTTCGTCTCGAGGCCGTGCCAGTTGCATCGCTGGGATCTGAGCCCAATCCGGATGCCAAGGACAATGGCCTTGGTGTGGTGAGCCTTGGAAACGTGGCGGGATACCCAATGACTTATGTGAGGCCCATTGGATGGATGAGCCCGTGGGATGGGAGCTTGGCGGATGGCTCTTGGGTGCCGGCTGGCAAATATAAGCTCAGCATCTTTGCTTTGAAAATCATGGCGGATAGAAGCCTGCCGGAGAGCTGGGATCGTTATGACTCTCCAGAGTTCATCATTCGTTACGTGGACGCATGATTGGCAACGTCTCAGTGCACATAGGCCAGGCAAATAGAGGAACTTTGTGGGCAATGAACCATTTGGAGGTTCCTGGATCTGTTCGATCAATTCATTCAAATGCTCATTGAGTCTACCTTGAAGTCTTGTAAAACTGATTCAGCGCCAACTCTTCGAAGGCAATAGCTTCCAGTGCCATCTTTTGGACAAATCCAGGATCAAAGTTCTTGTTCAAGTACGTGATGATCATCGAAAGACCTTCAGTCATGTAAGCATCAACCGCCAGTCTTGAAAAGGGTGAAGGATATGGGCCTTACCCGCTCCGGCTCCGCCACCAGTCCAGAGCTCGCCTTTCTCCTCGCCCTCATACTCCTTCTCCTCAACAACCCACCTCTGGTCAAGCCACTCAGTCTCGGGGTGTACCTGCCTCGCAAATGGCAAGAACTCGCGGTTCGTCGTGCACTTCTTGCCCTTCAGCACCCCGGCGCTGGCCAACCAAGGGCTACCGATGCACGTCGTCAACCAGACCTTCGTCGTCGGGTAGGCTTCCTTGATGAAACGTTCGGCAGCGGGAGGGCGGTGGCTAGGGAGTGGCCCGCCGATGAGGACGAGGTCCAGATCCCTAGGGCAGTCGTCGTAGGTGATGTTGGGCACGAATTTGAGGCCCGGGGTCATCTCGGCTGGCTCTAGAGTGGATGAGATGAAATAAAATTTGGTGTCGACTGGGTGATCGGCCCATTGTGCGAATTCGGGGTCGAAGTCCTTGACTTTGTTGTAATAATCGCGGGATAAGTTGCCGAAGAGGTCGATGCCCATAATATCGCTCAGCTGAACTGCCTCCAACATGACACCAATGCGGATAGACTTCTTTGATCCTAGAGTTGTCGCCATTTTGCCTGCTTGAAGACCGTATTCTCGGAAGAGGCTTGGGGTGTGCGGTCGAGTTAAACGTGGATCAAAACAGGTGCTTAGCTAGCTATCAAAACAAGCCAGAAGATGATGTATCAGCCATGAGAGGTGGTTTTACACTTCCACACAAGAAATAGAAACCTGTTGTCTCCGCACTGATGGAGTTCATCCACCTCCCTCCGGCTTCCCCATCAACGTCTTACTCAGCTGCCCTTGCACATCTTCAAACGTGGAACTCGAACCGCTGTACGGAGTAAGGTTACCTTGGTCCCTATTTTCCCCTTACGCTAGGCTCTAAGTCCGCTTATCATCCGATCGTCGAACCCAATCCCCTCCCCCCGAGCCGAGTGGCCTCGGGGCAGATCTCCCCTAAACCAAGCACACCGCTTGCGTGACTGCTAGAGGCCGCTGCACCGTGCGCCTTGAGGGAGGGGAACGGGTCCAACATTCCACTACACTGGCCCCGATCCGTGATTAGCTCCGAAGGGCATCGGAAGTTAACAAGAGTTCATTCCCGAGGTCATTCGGTCGAGCACCAGGCATCGCTCAGACGCCATGCTGATGGTGGCGCAAGTAACACCAGACTCGGATTGATTTGCCATACTTGCACCCAGACTTATTCCTTCTTGACTTAGGTTGTCGGTAGGCATCGCTCTTTCCAGGCGGCATGGCGAACTTACTGCGACCTGAGTCGATTGGGCCTGGCGCAGCCCCACACCGGACTCGGTTAGCCGGTAGTACGGACATGTCGTCCCTTCCCCGTCTGTCCCGTTGGCTGCCTAGACATGTACGTATCTCGGGACTGCATCTCGGGTGGCAGGCACGGCGGTGAAAGTGGGTCCACCGGGAGCCCGGAGTAACATTAGAACGACACCCGCTACCTCCCGTCCTGAGGCAGGCAGGACGACGACAATAGGAGACATTCCTTGCTGCTGACACTCGTGTAAATCGCACAAAGAATATCCCAAAGGTCTTCCTGCAAATATCTTGATTCTCAATCCGCCAAAAGGCCGCATCGTCAGTATCAGACCATTGCAGCCCTCTCCGTGTGGGATCTTGAAGCCTGGCCTTCATGTTTTCTTTGATTGTTCTTATTCCCGCAACTAGAACCGGACGCTCTTGACCGACTGAGTTGAAGATTTCTGTCGAAGGCCCTCGTACAACATGGCCACCGAAGGCATTGAACCAGCCGAATATGCCTTGATGCAGGAGTTATTCATTAATCCCAAGATCTACCTCCCCACACACCCGAAGAATATCGCTGAGCGGTTGCAAGAATCGCCACATATCAAATACACGCATCACCTCGACGAAATGCCTGAGTTATCATCCTTTACAATTCCAGAACCCATTTTCACCCCCGAGATCGATTTACAAGACGAGAGTGCCAACGATTTCCTTGCAAAGTCCATCCAAGTTTTTCCTCCGGAAAACATCTTCAAGCTGTCCATGGAAGCTTCTGTACCACACACGCGATTTCTACACGCCATCCTGAAACTTGAGCTTCCGTCTCTGAGAAGTGAATTGAGACATGACCTCAAAGCCCTCGGCAGGCTAATATCCGAAACTAAGTGTATAGACTTCTCCTGCAAGCTCAACGCGCTACCTCACGAACCTGTCAATGATGCGAAGGATGAGGGTCTCGGTCTTCCGCTCTCCGCGATACACTTTCACGATCAGCTTATGAGGGGAGCCGAGCCCGATGAACTCGACTACACCGAGGAAGACCTGGCTTACGTTGCAGAGTCTACACACGTTGCATGGTCCAATAAAGACTTTGAGCAGCTGTTTGCCCTGGAGACGGGCATGATGGCAGTAAGAAACCACGACCAAACTTCTCATTATGGCCTTTGCTAAGCTTACCCGATCACAAGCGGGTTGAAGCCATGACTCCCCCGTTGATCATGACGCCTTTCGCTGAAACCGACAACGCAGAGCTATTTATACCAGACGCCGACGTCTGCGAGATACATCAATTTTCCGACCCGCAGAGCCTTCTCGAGGAGGATCTCAAGTTTTCGGGACGCCTCCTGCATGAAGCCTACGATGATTTCGAATTTCTCGATGCCTCTACGTCAGACATTCTCGGTATTCCCTCAGACACACCCAGCTTTGACATCCCCACGCCTCCACGAAAAATTACAGCACCGGCCATGGAAGTTCCGATCCTGCCCAAGTCCGACGAATCCATACCTAGAAGCGAAGGGGAAGAATATTTTCGGGCGACAATGCATGATACCGCAGAGTTCGCCTTGGGGAAAGATCCATGGCCGTTAAGGTCAAGTCCTTGCTCGGAAGCAGAATCTAGATTCAATGAACATTTTAATCTTCTCTTGACGGAAAGAGCAGAAACCATGACTCGGAAGCTCGAACAAGAACAAGTCGAAGTCATAGGCGCCATAGCCAGAATGCATCCTCCAGCCCTCGATTTCAGCACACCCACACCAGACTGGCAAGGAGCTGCCCATGGCCCCCGCGAGATGTTCCTCTGGATCCGCAACCAGAACATTGGTCATCTCACATCATCACCGTGGCCACGGAATCGGCAAGAACAAACGGACCTGCGATGGATCCCTTTTCCATCATCACTGGGTCATGTGGATGTCAGGGAGTCTGTGGAAGATGGGAGAGTGTTGCAACATCTACTCAATGGACGACGGTCTACGGCACTGCCCACGAGCGTCGATTACGTGCGACAAATACGCACCCTCAAGGTGCTACGTTCCGACAATGACGACGAGGAGCTTCCGATGCCTTGGAAAGAAGACCAAGCGGAGAGTAGCTCACCTGCGCCGAGGGAAAATTTGATGCAGCTTATTAGAAAACGCAAACAGGAGCAAAATGCTATGGCTGATCCCATAGATCAGGAGTCACCCACTGTGGGTGTCAAGTGCCGTCGGACCAGCACACAATCGAAGCCGACAAAGACTCATGGACCAGGCCTGCTCCTCGGCGAAAATGAGAGCGACGCCGCGGGAAAGCTGTTGGCCAACTACATGGACCTGCGAGGCGCGAAACGAGTCGAAAGCCCATTCGATCCATTGTTCCCAATCACCAAACGCAAGGCTTCCCAAGCTCCCGCGCCGATCGTTAAACAGGTGTCATCGAAGCATGAAATACCACAGTCGACAATAAAGAAGGCCCCCGTGGACGCACCGGCCCCAGCTGTCAGGCACACAAGCGGCCCTTCGCGCATCATCATCTCTACCACCCTTCCGCGAGAAATTATATCAGCCCTCCAAGCCAAGCTATCCGACATCGATCTCGTAGACCGTGACTTCTCTCGACACAACACTCGTGTCTGGTCCCCCGGAAGCGTCAAGACCGTAGAGAAGCCATCCCCGCTATCCTACGAAGCCGACATCATTCCCTCCCCAACGACAGGCATCATTATCACATCAATCCTCAAAGTCCGACAAAAGCCTCTCCCAGGATCCAAGACGCAATTCTCCCAACTTCGCGATCGCGTAGCGAGAGTCGCACCGCTCTACAAACAACTCCTCATCCTCGTCTCGGAAGGCAACCCCACTGCGGAACACATCGGACCCCTTAACGCAGCTGATGCCGCGGTGTACACCTTCTTCGTCGCTTTCGCATGCTCTGTCAGCAACAGCAATGGCTGCACCATCGAGGTGGCCTACGTGGCCGGCGGCCAAAAGACACTAGCTCACTGGACGTGCGCCCTCGTCTCGATGCACCTCAAAGAAGCATCCCACCAGGTGCAGCAAGTCATCATGTCGGAAGAGACAGAGTGGGAAGTCTTTCTCCGACACGCCGGCTTCAACATGTACGCGGCCCAGGTCGCTCTCGCAGTCGTCAAGGGGGGTCATCCAGTCGCAGATGTAAACGGCGACGGCGGCGGTAACAATCACCAAGACCGGACACTCGTACGGTTCCTGAGAATGAGCCCTTCGGAGAGGGCGAGCGCCCTCACGGGCTTCCTTGGTGGTGGGAGTCTCGTGGACAGAGTCAATGCGCGTCTGGGCTGAATGTTGGAGTTCGCTAGCTGCAAGGGGAAGGCGTTCGGAAGCTGGCGAACCCATCTGCACAAAGTTCGGATGGATTTCTTTGTGTGCTGTGAAAAGAAGGTGTTGAGGTATGGTGTGGTGTCGGTTAACCATACGTACATTGCGTCGAACCCGCATGGTGCGTGCGATTAACCTTCGCTGCAGACGACGATCGGTTGGCTCGGGCGAGGGTTTTGCATGCGAGTTGGGACCACCAAGTGATCTAAATTGGACCTCACGTCTCATCATCGGTCCGCCGAGAACAGGGCCGCCAACTTGCCCAGGTAAAGTCCCGTGTCAGGCACGCAAAAAGACTTCCTCCCAACAGGTGGCGGCCTTGCCTACCAAGTGTGAATCGTGATACCGAGGAGGCCAAGAGTCAAGATATGTTTTGAGCAAATTTTCTGCAAATCTAGCATTGTGTATTCTGATATCAAGTCAAACACGGTAGAAGAAAATGTTGAGATTACAAGTAAAAATAACGAAGAATATGCTTCCTGAACAAACTCCTATTCCAACAGTCTTGGTCCACGCCATGTTGAGGCCAGCCTCGGCCCATGTATGTCGTGACTCTTTTTTGGTGGTCTATGCATACAACACCGAAAACGCCTTGGCCCCAATTTACATGTAATAATATGGTACAAATCGGTGGTGCGAAGAAAGAAAAAAAAGGACGAGAAAGCCGGTAACATTATGTACGCTGCAAGCAAACGTCACATCAATCCATTTGCAGTCTATATGGCATTGGGCGGAATCTTGTCTCCCTTTTCGAGAGCTTGCTTGATGGCGTCAGAGTTGATGACACTCCCCATGACCTTTGTCAAAAGATCTTCATCGGGCTGCTGGAAGGCCGGGCGGAAAGGTGGCAGGGCCTTGGTACATTCGGTCAAGTCATTGATGTTGTTGACGCCGAGGAGGGACATGCGGACATACTCGGTTGCATACGCCTAAGGTTTGGGTTATTAGTCTCGGGAAGTCTATTCAGATGGGACGAGGGTGTGACGCTGCCGGGATAAGGCTTACCTCGTTCCACATGAACTGACCGCGCGGCCCTGCTGCAAATGCCTTCCACACGCCATTGGTGCGCGGATCCTGGGAAACGTTGATGTCGCTCTGGAACTTGAAGACGGCCGGTGGGGCATTGGGATTGAGTGTCTGCTGGTAATAGGCGATATCCCAAGTTCCTGGCGTGCTGTCCTGAGGCGAGTCGGCGCGTGTAGGATCGACGAAGCGTTGCTGACTGGTGCTGTGTGCGCCCATTAGAGCGACGAGACCGGCCGGCGTGAACGACTTGTCTGCAAAGAGCTTGAATAGCTTAGCAGAGCTGTCAGACGGATCCGGCAGGAGTTTCTTCACCGCGGGCGTAGTCGAGTCTTTGCGTCCAACGAAGGTGCGAACTCGGGGTCCCAAGGGGCAGGAGACTGTGGCAACGTTGGAGGCAGTCTGGATCAAGTCGGCCATGGAGATCTTGTACTTTTTGTACTTGGCAAACCAGCCCTCCATGGTATCGCAGATCTCCTCGAGACCTTTGTTGTCGGAGCGTGTCTTACACTCGTTGGCGAGGATGATAGAGCCATCAGCTCCCGTACCGCCTGTAGATTTGGACCAAGACGCTGCGTCGTGGAAACCAAGACGAATGGCGCCACGAGCGACATTGTTGCAGCGGCCGGCATTGCCCACCATCTGTGCGGCCATATCATCGGCAATGTACTTCCAAATGCAGCAATCATCTTCTCTACACTCCGCCGAGTTCTTAGGGGGAAGATCGGAGTCGTCGTAGAAGGTTTTCAGGTCCTGGCCAGGAGCCTCAGCAGTCAGGATATCTTTGATTGCCTGGCCGGTCGCAGTGAGTTCGCGGCCTCGAAGCGTGGCAAGATCGCCAATGAGCTCTGTCGAAGGACCGCCGCCGTCCGCTTGGCGAGCCTCGAGCTTGGCATCAGCCATCATCTTATTGATATCCATGCCAGGGCGAGCAATCGCAACACCGGCTAAGGCCGCAGTGAGGAGAGACGTAGTCTTCATGATTGCAATGGTCCAAGTCCAACGACAGCAAAAAAAAGAAGAAGGGATATAAACGACTGGAACGAATCGAACCCCGCCCGAAGGTCAGGACTACTGAGAGTTGAAGCGAAAGGAGGTAGAGCTAGAAGCGAGAGATGCAGTGCTGGCTCAAGATACCGTAACGAAAGCGATTGCCATCGTCGACTATATTTATGGCAGAGGCCTTAGGCGAAGTGCGTTACGGAATGTTCTAAAAAGCTTCTTTGACTTCCGGCTCATGGACAGCCGGCCGCTAGGACAGCGAAATCCCAAGTCTGACTCCTGACATGAGATGTAGATGGAGCAGCTGCACACTTGGTCGTTCAAGTCCGTCCATGTTACATATCTCTGAGACGGGCCCCGCGGCAGCGGCGATCCAAGCAATCTTCTCGTCCGGGAATTCAGCGTTTTGCTTTTGCCCGGTACCGTCGCTAGCTCTTGGTATCGAAGTTGAAAAGCGGTTCCTAGAAGCCGCCCAGAGTATCCTTGTCGATGCGATGACGGGTATCCGCGCTGTAGATACCATCAACGTTGACGATTGTGCTCGGGCAATCGGCGGGGTTGTTTCGTTTAGCGCCCCACCAGGAGTAGATAGATCACGACCTTATCTTGTGGGATCTGATGGCGATCGGGATGCGACCGTTGCTTCTTCTCGTAACACGATAGAGCCAGGAGAGAAGAGTCCGCACGGCCATTGGTTGGCGGTCGATGCGAAAAGTCAACGGGGAGCCTCGCGATTCCAAGCAAAGAGGACTTGAACAGCGGAAAACATTCGCTCGTCCGAAGATTCTGGTAGTTGTCGGGCTAAGGCTGCTACGTGGGGCATGCTAGTCAGGAACGGCAGTGTCTGTCCAGGACGGGAAATAGTCTAATGGCGAGAACGCTTGGTCGTGGCGCCGTTCAAGTCAGACAGAGAAAGTTGTGTTTGAAGGCCTTACCGACGGTCCGTGTGACGGAACCAGCGGGGAACTCACAAGGTCTTCCTGTAAGAAGAGAATGGCAACATGGTGATGTTGACTTGCAGAACTCAACCGAAAAGTTGTTTGCTCAGTCTATGTATCGGCCGGCCAGGTCGGCGATGACGACACCTGCTGAGTTGTATGCGCTGATGTTACCCGTTCGGCCGAAGAGACTTTGCATGGATAAGAATACGATGGCATGTGAAGCCTATACATCGGTCGCTCTATGCGTATGGTCTTGATATCCGCTGACATGAGCTCGGGTATGCGAGGCATGCCCTCTCAACCTCTGCAGTGACTTTCGCTTTCGACGCCTGCAGCTGGCCTCTCAGTCCCGCCCACAACACGGCCTGGGCCAGTTCCCTCGTCCTCACTCCACCTTACGGGTTCCATCTGATTCACCGGGCAGTGTTTGATCCGTGTGGCTGAACAGTCTGGAGAGGCAGAATAGCTCGGATGCCTCTGGGACTAGACGCTCCTATCGAGCATCGGCGACACCGGGTCTGCAGAGGGCGACGTGGATATTGATCTGCTGTGGGTGTACCATGGTTTCTCGTCAGTGGTTTTAGGCCGCATACTTCAGCAATATCTGCAGTATACCATGCAGAAGGATGCACACGTACGCTATTCGTAGATCTTGGCCATAGTCGTCAGAAATTTTGTTCTCGTTTAACTCGCATGCTGGTACCTCGGCCAGAACCAGGTACAGAAAGAGCCGCTGGTCCGGCCATTACAACGGAGGAATTAGGCCCGTATCACGGTGGCCGTAGTTGTCGCAAGATGAGAGTCTCCGAACTAGTAATGTCAGGCCGGAAACATCATCATGTCCTGAAGACAGGGCAGAATCCTCCGCGTATAACACGTCTGGGGCGTCTCACTTGCGCGGAAGGTTTGGAGCCCTGCAGTAGGAAGCAGCTCTTGGTCAGCAGAGGTACCATGAGTACTTGAGTGCCTCGTGAGTTGTGGTTGGCCATATCGTTCGAGGGTAACGATGATCCTATGCATCGATTCGGAACACTTTGTCCGATACAGAGCGAAGAGCCTCCGAAATTGCTCATGGGCCCTTGGAGTCATCTGCCGACTGGTCCGTCTGGCTTTGGGCTAAGGTCCAGACTTTGAGCGACGATTCGGAGGTGATGCATGTTGATGCCAGATGAGGCTGACCATCTTTGCCCGCGACACCCAGGCCATTGTTCAACTCTTCATCCCCATGGCTGGTCCATCCGCCTGAGCAAGTGGCAATTGCTGATCCCGTGGGATGGACCCCTGAACTCCCGACGGGTGATTGATGAGCGGTCCAGTCCCATGACTTGTCATGAACGCCCTCTGTGCAGCTCACAGCTTCAAAGACGAGAACTTGGCCAGTCTCTGTTCCCGCCCAAAGCTCGAAACCACCGGATGATTCGCCAGTACCAGGGAAGACGTCACAGGTCAATTTCTGTTGGCTGTTGGTGGTTCGGCCGACCAGGACGCTCAGAGGCTGGCCTGTCCCACGCACGTCGTAGATGAGGATGCCGTTTGCCTGTCGCTCGTTGATGGCCAGATAGCGTCCACATGGGCTCCATATGGTTTGGACGATGCCATTGCCTCCGATATCTCGGCCGAAGTGAGACTTGTCAACGCCTTGAATGCTCCAATTCGCAACGGCTTTGTTTGTCCGAGTCACGTCGTAAAGACCCATCCAGCGGGACCAGGTGCCGGCGGCGACGATGGAAGCGCCAGACTCGTCCGGGTATTGGCTTGACAGCGCAGAGACCATGCCCTTCATGCCAACGCCGCCACCTTTGAGAAGATGCCGCTTGGAGGGGATGGTCGGGATGGTCAGGATGGGACCGTCAGAGCCGGTCCGTGATACGTCAAAGTGGTCGAGGCGATTTGTCGAGCCGGCTAGGAAATGGGTCCCAGGCCACGACCACAAAAGTGACTCGGGGCAAATGTACTCTTCCGTCTCCCGTCGGATGAGCTTGTAGGAGCATAGCGGTGGCAAAGAGTGGGAGTCTGCAAAGACGTGGTAGAGCTGGATGGGGTGGTCTTTGCAGCCGAGAAGTGCAAGGTGGGTTTGCGGGTCGGCCAAGGAGAAGTAGGGTGACACGGCTGCCGAGTAGAAGGGTTCCGGTAGATGCAGTTGGCCCTGCGGCGTCAACGTCCGGGGTCGGCCGTTAGGGTCGAGGAGGTCTGGCGGCAGTACGTAGGCCAACAACCGGTTGTCAGACGTTGAGGCGATTAAGGTTGTGCCGTCAGGAGTCCATTGAACTCGACGGAAGAAACTCTCGCGGTTTCCCGGTGCATCAGAATCTCCAGCGGCTAGCTCGGTGGAAGCTACGATGTCCATGGAGGAGGCGGAAAGATCAGTGGGATCCTTGGCCGAGTTTGCTAGGTCGGAGGGTTGCTGTGCAGGGTTCGCATCCTTGTTTTCCGCCGCAGGATGCATCGTTGGTCACGGTTGGCGGGCATGCGATAGGTAATGAAGATGCACTAGCATTACTCAGTGGCGGGTGTGATTGGCGATATAAAGTGAGGCTGGATCGTGCAGGGCGTTGAAGAATCAAGATTCTGCAGGCATGAAGATCGCGGTGATGGTCAGGAAGCTAAACGGGGCGCTATGTGCAGATATTTGCCGTTGAGAAGGAATCAAAGGAACGTGGTGGGAGGGATGGGATGCTCCGCGACTCGTGTTGGCGAGTATGGATGCAAGTGTTGGTGGTGATGGCAAGAAGAGATGCGGTGATGCCTGGGCCCTGAAGCGTTGCAACGTCTTTGCCTTGAATCTGAGGTCGAGTATCAGTATCGAGTCGGGAGAATCGGCAAAGGGAAGATTGGAGCGCTGCATCTGCACCATTTCTGCACTTTCCGTCAGGGCCCTAGCAAGTGGGGAGACAAGTTCGGTGAGATGGCCTTCACCACTGGCCCAAATGGGCTCACCACCCTCTTCACCGGCCATGTGGGTGTGCAGGGGAAGGCCGGGTCATCATATGGCCCGCCTCCCTTGTCAGTACCGGGTAAGGTACGGATAGAAGGGGAGGGCAGGCACGCGGATCAGCAGGATTGTAGAACGTGCCGGCAACTCAAGGACGGGACGTCAAGCTGCTTCCTTCCCTATAAGCATCATGGCAGCAAGGCACCTACCTGGACAAGTAAAGCAAAGTCCAGAGTGGAAGGTAGATACCGTGAGTGCCTTCCTTCCGCGCTGTTCCATTAGGATAACAAGTAAGGTACCTACCAATGTAAGCAACGCTCTTGCGTTTCAGTTTGGGCAGATTCAGGTACGGACATCTCTGTGGGCAGGTGCACAGTGAAGCGGGTCTCTGAGACATCGACGTCATGGGGAAGCTAGCGATGCATGTTCCTGGTCCTAGCGCTGATTGGGGCCTTGGGAAGGGACTTGCCGCCTGCAACGCCGCACCGCGCTGACACTCCAGTGACCCTCTAGGTGTGCCTACTCCACTGCCTGGCTGCTGCTGTGACATGAATTTTGCAGGGCACCTCAGGTTGCGCTGGGTTGCTTGTCCACTGTTTCCCCGTGCTCCGTGCCTCTCCCGTCCTCGACCAGTGTGGCGTCCTCTCCCCCAATACCTACTGTACACCCGACAGTCATCCCCAATCTCCAACCCCGCTGGTACCGGACTTTATTCCTCCAAAGCACCACAGGCACAAGTAGAAAGGACAAGGTACGACCACTTGACCGACTCGACAGCTCAATTCCCCTTCCAATACTGTGCATCTCAGCAGGTAAGACCTTGGAGACATTCTCTCGACCTGTGGCTGGTCGACTCATCATCTCTGCAGTCTACCTTACCTACTCCATACGAATACACACCTATCAATCTGAGCCAGGCAGGCCACCTCCAGACTCCATTTGTCCTCCACCCACTACCACCACCACTTGCAGCCAAGTCGCCGGAGGCCGGACTCTCTCGCGCCTATCTTCGCTACTGCTGACTCCATCGTCCCGTCTCTCTCGTCTCTGTCTGTCGACGACTGCTCCTTCACTTCAGCTTCATCCCCACCCAAATCACCGAACCACCGACAGGAGCGAAGCCAAGGCGATCCCAAACTCCCGAGGCTACTTATTCTTGCTCTTCCGACGGTGACGCAATGCACTCCTAGCCACTGCTTCCTCTCTCAACCTGCCGCTCTGCTTTGGGTCTCCGGGACCTTCGACATCTTACTTTTTGCGAGGCGGCGGATAATCTGCCTGTGGTAGTACCCGGGAAAGAGCTGGTTTCACTACCTACCACGACAGCCGAGGCTGTTCATTGTAGCCCACTTCCGAGAAGCTACATCTTTCAGACCGAAGCCCGCAAAACACCATACTCCGGACGGTCTTTCTATACCAAGCATGGTTGTGACAATCTTCGACGACCGCTGCGCCGAGCTTCGCGCTCCTGGCTTCCTTAACCTGACAATTTCCATGTGAGTCAAGCTCCACGGAGAGTACCTGCAATCTGCCAAACACTAGCTAATTCCTTCCGCACAGTATCATCCTCATCGGTCTCGTCGTCTCCTACCTGCCGCAGCACTACCGCATTATTGCCAGAGGTACATCGGAAGGCATCTCGCCATGGTTCGTCTTGCTGGGAGTCACATCCGCCACTGCCGGCTTCGCCAATATCCTGACCGTTCCGCCCTCGAGACGTGACATTGCCTGCTGTAGCGAGCTGGGCACCTTCGAGTGTGCTGCTGGTCTGCTCGGAATTGCCCAGCTGGGCATGCAGTGGATCTCCTTTGCGTTAATGTGAGCTTCCCTCCTCGAATTTGTTTACCATGGCGTACACTGACTCCTTCCTGTTACAGCCTTGTCCTGTTCCTCATCTTCTTTCGATACGACAATGCGGCTGTCCCCGAGGAGGAACTCATCGATAAGCCGCCTTCATGGCACACTGCCATAATGGTCGGCTCTGTGTGCTTGATCCACGGCCTGCTCGTCATCATTTTGACTGTGGTCTTCACCACCGCGCTCAGAGATCACCTCGATTTGTGGGCAAACTTCCTCGGCGTCATGGCTGCCGCTCTTGCCGCGGTCCAGTACATTCCGCAGATCTGGACGACCTACCACATCAAGCACGTCGGCAGCTTGAGCATCCCCATGATGTGCATCCAGACCCCCGGCGGCTTCCTCTTCGCCGGAAGCCTGTTTGCCCGCCTTGGTTGGGAAGGATGGAGCACGTGGGGCGTCTTCGTCCTAACTGCCTCAATCCAGGGCGTCCTTCTTGCCATGGCCATCTACTACGAATTCCAGGAGCACCACGGAGAGCCGCAGTCTCCTACCCTCGTCCACGAGCCGAGACGCCCCAACCCGAGTAGAACTTACTCGGAAGGATGGGAGCAAGGTCTTCCTGGCCCTTACACCGCCCATCCTGAACGGTACGCCGACACAGAGGAGGAGCTGGAGCGGTTACAGGACAGAGAGGAGCGGCAAGTCGAGCGGGAGACAAGACCTCTGCTGCGCCCCGGCGGCATTGGTGACCCGCACAAGAACTACAATGCCACGGATGATTGAGAGCCTCGAATAGACCGCTCTTCCTTACTTAAGTTTGGCCTCGTCAGTCTTATCGGTACTTATTTTAATAATGGGGAGACCTTGCAAATATTATTCTTTTTTTTTTCCCCGCCCGGCTGAAATGAATCCCCGTCGTGTGATATGTCCGGTCATCTACGTTTTATTGATCGGTAATACTGTGACGCCTGAAGTACACTCCCATTGCCAAGCGTAGCTGAAGCCAAAATGACATGTCTGCCGAGGAAAACCCGAGAAAGTACGAAAATGATCCCGAAAACGACCATAACGAAAGCGAGCAATACGGGTGAAACCTAAACGTTGCAAAGTTGCAAAACGTACCGCCTTTTGTATAGTATTCCATACATGAATCGCGCTGCACGATTTCCTGTATTGCCGTACCTGTGGGCTGCCAATAGTATAAATAAGCTGAGTTGGCACCTCAAATGAAGTTTCTTGGACATCGCAATCATGGCACCGATCCAAGCGGTGGCGGCGGTAGCGGCGGCAGATAGACTGACAGGCAGATTTGGAGTGAGGACAAAGGAGCAGATGAAAAAAGTGAAGAGGGAGCTCTGAAGAACTAGAACAGGAAAAGGTCGAATCGGATAATCCGGCCTCGAGCAGCTTTTGGCTGCAGAGTATTCAGTCGCGCATATGACGAGGCTAGAGATGTCGGGTACAGAGTGGTGGCATACCTTGGGATTGTGGATAGAGCGTGTGGTGTAGGTATGCTGAAGTGGCCTTGCGGTATCGTTAGACGTTACGATGACGTTCCATCTATTTGGGAACGGACCACGAGCTTTTTTTGATAATCACTGTCGGCGTGGTAAGAATATAGAACTGAGTGAAGAACCAGAGCCAAGTGACCAAAGTCGGAGGTTCAAATAGGCACCTTAGATAGTGAGTCCACCATGCCTTTTCATCTGAGATCTCATCGGCTAGGTAGCGACGCGAATGCCCTGTTACAACGGGACTCATCAACGTGAAATACACCAACAATAACATCATCCGAGATATCCGTTCCGAAGCCTTGGTTCAGCAGTCCCGGCAGCTCGTTCACCCCCTTTGCCACATGCGTGGGTCTATTCTAGAATTTCGAGCATCTCCAACGTATCTGACCGGCAGATCCTCTCCTCCTCATCTTCCTCCTCCTCCAGCCTTCAAATGCGTCGGCTTCCAAGAAAGGCCTGCAATGGTATCTTTGGATAGTGCCGTTTACAACGATGCGGTATAGAGAAATAGTTCGGAGAGTTAGCACCTCTAAAATGACTGTATTATGCCGAAGACAAGTGTGACTATGCAAAAAGGGGCCCGGGGGCCGGTAGCACATAGCTTAGCACATCTCCCACAGAGGGCGAGGCAAGACTGTATGCTTCTTCGGACTCGACCGCTTGCCCTGTTCCCGTACCGTGACGTACACTACCCGGCGGGCGGGCTCCCCGGTAGTGACGGAGTGGGATTGTAGACCGTAGTAATCCGAAATGGAATGCGTTAACCATCGTCTGTGGAATAAGAAGGTCAGCAAGATTCCGTCCACCGTCCAACGCCTCAGAAAGGAAAGAGGGAAAGTCATACTTGAACGAAGCACTCTCATCATCCCCCAACGAGTCAAACACCATCCCGTCATCAAGCTTTTCGCTCCCCACCTCCCTCCTCGCCTTCTTCCACCCCTTGCCAGCAGAGGCCATCCCCTTCCTGCCCACAAAGACAATCTCCTCGTCCTCGCTATCCCCCTCCGCGTCGCTCGCCTCGCTCCGTTCCTTCAAGAAACTCCGCACGGGTTCCTCGAGGACGCGCACCCACCCGCGCACAGCAGGCGTCCGCTTCGCCGTGTCGCGCAGATCGCGCGGCACCTCGCCGACGGACAAGCCTGTCGCGGACCCGTCTTTGCGCTGCTGCTTCTTGCGCTGCGCCTGGAGTTTGGCCGTCTTCTCTTCGATGCGCTGGCGGAGGCCGGTGTCCCAAAACTGGGCGACTTGATAGGGGACGACTTGGACTGGGTAGGTGGGGTGGACTTCCCAGTCGCTTGGGAGGGGGGGTTGGGCGTTTGGTACACCGATGAGGCGGTCTATGAAGGGGACAATGTGGTTAGCGGTTGAGAGGCAAAGGGGTGTCACAGGGGTGCGTTAGTCTGGCAAAGATTCTGTTCGAGAAGACGAGAGGAGAAAGAAACGTACCATTCTCCCATCGCCGACGCGCCCTGCTCCCCTCATTCCCCTTCAGAAGCTGGTCCCTCTTCTTCTGGCTATCCCGCCTGCTCAAAGGCCGCCGGATAGGCGTCTGCTGTACAGTTGTCGTCGTCTCGGTGGCAATCGTGACAGCGGCGGCAGAGGCCTTCTTGACCCGCTCGTCGAGGTTGATGGGCAGTGGCGTACCCGTGCCGCGGGCACCAGGGCTGACGCTCAGGGACTCGAGGGCGGAGACTGTCCACGCCTCAATATCGACGGAACCGGCGGTCGCGCTCTGGGCGGCGACGTGGGCGGCGACCGGGGTCTGGGATTGGGGTGACGGCGAGGAGACGGTATTGGGGATCTGGTGGTCGATGGCCTCGGGGGGAGGGACGGCGCTGAAGATTGCCATGCTGGGCGGATGGAGTGGTAGTCGCGTGGAGGGATGAGTTTCGGAGGCAGCGGTTGGATTGGGAATTGGATAGATGAGTGGACGTCTAGGTGTCGAGAACGCGGAGCTGAGAGTTGAGGTGAGGTAGGGTTCAGGGCTGCCGATAAGGAGGCGATAAGGGCGGCGATCGCGGGGTGGAGACGGATGCTGCTGATAAGAGATGGTCTTTTGAGCGGATCGAAGCGAACACAGGCCGAGTCTTTGAGGAGTCTAAGTGAAGGTGTTGTAGGGTCAGGTCGTTGCTCTAAAGGGATACACCGGTGAGCAGTTCTAAGAATGCGAAGAAGTCTAAGATGGATAGATGGACGGCAATGATAGTTGGAAGGAGGACGATGGACGGAGTGGGAATGGGATTGTCAGGGGAGGTTGATGCGGACCGGGATTGGGTTAGCTCCGGGGAAGTGGCATGCATGACACACTCGATTTCGGAGCTTCGGCCAATCACGATGCGAGCGCAAACCACGTCTTCTTTTTCGGCGTGATTCATAACCCCTTTGGGATCACCCGTTGGGGCTTGTCTTTACGGCTCTTGAATCATGTCGACTCATTTCTGCTTGTCTTCCTCTCATACATTTAATGGAATCACTTTGTATCACAACATCGTGAGAGCATGATAGTTGCTTCGAGATTTCGGACTACACAACTTGTGATCCAAGGCCTCAGGCGTCAGGAGCGCAATTTGAGAAAACCTCTCACGGCGGCATCGATACCAACAAGATTTCTCTGCATAATTTAGATCCTCGACACTGTACTCCCCAGGAATAGACGGACATGACAGTATTCGTACTTCAACATGAGCTGAGCACGCGACTCGTTACAATTATTGGTCATGGCACAGGTCAGCTGGCAACTCTTGGCCATTGCTTGAGGCAGTAAAAGCTCTCGACCCCCTTGGATAGGCAAATACACGTCGATAACACAGCGCACATGGTGTGTAAGATGGCGCGGCCTTGCATACTGCTGCAAGCTCGGCTGGGCAACATTTTAAGGTGTCAGGTAGGTAGGGTCATACAAATCGACCAATCATAAATAACCCATTCAAACGACGGACCTGCTGAGTCCTTCATGAATGTTGGGTTGCGAGGTACATGATATTGACGGGAAAAGCACCCTGGCATTCAAGTCTGGATGTTCAATCCAACGTGGCGAATAGGCAATGTATTTTGTCTCTCAAGAATCGTCCCCTCCCCTCCAGACAATCCTCCATGTATTGAACCATCCAAACCCGTACGCTACTTCGTTACAGCAAAACACGCTTCACCCCTCGTAGATTCCCAGTCTTGGTAAACCTAGCGATCGTTTGGAAACTATTGTGCAATATCTGGACAGTACTCAAGCTCAGGCGACGAGTCTTTGAAGTCAGACAAACCATGTGGTCGCCGGGTGATAACGGACATGGCATTGTTTCTGTGCACCTCTCTTGGGCCCTCTCAACTCGAGCAGGTGCATCCAGGCCTTCGCGAACGCCGCAAGGCTCCGAATCAAGAACCTGCTTAAAGGGTCAGTGACTCCACGACATCTCAGTAGCAGAATCCGAAGTACTTGTTGGCTTGAAGAGCAATGGGTCCGTAGTCTCCTGTGCCAGAACATTAGTATTCGTCTCGTATGGCACGTGAATCATGATATGGCGCACTCGCCTTTAATCAAAGTTCCAGGGTCCGTGGCGCTAACCTGTGGTGGCTTGCGCCTTTTCTTCAGAACGCTCGATTGCAACTTTGATCTCCAAGTCTACAAGGTACAAGCCCGAGGTGAATGGGTGAGCAAGGCACCAGCGCTGCGGGTTATGTCGTCCTGATACCTATTCTGATCAGCAGCTGCAACATTGAGTCATGACGAGGGCACAAGCCTTGAGGTGGGCAAAGGTGGGCCGCATGCTTCTGGCGCCAAAGTCCGCGACGGCGCGACCCGGATGCGTGGAAAAGACAAATGAATCGACCAGCCACCGTGAATTGATCCATGTCTCGGACAAATGGGTGGGCGGTCAAGTGTCCATTCCAAGAAGTGCACTGTGAAGAACGCTTCTCAGCTCAGCGTAAGCCTGACCCGCTCCTAAATGTCGGTGGGCGTCCCTGGCGCGAAAAGTTCCAACTGGTGAGATCGCATCAGAAAGAGAGGGGAGATTGCATGGATGATTATTGTACGACTGAGTTCTAGGACACTCCCGCTGTAGACCCCGAAGACGGTCGTTGACTCGTTGAGAGTCAGTGAACGAGACTCACTCCAAGAGTGCCAGTGCAAAGCTCAAAGAGCTATGCCAAAGGATTAGATAAGTGGTGTGTATATCGTCCCTGCTGTTCCGGAAACGCAATGAGAGGTAGGCTCGGCAGTGACAAAAAGAAATCGAAGAGTTGTTTATCGTTAGGCATCTGCTACCTCAGAAGCAAGTTGAAGGATGAGTGCCAAGCTCCTGTGGCCAAAAGAGTGAGATCAATCAGAGATGAAGTACTCATGTGAGGCTACCTCAGAACAAATAGGTGAGTGCCATAGCAAATTATGTGTGTTGTCAGGTTTCTGTTGCCAGAAGAACAAGGAGTGAAAAGTCAAATGTATTGAAACAAAAGACTCGCCTTACTTCTGCTGCCCCAGAAGAAGAAGAGAGGAAAAGAGAAATTTCCGTAGAAAGTGACCGACGTGTGGAGTGCCGATCTCAGATTGCCAAGAAATTGAAGTCAAGTTTCGGGATTTCTGCTGCCCCAGAAATGCCGGTTGGATGTGAAAAGTATCGAAATCTGAGAGAGTGTCGTGCGACGTGTTGCTTTCCTCCCGCCAGAGGAAAGTGGGGTGAAGTTCAGAGGTGTTGAACCAGGTGAGATATTGAGTTCCTGCTGCCCCAGAAACGTGAAGTGACGACAAGATAGTGCCAAATAAGTCGAAAGATATTTGTGTGTCAAGCTCCCGATAACCAGGAACATGACGTGAAAGTCGAGTCGGGTTGGGTTGTCGACTCAGAGTGAAATGCCGAGTTTCTGCTGTCCCAGAAACGTGAAGGAAAGCCAACAATGGCCAGAGAAAGATGTGTGAAGTGTTGGTTCCCCCCGCCAGAGGAAAGTGAGGTAGAATTCGAGGTTGTTGAACACAGTGAGTTGCCAGGTTTCTGCTGCCCCAGAAACGTGGAACGAAGGCATGGTTTGCCTGAAGAGTTGAGGAAGGTGTGTGAGTTGTCGAGTTCCTCCGCCCAAGGAACCTGAAATGAAGGGAACAAAGTGATGACCCAGAATAGAGTGATGCGTCAAAGTGAAGTGACGCGTTTCTGCTACCCCAGAAACAAGATGAGAGATGAAAGCTGAGTTCGCGAGTGCCAAATCGCGAGCCGAGAGTGTTGATAAGAGAGAAATGCTGTATGTTCCTGCTGCCCCAGGAACACAAGAGAAAAGAAAGGTCGATGATTGATTGCATGAAAGTTGAATCATGAACCAAAAATGTTGGTGAAAGAAGTGTGACGTGTTCCTGCTGCTCCAGGAACACTGAACCAAGATCAAAAGTCGAATGAGACAAAGGAGCTGGTTGAGAGTGTAATACCGAATATTTGTGGCTCAAGAAACATGATGTAAATCGAGAGCCAAGAGTTTGAAGTTGAAGATGTAAGAATTGCCGAGTGAAAACAGTTTGCCGAGTTTCTGCTGCCCCAGAAACGAGAGTCCGAAGATACTGTCCATGTCGATCGACTGGTGTGTGCTGTGTTGTTCAACTGATGTGTCGTTGAACAGATATGGTGTTGAAGTGATGTGTTGTTGAACTGATTTGTTGTTCAACCGATGTATCGTTCGACTGATGTGTCGTTCAACTGATGTCTTAGTCGGCTGATGTATCATCCGGTCTGCATAATTGTGTCGGAAGAATCGAGTTGTGTCAAAAGTCTTGTGAAGACAGTGTCGAAAGAGAATGTTGTTGAACAGTGATGGTCGAAACTCAAGGCTAGGTGTGGATGTTCGCCGGAGTCGATGACCGAGGTGATGAGCCTCTGTTGATGGCAGTCTCGAGAAGGTAGTTGTGCAAGCTTCCTGTGTCGAAGCCACATTGCCGATGGTATAGTGAATGTGCAATGGGTCCGCTGTGTTGAGATGAGTGTAGAGTGTTGAGACTGCAAGGAACCCTGGGGTGAACAATGCCTGGCGTGTACTTGATGGTAGGCAAAAGTTCGAAGTCACGATGTGTGTTTACTGGAGTTGAAGTTGAGAGTGAGAGTGAGAGTGAGAGTGAGAGTGAGAGTGAGGGTGTGACTTGTCGAGAGTTTGAGTTACCCAGGGGTGGCAGGTTGAGTTCCAATAACACGATCAGAACAGCAACCAGCCGTCGCGTTAGCTTCGTCGTCTTCGATCGCCCGATCGCAATTCCGACTACTGACAGCCGACACCAGCGTGAAGGTGCGACATTGTCGGCCTTGTTTTTTAAGGAGGTTGTCTTCCTCCGAAGCCCAAACGAAAATTCGAGTGGGTGGGCGAAACCTGTCGGGGTCATCAGTCCCGAACAGGTCGAACAAGAAAGCCTGTATGCACAGCAGGTAGCATATCTTGTCGAGAGTAGACTGGGCGAGGCGAGTACATCCGACCTCAAGCCATCACAGCGGGGCGCGTAACCGACCACCAACCGTGTGCCAGGGCGCGACGAGGCGAGTAACCGACCTCAAGTCGCCGGCCCCCGGCCAGCCTAATCCTCCGACGTCCAGCCGCGTCGGCGCCGCGAACTGTCGTTTCGGAGGGCGAGAGGGAGGGGAGCGAGGCTAATACCATCCGGCAAAACCAGAGCACGATCTTCCATGAATTGGTCCCACCGAGGTCCGAAAGGGAGATCCCAGTCGGGGTGAGCACCGAATTCCCGCACCCGGCGAGGGGTACGCCAGAAGAAAGGCCACTCCCAGATGTTGTCGCCTAGCACCGCGCGCAGGTTTCCCATTGCGCCGAGATCCCACGGGTTAAATCCAACCGTCACATGCTCCAGGCCGTTAGGCCCGGCAATCCCCATCGGCCAAGCCTGCTGGGGGAGGTTCCGGATGTACGCCGTCGTCTCTTTGTGCGTCTGGTTCCGAAGTCCCTGGTTAACCCATTGACCCCGGAATGGCGCCTTCTTCACCCACAGAATAACAAAGGGGAGAGATCCAGCAGCCACGACAACGGGAGGATACGGCCACCTGGTTCCAAAGGAGACCATGGGCCAGCAAAGAACTCCCAGAGAATAAAGGTGAAATACCAATATCCACACCGTAAAGAGCAAGTAGCTCTTCTGCGTCTGCAAGCAGACGGGTACCCACAGCCACCAACACTAGATCAGAATCATTAGCCGGGTCCTGTCACCACGAGGCAAACATGAGATTACTTACATAGTGGTCAAAGAACGCAATGCACCCCAAGTCCACCCCCTTGTTCGTCTTGCCGTGGTACATCCGATCCAGGAACGACCCAGGGCCCTCCCCACCTTCCAGGTCGGCGGTCCGGAGGCAGTGGCGGCAGAGGTTGGGTCGGAACCCCAGGTCGAACCAGTGGCGGGCGGCGGCGGCGTCGGGCAGGGCTTGCATCACCCTTTTCTGGCGCACGAGGGCGCCTTTCGGCATCCGGTAGCCATGGCGCATAATCCGGGAGCAATACAGCCAGGCCGACACGAGGCAGCCGAAGGTGTGGAAGGCGACGAAGAAGTAAATGCCCAGAAGGGCGCAGGCAGTGACGAGGTCGGAGGGCAGAGGGCGGACAGTCCAGATAGGCATTTCCCGCGAAGCAGGAAGGATGAAGTTGGTCACTAATACAGATCACAGGTTAATCTGATGTCAAGATAGGATAGAAAGCAGACATTGGACGAACCAAGAGAGTGACAAACGACCCAAGTCGTGGCGAGACAGTCCACCACAAGCCACACCGGGATCCAGGAGGAAACCCAAGCAAAGGTGACGTTGATGAGGGCGAGGCCCACGGCAACAGCCCAGGCGGCGGCAGCGGCGGCGGCTTCCATGGCGGCGGAAGACAGAAGGCAGATTGGATGAAGGACAAGAGCGGATTGAAAAAAAGTGATGAGGCAGTTCAGCTGATTGACCTGTTGTCAAGTTAGCAAAATTGGATCCAAAAAGTCATTCTTTGGGGTCAACATACAAAAACTCTTGTGGTCCGAAGAAGAGAAGAAGTTCAGAATAGGGGGGCGGGGCGAGAAGAGGATTAAGTACGACGCCCACGAGAGAGATTTTCCGGGCCTCCTTCCTTCTCTGACCCGATCTGGAGCTGTCGTGCCTTCCTCCTTCTCAAAGGTCAGCTGGCTCGTCAAAGGGAATACAATAACGACACGAGTGGAAGAGACAGCGAGGGAAGGCACGGCATATTAAGGGACGGAAGGCACGTCCACACCCAAGCAGCGTTCCAATGTAGGAAGGAAGTACTCCATGGAAGGAATTGCAACAGCTATCGATCATCGTCAGGTAGGGGAGATGAAAATCATGTTCTTCACGTATCCGAGAGATTGGGGGATTGCTGGTGCCCGGAGGCAAGAGAAGAAGACTGTCAGGCAAGAAATCCCCATGTATTAGATACCCATCCCATGATCCTCCGCTATTTGTGTCCTTGGCTGTGCCTGTCAGATCAACAAGTAGCTAGGTCCCCATGTGCAAAGCTCCTCTTCTGAACTCTCGCTCTTTCTCCTGCTGCAAGTTCGAACCTGAACTTGTGACCTTCACAGAACTTGCAGCGGGAGAAAGAGCGAAAGAACTGATAAGGTACTTGCTCTTGATTTATCAGTCGTCCTGCCGTCTCTCAATCTTCTGAGTCTAAGTACCTTACCTTAGCCGCCAACGTCGTTCTTTCCCTCCTTTTGGTTGGCCTTTCTGCCAATCTTCAAGAACCTGTCAACGGAAGAAACAGGAGGAGCAAAGCATCACAGGGGGCCCAATGGCCCTTGGAGGGTAAAATACCTAGGTCATTTGATGGAGGCAAACGCTTTACATGTGAAGTGGAATCAACGGATAAGGCAAGCACCCTCGGCAGCTGTTGCTTCAATGTCACAGATCTCAGATACGTGCTCCTTCTGGGTACCTACCTTGAGTAGGTTCTTCAAGAAAGTGCCCTGTGATCAGGGGAATCGGTCTTACGTGGTCCATGGGCGACTGCCTTACCCGGTCAAGGGTCGATGAAATGTCCGTGGTGAGGTAATACAAGAGGAAGGCGTCCGCCAAGTCAACGGAGATATTGCTTGGTGTTGCATTGAAGCATCAATTCCTGCAAGGGCAGCGACAGTCTAAGATATCCATTGCTGCCTGGGAATTGATGAAATGACGCCTCCCTTCCCTGAGGTATGCTGCCCACGCTTCTAGACCTTGGGCCCCTGACTTCCAAAGAGGTGCCGAGCATTTAATTCAGGAAAAGGGTCGACTTTGTGACAGTGTCAAATACAGAAGGTAACAGAGAGAGGAAGGAGCCATGAGCCCGTGGTCTTTCCCGGGTATTGCAAAGTGACCGAAGGCGAGGTATCTAAGCACCTGTGATGAGGCAGCTAAGGTACGTCGGCTGTTGGAATGAGCTACTGTGATTGGTCAGATGCTTGGCGGTAGATCTTTACCGCCTTCCTCATTGGAATTATGCCGACTGGGAATCCAATGGAAGGTACCTGTCTTCCAGTAAGGTAAACTTACCTTAAGGTGCAATGCTCGCCGAACCCAGGAACCTTGGGTTGTCCATTACTTACCTATAATATGACATATAATGCTGAGTTCACGTACTTCTCGATGCCGTTTCCTTTATATTAACGTGTATGTTGAGAGGGTTGAAGCGCTTGCAGTTCAGAAAGGCGAGTGTTGTGGAATGATTTACCATGAAGACCGTCGTAGCGGTTTGAGATTACACCGAGGACTGGAAATGCCTCAAACTACACGCATTCATTGTGTAGAGGTGTAAACATTGACGAGCAATCCGATGGGGGATTTTCTGCTTTGCGTTCAGGTTTCTCATTTCATCCTCCAAGGCGTTTTTCGCCAAGTTGTCGGACTGGTGAGGAGGTCCAGGTGGCCCTTCACCTTTCGGGGGGATCTCGAGTCTCATTCTCCTTCTTCCGCATCCCTCTTATGCAGGCTCAAATATGCTCCTGAACTTCCGCCAACCGAAAGGCTTCGTGATCTCATTGACGCGAATTGCTACAGACAATTGTCTAAAAGCCTTCTTTGTCCGTCCAGTTTGGACACGATCAAGAGGAGAACCAGTGACGGACGAACAGCGATCTCCATCCTGCCCATCAGGTCCGTTCCGTCTGAGTGACTTCCGAAAGACTGAGACAGGTTCGATTTTGTGCTACCTACCTCATCTCTCTTTCGCTGAGTTGGCCAATGATGACTACCTGTGAACCAAGCAGACACTGGTGAGAGATGTACCTCCTCTTGCCGGTGATGCTTCTACCAATGCCTTTTAGTTTCCACCTGGATAATCCCTCGGCTGGCACGGCTAGGTAGTCAACGACCAATTGGTCACCTAAGACTAAAGCGAGAGAAGGTGCCTCAATTGCCTGCTTCTCCTTGACCCATTGTGGAAAAATCAAAATTGGCCCTCTCTTTTGTCAGACTCAAAGCGTCAGTTACTTTGTTCAATTGTTTAGATCTCCACGAATACATGCTTCCGCTGCCCTAAAGGAAACCCGGAAAGCCCCAAACCAGGTTGCCTGCCGCTGAGAAGATGGTGGTACAATACGCCAACGCCCGACTCTTTCCGCCAGGGCTCGCCGTGGAGATTTTCAATTTTTGCTACGCCTTTCCGCAAAGTACCTTACCTCATCAATACCGAGAGACTTCTTCGACATTCATAGCGTCACATGACCGCCAGACCGCGGGTCGTCACAGGAGGCTCACTTTGACAAGCCTTCAGCCCGCCAGACCGCTGGCTGCAGCGACAGAGCGACCCAGAACGCCTGATTCAGTTCCTTCCATGGAAGAACATCAGTTTCTGACCTTCTTGCCGCATCGTTACGAGAGCAATCGCAGAAGTCTAGTCTCTGCACGCCACACTTACATCTACAGTGAATTTGCAGTTAGCCAAATATCTTCGAGCCGTTCTCTCCTTCGCAGTTCTTGGACAAGCCGCAGGTGCCGCGACTAATGAAAGTGCCATACTTTCTGGGGAATGCTAATCGCTCCTGCGAAAATTGCCCCTTCTAGCCATTTCGACGGCAAGACATCTCTAATAGCTAAATAGACCGCAAGTGCAAGCGCTAGGCCACTCAACAGACGCATGAGTAGTAGTCTACAAGCGATAAATCATCCAGCGAACGTTCCTGTCTTTCGGGGCTCGGATTGAAGAGGTACGCGTTTGAGGTGTAGTTAGGCTTCCAGTCTGCTACTCTGTGTCGCCTTCGGTGCATACCAGAATGGAGGAATAGGGGACTGTGAAACGGCGACCTGTTGACGTGTAATACGACGATGAATGTGACCGCGTTTTCCTGCATAAAGTTCCACTGCATACTTCAAGCTTTCAAAGGGTTTAACTGTGTCAACATGGATGGTCTCCGCATGTGCGTCATGGTGGTGTTTCCAGGTCGTTGGAGCAAAGAAAGCGGTCCCACTTTAAATCCGGCAACGCACCGGTCGCCGGCCCGACAAAGAGACTGTCCAAGTTGCGGTAAATCTTGTCGTGAACAGCTTCTTTGTTCGTCGCGAACATGCTAAAGGTCGAAGACTTGATCATTCATCAGCGCCGAGTATTACTTGGAAATCACAAATTCGTAGATAAAGCTGTCCGCATCTACTCTATGATGATGGCTCCTCACGTGTGCAACTCAGCAAAAAGCCTGTTCCGTATAAGATTCTTTGTTCATATCCTACTTCGCATCCCTCATCACACAGAACGAAAGGTTATATCTCAAAATGACCAGCTTTCAACTTTTACCACTTGAAATTCTCTCGCAAATTGTCTCTTGTTTAGACCAGAGTTATTCATACCTTTGTGATCTCAAGCTTACGTGTCGCCGCCTATCGAAACTTCCGGAACCTTTCTTGCACCGCAAAGCTCTTCAGGACCATACTGTTCTCCTCAAATTGGTGCGAAACGACCAAGCTGATATACTCGAACCGATTCTCCACTACCAAGTCAAGCCGGAATGGGCTGCACCCCAATACTATCTCGACAGCTGCCTCCACGACGCCCTCCTGGGAGGTCACTTCAAAGCTGCCGACGCCCTTATCAATAACGGGGCGGAGATCGTCTTAGACAAAGATGCTGTAGTTCGCTCAAAATGCCCTGAGACGAGGGAGTGGCTGAAAGCTCATGATGCAACGCAACTCGGATCTCTCGCCCTCGCAGCCAGAAGTCGATACCACATGACGTTCTGGTACAAGGTGTGCGCTCCCTACGCCTCCGAGAAAGAATTTTGGGAATACAAGAGAAAGGTCATGAAGATTATTTTGGAAAACCTCGAGATTCAGATTCCAAAACATGATCCGATCCTCGCAGGGGAACTTGACATGGCACTTGCCGAAGCTGCAAATGCGGATGGGCACTCCGTCGAACTGATGGAATTCCTCTTCAATAACGGTGCGAGTGTTAGCTGCAAATCTACACCGCAGGTTGCTGGGAAAGCTTGGCGCAATGCCTTGAGCGAGGAGATACCGGCTCTTTTCGAGGCCAAGGTGGATTGGCTCCTTCTTCATGATGTCGACCCGACAAATGTCCGGACCTGGGAGGGCACGCGAACACCGATACAGTTTTTCCTCCGCAAGTTATATCAAAAATTCGAACGCCCTGAAGAAGGCAGCGCCTTCAGGAATAAGGTCTTTGGTTACATGGAGTACCTCGAGTCATGGGGATGCCTACACTGGCCACAATCCACTCTGAGATCCTTCGTGCTCAGCATCGGAACTGTTCAGATTAACTGCATCATCGACTATCCTCGAACGGAGGAGCACTATGGTTTGCTCAGTGCTGGTAGTGACAAGGCCGATGGCAGGCGGGAGCTCGAGCTCATCTTCAACGAGCCGAACGAATCCCTGGAGCCACTTCGAGTGGCCTTGTCGAGTCAGATTGCATTCAAACACTTTCAAGACCTGGTGACACTGCCGTCACCCACTTTCAGAGAGTGGGTTGACAAGGAATCAATGCCAACAGCCATCCAAAATCTCGATAAGCTGTTCAGGGACTTTTCTGCCTCGTTACCTCGTGTGAAAAGCATTCGTGCTGTAGAGGAGCAAGCCTACAGTAGTCAGCTTGGATCTGACTCATCTGGGGAAGACCTGAGCCTCTCATAGCCAGAGTCAACATTTTCATATCAATTGAGAGTCTAAAAGCCACCAAATCTATAATATAGTCGCTTTAACAATCTAGACCCCATCTGACCATGTTGATGCCCAAAAATGGTGCTCACACTGTCGAGAAATTTTACTCTTCTTTCTCTTTTCCGTCGCTCAAGTACTGTACGTCACTCTCACAATTCACAAAAATGAATCAGCTCATGTGGTAGCAGCTAGCAGTCTGCTGTTCTTCTGTTTTGATTGTTTGACTACTCATGAGATGACTAAATGGTGCCCAGTATCAACACAACCGCTTTAATCCTCATTATGATCAATCTCACAACATCTGATCAATCCCTCAAGCCTCTATCCACATCCTTGTGTATTAACAGGCCTGTATTGATGAAGATACCCGTAGGCTTGCGCTGTTGAGGAGCCTTGTACAGGGTTGACGATAATTCGTGTGTTGAAGACCAGGCTCGTACAGGTGAATAGCTCTTCAGTCTGCAGATGTGAATAGCATCATAGGCATGCGAATGCTCGTTGTAGTTGTGAATGAACAGGCTTGTAGATATGGAGCCTAATTCATGTGACACAGTTCGTAGTACCAGTCTTGCGCTACGTAGTGCTCTGCTTTATTGCAAGCGCCGTATGTGCAGGTTGCGAGGGTATGTTGGGACCAGAAGCGGACGTGGAGGCCAGTATCCACGCAGAAATCGTGGACGTTAATATTGTTGATGTTTGGTGGAAACCAACGATTCTCGCTTTGAAGGCAGCCTTGCCAGCATTCAGGGAGCTCGTGGAGCGGTAGCGGGCCTCTTGAAAGACTGTCTGGGTCCTTAGGGCCTCCGGGCTCTCCAGCCTGTACGATGGACAGACTAGAGAGGATAGTGAAGATGGTAGTGGAAACTTTCATCCTGGTCGTTGAAGAAGCTTGGATTAGGAGAGGCTTAGGTGGAGAGAAGTTCAGGTGAAGAGGAGCCTGGTCGAGAAGAACCCCTAGGTGGTTGTAAGGTAAGGTAGTAGAAGAAGATGAGTTTGTTTGTTGATTCTTTGCTGGTGGATGACTTCTTGGGAGAGGGAGCGCGTATCCTGCAGGGGAAATTGTTCCTTGATATACATGATTTTCCTTCTGTAGCACCCATCCATGTCCCCACGCCTTTGCCACGGCCCTAAACTCGCTCAACCTTAAAATGAGAATCTCTTGGCCCAAGCCGTCGGAGATAACAGTTCCCATCAAGTTCTCCCTTGAACCTGTACCGTTTGAACTCTAGCACACCCTCTAATATCACTAGCAAATTGCTTGTTCGCTTCGGAGTGGCGTATGGCCTTGTCTGAATCCGAATTGAGACACCAGCATTGACACTGAGCCAGCTTCCCGAAGCCACCACTAAGGTTGTCTCGATTTACTCATCAATGATCTCGATAACATGGTACCTAACTGTATACTTTGGTGATCCATGATCCTCGATGAACGTTCCAGGATCATGTCAGGGATGCCTCTACGGCGAGACTGGCGTTGAGGCCATCCACCTAGAATGGAAGGTTAGACGCATAGGTCAGGAGAATGGAACCATATCAAGCCTCAAAGTAAGCCCGAGAGACCCACTACAAGCTGGGGCCCAAGGTTTTCGAGTCACGGAGATAGAATCGTGAGGAACTTGCAGGTTCAGGGCTAGACCAATCGGAGATTGCATACGTTGCAGGCGGCAAGTATTTATACTAAAGGCCCTCATAACCAATACATCGCCGATTCCCCTTTCTCTGGACACAAACGACAAACGCAGAGACAAGACGATGCTTGCTGAAATTCCTCTAGTTGCTTTGTCTCTTCTTGTTCCCACCGGCGAAGGCCCCAAGGACTCAGACAGTCTCTCAAGGACACCACTCTCCCTCCATGAACTTCCCAAGTGCTGGCAAGAGCGCTTGCAATTCAGAAGCACCCACTATCCTCCCAAATTCAACAATGTCAAGGTACACGAAGTTTGCGGCGTTAACGGCTAGCGCCTCCGATGGTGCTATTTTCACGCCCACTGGTAGAGTAAGTTGGGCATAGAGGAGTATTTAAGACAGGCTCTGGCGCAGGAAGTAATCATCACAGCAACAGGCCTAATGACCATATCTAGAAGAGCCAACATACAGCCGGCGCAGTGGACGAGGACAAGAGGGCAGACTGAATAGGAGGATTAAGAGTACTCGTGTTTGAAAAACTATTCAAGGGCCTCAACCTAAACACATGCTAGTATCCCACGGCTGTTAAGAGTATTACAGGGGTGAATACACCGGCGCTAGAAAGAGCGAGTGGTGGCTGGCAAAACATTGTTTAATGGCTACTTATGCAAGTCTGAGTAGCACGGCAGTGCTATAAATCTTTCATGTTCTAGAGATGCTTATTCACGGATCATCGCTCGCGCTTTCTCAAGTAACAAAGCGATAGCTCGACCTTTGATCCTACTCCTAATGGTAAGTATATAGCGCTTTTTATCGGATTCACATCGCCATGTATGCATGCATAAGACATGGAAGAGATGGGCAATTCCACGAGCGCTTTGTCTCTGGGTCGTCGCCAATCACGATCCGACTAGCAGGACTGGCGAACTGGCTATGGGAAGCTGAGGTCAATTGGGTATTCAAGAAAGTTGCTGGTGCTGAATTTCTTCCGTTGTCAGGCCACAGGTCTAATGGCCATATCTAGAACGGCCTCCATCCAAAGGTGTGGAACACGACGAGTGGAAAAGCTAGTTGCCACATGATTTAGTAAAATATACATGTTCATGGTCTAAGCCTCAAGAAGTATTCACTTCTAGCCGGCAATCGGCATCTGTGACACCCATTTGTCATGTATACCTAGTGAGTAAGTTGACGCCAGAGTTATTGAATGATGACTGGGATGGAAGGAATCGAGTGTCTTTGGCATCTTAGGAGGAGGCCACGTATGAGGAGTAAACTTGAACGCCATGTTCTCGGATCGCGCCGCTCACGATGCTGTCCGCGTATCCTCGGAACCCGATGAGTTGACCCGCGACTTGATCTCAGGAGGTTGCCAGATTAGGTGAAGTGGATTCATCATAGACAGATGTAATTGGTTGAACAGAAACATTGGCAATGTTGAATCGCAGGATCAAGCCTCCACGCGCATGAACTTGCCCCAGAAATCACACCTGGGATTGTGTCGTTTGTGAGAAAACAGAGAGCGTTGTGTTTGCGCAGCTGACGAGTGAATAAAGGACAACCTTGGATTCACCGGTAACACAGCAAAACCGCGTTTGCTGCCTTACCTTGGTTCTTGGTGAATGTAACGGATGTTTGGTTCCCTCGAGGCCGTCGTTTGTTTGAAATTCCGTCTCCACCATGACTCGCAGGCCGTGGCCATTCAGTCTCGTCTCATTGGCTAGCCACACGCCAAAGGATGGGGTGCGATGAGCACTAAGGCCCTAGGCTGGCGGCCCGATGGGGCGCCTGCATGATGCGAGGCAGCGAGAGAGAAATTGTTGAGTGACCCTGCCAGTTCTCTCAGGTTCAAGCAGGCGACGGCGGCATCAAGGCTTATTGTTCAGTTGCGTCGTCGAAATGATGGTATTCTGAAGGGACACAAATGCGAAAAGTCCGAGGTTGAACGTTTCTACTACATGACGTAAGACATTCTACGTAGTATGCGTACAGACAAGGGTTAATAAAAAAAGTCCGTCCGATGGCCGGGATCGTCGGATTGACGGAGCCGGAGGCAGCGGATGATAAGGTAAGCTGACAGGTGACAAGGATTGGTCACAGGGGTTGGTTGAGAAAGCTGCAGGCTGTACCATGCACGCCGCACGCCGCACGCAAGATTCTCCCACTCACTCCAAGGTCGATTACCACATCAAAGGGAGATGGACTGGCACACTGGATCCAGATGGGTTATGGATGGATCCCGCGTGCCCGCCCTATGCCGCTGTCCGCCCGTCATGCCGGGCTGATGCTCCAGACCCTTCCTCCGAGCGACCTCGCACCGTTGCGCTGACGAGTAGAAGTTCTTCAAATTGAAAAAAGTGTGAATGCAACGAGGACTGCGTTCTTTGTAACACATCACTTGTTCCTATCTGCGAAACCGACACCAGATATTACAGTACTTTACACACACACAATGACGACCGATACCGCAACTTCTGACCCCGCGACCAGGGTCAAGTCCCACGCATCGACGGTGTCTGACGTTGGGTATCCTCACGGCCACCTTGGTCACCTCAACGAACACGAGGAGACACAGCTCGCCGCCTTCAGAACGCTGCTCGAGGAGAAGGGGCTGTACAAGCCAGGCCCGCCAGCTTCCCACGACGACCCGACTCTGCTGTGAGTTATTCAGCCAGATCCTCTTTTTCTGCCGCAGTCCATACTGCGCCGGAACATCCGGAAGCAGACAGAAAGAATATTTTTGCTGACTTTTTCGCGCCTATCCTTGCAGCCGATACCTTCGCGCACGAAGATGGGTCCCCGAAGACGCCCTTACGCAGTTCAAGGACACGGAGGCCTGGCGTGCTGCCAACGATATTGACGTCCTCTACCAGACCATCGAGCTCGACGCCTTTGAGCAGTCCCGTCGCCTCTACCCACAATGGCTTGGTCGTCGCGACCGCCGTGGCATTCCCATCTACCTCTTCGAGGTCCAGAAGCTTGATAGCAAGACGGTTGCCACCTATGAGAAGTTGGGGAAGGAATCGACCTTTAGCAAGGCCAAGTTTGACGGCAAGACTCCCGCAGGCATGATGCGCCTGTTCGCGCTGTATGAGAACCTCACCCGCTTCACGCAGCCGCTGTCGACGCAATTACGGGACCGCGAACACCGCGAGGCCCCCATTACGCTGAGCACGAATATCGTTGATATTTCTGGGGTCAGTCTGAAGCAGTTTTGGAATCTGAAAGGGCACATGCAGGCTGCTAGTCAGCTTGCAACAGCGCATTATCCAGAGACTCTCGATCGTGAGTACACATCCATCACCAGCGCACGACTATACTGACAGGTCGTGACTAGGCATCTTCATCATCGGTGCCCCCGCATTCTTCTCAACAGTTTGGGCCTGGGTCAAGCGTTGGTTCGACCCTATTACCGTCTCCAAGATCTTCATCCTCAGCCCCCACGAGGTCCGCCCGACACTCGAGCAGTTCATCGAACCCCGCAACATTCCCAAACAGTACGGCGGCGAGCTCGAGTTCAAGTTTGGCGACCAGCCAACCGTCGATCCCGCGTGGGAGGGAATCGTGGAGTGGACGCCTGGCCACGACCGCTTCACGTCACGCCCTGCTATCTGGCGTGGGACCGAAGATGGCACCCGCGTTGAGTGCATTGGAATCGGCAGCGTGAAGGGCGTCGAGCAGAAGGAGGTGATTTGCTCCGTCCTCAAGACGTGGCCGCCCAAGGCTGAGGTGCCTGCCGCTGAACCGACGCCGATCGCAACACCTGCGACCAAGGAAGGGAGCGTGACAGAAGAGGCCGCCCCGAGGACGGAGACCGAGTGGCCTGTCAAGGCCGCTGATGCACCGGAGGCTGGCATGCAGAAGCTTTCCGTCGCCGATGACAAGCAGATCGCAGAGAAGCATGTTGAGGGTAGCACGTCGACGCCCCCGTCAGGACTGGCATAGACTAGTGGTAAAGGAGCATGTGACTTTGAGACTGGGGTTTGCATATTTGATATGGCAGTATCAATTTACTTGGTGATTTGGATGTGGTTTGATCTAATACCCCAGATGGTGATGGAGTCGGTCTGGCAGGGCAAGGCAAGGCAACATGGGCTGGAGTTACATATTCGTCGATTTAATTCGGACATCTATTTAATAACAAAGCATTTGGTATCATTGCGTTGTACCGTCCCATCTACCCAAAGACCCAACATCAAGTAGATCTAAGTTTGGATCATCCCGTCTCCATATCCCCATCTATCGGGTCTAGCCAGTGCGCAAGTGCAACAGGAACCAAACTCTATCATTCAACCCGCCGAACGCCTTTCTGTGCCAAACCGGTCCACCGCCTAGTCGCACAGGGCCCGTCTATCCCGAGTATCCTCTCCTCTTGCGCCACTCCCCCACGCCCTTCTCGATCTCGTTCCACGTCACACCGTCCCTCACCAGCTGCATAGTCACCCCCAAACTCTCCGTCTCCCGATTTCGACTCTCGTCATCAAAGAAGAGCATGTCCGTGAATGGAATACCCGTTTTCCTGAATATCGTCTCGAAATGTTTTATCTTGCTACTAGGGTAAATCTCCAACGGTGCGTCAAAGTACTCGAGTGCCTTCTTCGTCTTCTCTTTCTTGCCGCTCCCTCCTTCCTCGGCACTCGGCGGCGGAACGTGCAGGAGCTTTAGCATGTCCCTTGCTAAATCGGGTGCCGACGTCCGTGACGCAACTGCGATCTTGATGCCTGCTAGTGGGAGAGTGTAGAGTATCCGCGGCACGTCCTGGTAGAAGGCGAAGGACTCGCCATGGCGGTCTGTGACTGCCGAGTGTGTCGCGTTGGCTTTCAGTGGCCCTGAGACGTGGGTATCGACCCAGAAGGGCCAAAGTGTGTAGTCGAGGTCAAAGACGATGAGTTTTGGAAGGGGGAGCTCGTCGGTCAGGATTCTAGGGAGGGAGAGGGAGGTCGAATTCGTCGTTGAGGTCGAGGGCGTCCCGAGATTTGTGGTGCTCCCTCCTTGGGGGTTCTTTGAGAGTTTCTTCGGCATCAGGTCGGCGGAGGAGGGACGATTGGTAAGCCCTGAAGTAGGTCCGAGGCAGTCAGGAAGGCAAAAAAACAGAGGTCGTGGGAAGTTGTTGCAGTTTTTGGAGAAGCCACCGACGAGCTTCAAGGTAGGAAGAGGAGCAAAGTGCCCCCAATTGCAACTGATTGCGATAAGTTTCGTCACTCCATCTGGGTCAGCTTTCTTGGTGGGGGTGGGGGGGGGGGCGAAGCACTGAGTGTCTCTGCTCGGCTCGTGCTTTTGTGGCGGGTGCCTGCTCATCCACACTGGGCCCACTAATTAATGTACGTTCCAAAAGTGGCATTGTGGCAGGTCCCTTGGGAAAGTACTCCGTAATTACGGAAAAATCGAAAAGGAAAAGCTGTACGAAGGAAACATGGAAATTTCCAATTACCATCTATCAACATCTCATTCTCGGCCGTCTCGACACATATTTCCAATGAAGACGAAGAGCATTGAGTCGTAGAACCATGCCGGCGTTCCGTCCTACCGCGACATCTGCTACTATGGACTTTCTCCATGCCCACGAGATCTACCTCACTCAACCAGCAAGACACGACCTTGGGCACAAGACCGCCGTCCTAGCGGGCAAAAAGGGTATCTCGACGTTGGCCTGATTCGAACAGACGCTCCCGAAGGAACAAGATTTCTAGTCTTGCGCATTAGACCACTCTGCCACAACGCCGGACGAGGAACCCGCTTTCAAGCGGGGATATTGGGAACGGTGCCTCGAGGAGTTGAAGTATGGAGCTCTGTATCGTCTGGCGGATCGGGGCTTCGATTGGAGAGGCCATGATCCTGTCAACGGAGCGGTGAAGGAATTGCGCTCCGGATTGACCGCCCCTCGCACATGCTGGCTGGCGTCGGACATTACTATCCTCTTTCGGCAGACGACCGACTTGAACTTCGGCTCCAATAGCTTCGAAGACTGGCGACCCGTCCGGCCGGTTGGCCCACCCCCGAACGTCTTGAGTCGTTGTCAACGGGGCCGGCCGGGCAATGTCCTGCGACTACGACGTCCGGCCAAGCAGCTTTAATCAACACGGCTCCCGGCAGCCCTTGCTGTTCCTTCTATTGGAACTCGACCTAGAAACCCGCGGATTTACGGACTTTCGGGTTTCTGCACCCCGCCGGCAACATGCCGACGATGCACCCCGCGATGCCGCTACCCCACGTCCTGATGATAGGAAGAGAAAAATCGAATGTAGGCAGCAAAGATTGGCCATTGTTCATCAAGAGACTGGTTCCCGGCAAAGTCTAGGAACCTTGTGTGTTGATTATATCTGTTCGGGACTACTTTTTGGCTCCGAGAGCTATGGCCATCCGTTAGAAAGCATGTTTCGCCCATCCTTCACCTGCGTCTGTCTTGGTGGGTGTGCCGAGGAAGCTCTGATACACAACGACTCAACCGGTAGAGTCACTCGGCACTTGAAGTGAGGGAGAACGATACAGTTTGTTGACTCTCCAACTTTATGGATGGTGATATTAAGAAGACGAGCGACAGCTTCAGCCTTGGCGCCTCGGGCTTGTCGCGATTCTCTCGATACATCCTAGTGAAAGCCAGGGCTTTCTCCAAACGCCACGACCCCCGAACCGTCGTCTGAGTTTCGGCACCGCGCCATCTGAAATTACATCGTAAAGTGTCCAACAATAGGGGACTTGCAGCCACCACAACTCCTTTTGCGCCGGACTTAGACGCCCCCAGCGCAAGTACCGAGCGTGCGTGACGTCCGATGGACTGCAGTGGGGTAGTGCGGGGGAACAAACATGGCTCAATCACCCATCCAACGGCATTTGCGCCGGTGAGATCTCAGCTCCAGCTCTAAATATAAGATAGCTCTCTCCCTGCTTGCCTTTTACAAGCAACATCGGAGGACGAGGCTTTGCACCAACAATCAAGCTTTTCCTGAGGTCTTCACAGTCACAGCACCGACGAGCTAACGCCCACCATGCCTGACAGAAAAATCCAGCTTGTCCGCCTGGCGCACGTCTTCTATAAGCACAAGAACATTGAAGAAGCTCGCAAGTTTTACGACGATTTCGGCTTCTACGAGCTCGAGCGCAAGGGCAACAAGACATTCTACCGCGGTTATGGCACGGAACCGTTCGTGTTGTGTGCTGAAGAGGGGAGGAGGACGAGTTCGGAGGTCCGGCTTTCGTTGTGGAGTCCTTGGAGGACCTCGAGTACGCGTCGAAGACGTTACCAAGTGCAACAGAAATCCATGACCTCAAAGACGTACCGGGTGGCGGCAAATGTGTGACATTTAAAGACCCCGTCGACGGCTGGCCACTGCATCTTGTGTATAATCAGACACCAGTCGAGAAGAGGGATCCGGGATTCCCGAATCTCAAGTTCAATTTCGTGAGCGAATCATACAAGAAATCTAGGGTGCTCATGCTAATTACAATAAAGCCAGAAGAGAAGCATCGCGACGTCAACAAGAAGCAGCGTTTCACCAAGCGCCCGGCACCGGTTCACAAGCTGGGCCACTTCGGCGTGTGCCTGACCAACTTTGACAAGGCGTACGAGTTTTATACTAGGAACTTCAACCTGTACCCTAGTGAGGTGAATATCCCAAGCGCACGAAACCGGACTGCAGCCATTCTAACATATGCAGCTCGTCCACGCCCCCGACAACAAAGATAAGAGCGTGACCGTCTTTTTCCGCCTGGCACGCGGCAAGGAATTCGTCGACCATCACTGCTTCTTCTTCCTTGAGGGGCCCAAGTTCCACGTCCACCACTCCTCGTTCGAGACGCACGACTTTGATACTCAGGTGCTGGGCCACGACTGGCTGAGAGAACAGGGCCATAAGCTTTGTTGGGGTGTGGGCCGTCATATTATGGGGAGTCAAATCTTTGACTACTGGTAAAGTCCGCGATGGGAGCTTCGGTGGCTTTCCGATGCTCAGAAAGCGGAATAGAAAGCTGACAAAAGGACAGGTTCGATCCCTCGGGCTTCATCATGGAGCACTACGTCGATGGTGACCTGCTCGACGACACGGAGAAGACGCACCATACCCCCGCCGCGCCGGACAACCTACACATCTGGGGTGAGGTAGAACCGTAGCTGGGAGACATAACTTATGCTAACTGATTTACTACAGGTCCGGAGGTGCCTGCGACTTTCCTGCAGTGATAGCGGACGAGTTCTCGGCGTCTTTCTTGTAGCAAGAACATGTATCGTAGTGCATAGCAATTCAGCACAGACTCCCAGCAGAAGGTCATTCACACATCAATCACGTTCCTGTGCGCCCTTTCGAAATGTAACGGCTCTCGATGATCCCCAGCATTATCGCAAATATACAGCTGTTCCGAAGCCCGCATTTCGCCGTTCCGCACATTCTTCTGACGCTGTCCCGGACCTTGAAGTCTGCGAACTCAGGCTCACCGCCCCACTATACACAAGCGCCTGGCTTTAGCTGAACATCTCTTCGGTGGAATACCACTCCTACGTCACTCGGAGGAAGATGAGACGAGACAAGGTGTGGCTTTGCTGTGGCTTCGCCGCGATCGATCAGCTGACAAGCACAGGCCTGTTGTAGAGCTGAGAGCTGGCTATTTGGGGCTGCCGCAGTTTCGAAATGGTGTCCATCTTTAGTTGCGACTGTGCTGGGGTACTACTCTCCCGAAGTAACCAAGGTCCCAAAAGAGAGAGGTTCTTTGTTCATGATGCGTTACCAAAAGCCGAAAAAATAGAACCATATCGAACGGAAGTATCACTCGATATTCGACTGACGCCACCATCAAATATCCATTCACGGACAAAGCTCACGACCACATCAGGTAATATATAGACTTTCTGTCCCTGAACACTTGAGTACTCCGTCTTGAAGTCATCAGCAACCAAGGTGCCCCAATGGCGGAGGTTATTCGACTGCACCTTGACGTGATGAGCATGTACCCCTGCACCACGATGCAAGCTTCTCAGGGAGAAGAGTGACCAACGGACCCTTGTCCTAGTCTTCCCGTTTAGCGTCGCATTCTCCATCGGCACTGCCTCCCTTTTGCGGCACCGGTCGCCGGCGCAATGTCAAAAATTAACGGCCAAGAGGCCCACGTGTTCGAGCTTAAGCAGTTCGACAGGTCTCCTGGCTTTCTGGATGGTCGAATGGGCCTACAATAAGGAGGGGCGATTGACGACTGCAGCTCTGCTGGGGCGATGGTAAACAAGCTTCGGTTGTCTCGGTTGGCCCTTTGCCTCTTTAGGGCAGGTTTCACTGATCCAGGGGGGCATCGGCGCATCTGACAGCCATTGGTGTGCGGGGGTTAGGGTGATATTGCGGTCGATGATCATTTCGCCGCCTGCAGCTCCCGTCGGCCAGCTTCACATCGCAACCGGGGTAGACGGAGGGCTGAAGCCTGAAAGGCCTCCCTCCCCCTCTTCGTCTGCGATCCAGTGGCACGTGTCAGAGGTGGTTCGTACAAGACGTTCCTGAGCGGCCCAGGGGTAGGCCTTGGGGTATTGATTTGCTTCTTTACTTAAGGTTGACGATTGCCACACACATCGCGAGAAATACCGTCCTTCATTCCGCACCCTCAAGACTTCCGCCGCAAGCCGCCCGCTCTCCCATCCACTCCGTACCTCCGTCTCATCCCCGGACTCGGACCACGTGCCACAGCGTGCACCCATCTCATATCACCATGCGCGCTGACACCACCTTTGTGTTGCTTGCACAGGCTCTCGCCGTCCAGAGCGTGCGGATCGTCCAGTCCAATGATGATGGTTGGGCAGAGCTTTATGTTCGCTCCTTTAACGATGCGCTGAGAGCCTCGGGTCACGAAGTCCTCCTCTCGGCACCTGCTGAGAATAAGTCCGGCTCCAGTATGTAAAGCCAATCTCATTTCAAGGTTCATTCAAGAAGAATACATCCACTGACACTAGATCCATCATAGGTTCCCTCGACGTTGAGCCGAGCCCGCGCACTAGCGCTTGCCAATACAACAGCTGCGCAGCCAACAGCGGACCGGTAGGCTTCAATGAGACCCGGAAGGACCTCCGCTGGGTCAACTCGTACCCGGTAACCTCTATGCGTTACGGTATCGAGCAGTTTGCTCCAGAGCAATTCAACGGTGCCGCCGTGGAACTCGCAGTCTCTGGCCCCAATGTCGGCTCCAACCTCTGGCTCCAGGTCCCTTTCTCAGGCACTGTCGGTACCGCTGTCTACGCCTCGGGAACAAAGGGTATCCCCGCTATCGCCTTCTCCGGCTCCTCGGATGGTACTCTCGCGTGGAACACGCTACCTGTGCCTGCGCGCAGTACAGTCTATGCCGAGCTCGCGACGCGGCTGGTGGATGAAATTGTTAGCGGGGGCGCTCCGTACTTACCGGAGAAGACATGGTTGAATGTCAATTTCCCCAAAGTTAGCGACACGGAGTGCAACGACCCGGACCAGTTCAAGTGGGTTCTAAGTCGGATCAACCCGGGTCTGCTGTCGGGTCCGGACGTGAGCACGTGCGGCGACGACGCCAGGTTGCCCGAGGAGAACACGGTCGTCGGCACGGCGGGATGCTACATTTCAGTCAGCGTTGGTGATTCAAATGATAAGACGACGGCGTCCAAGGAGAAGCAACAGCCCGTGCTGGATCGGTTGTCAGGATTCTTGTCTTGCTTGCCTTGAAGCTGTAAAGAAGGCGGTTGACGAGATGTTGTGTCGATGTATGGCGGGTTGTAAACGACGCAGGGATAACTTATTCATGCGAGTGCTTCGAGCTGTGAGCGGTTGTTGAAAGGGTCGACTTGCTTCTCGCGGAGAAGTTTCGGGTAGACTCGGTCGCGTTTGCGTGAAAGTACATGGATGTACTGGTGCAGGGCTGGTCGCCGCATCCTACATAAAGAGCTTTTTACGGGATGAGACGTAGGCTCTATCACAAACACCCAAAATCGCGAGGGCGAGCCCAACAGCAAACTTACACAGTGAGATACCTCTATTGCTGTGAGCGTAATTGCTACTGTAAATAACCAATTATGATAGCAATACTGGACACACGCACTTAGTTCAACCGCACAACCTACCGCTCATCATCATTTCCTATTCTCGTAGTATTCTCGGCGGAATACTACGTGAAGTCCGCCCAAAATGGTCAGATAAGGTATAGGAATGTGTTGAATATCATTAAGAACCTAGTATTCGCTAGCCTTGACAGTTTTCACGGCTAAGCCTCGGGTATAAGCCCTTGTGGTACCGTTCTGACTGGGTTTCGTCACTCATCTATGCCCTGGTGCTCTTCAACTTCGATGCAACTAATGGCTTATTTAAATAGTCTTCTCTCCCCGGCCACCATGGCCACCGCAAGAAGCCGGCTGGCCCTGAGCATGTGTTCCATAATAGAACTTAATAACCCCCGTTTCCCGTCTCTACTCAAATTCAAGGCCTGTGAGAGACATGTCGCTTTTTGGCTCTGGCATTCAATAGAAATGATGCTCGAGACAGGGCAACTCGCCCTTAGCAAATAAACGATTCACCTTTCAGGTTCATTGGCGTCACCCTTATAGTACTGCTTGTTAGAAAGATAACTTAATTAAATCATATTAGCACCCGGCTTTTGACTCGTGCTCTCTATTGTAATACTTTTCGTCGCGGAACATTGCTTGGGAACTGACTGATTTGGTTTAAGAGGTATAGAACCGGGTTGAATGTCGACAAGGACTGGGTGCTTACCTACCGTCACCTTTCATGTACGTTCTGTACGGAGGTTTTCTGGGGCCCGACAAGGAAAATGCTCAGCGTGAGGCTGTCAAAGTCTATCATCTATGAGAGACCCTGAGTGCGAGAAGGCTGGCGCGTTTTGCGGACACTTTACTGACTACATCCACATCAATAGGAAGGTCAAGGAACTCATTCCAGAGGACAAGCTACTGACGATTAGACTCGAAGAAGGACTTGAATGGGATAAGCTTTGCCCCTTCTATGGTGACAAGATCTCTCAATACCTTACCCCAGAGTCAACGACGCAGCAGAGTTCCAGGCCATGGTGATGAAAGACATGATAGCATCGTGGAAGAAGACTGCGCTCAAGGTTGGAAGCTTTCTTATACCCGTGGCAGGGGCGTCAATTTGGTTCTCGAGACAAATTTAGCTGGGCAGACTGTGTTTTAGGAGACTTTGCCACCTAAGCTAGATGTCTCCACGTATTATTTACGATTGAGGCACCTCTGTATCTTCGCTTTGATCTACTCAATATATTCTTCATGAAGCTTCCTCAACTTAACCATGACGTTCGATTGCCTAACAAAAAAAGAATTCCAGGTCTCCCAATTTCTTGTATTTTTGTTCAACGCGAACTAAATCTCACTATCAATATTGGTATCTGTGTGAGCAGTAATGAATCAGCCATGTGTTGACGTACCTCATACGTGAGAAGAAGTGTTGGGATAGTCTTGTAGATCTCAAGCAGACTGATACTTTTACCAATGCAAGTCCGAGTTCCAGCACCGAAAGTGAGAGACGCACTGAGCATAAGAGATCTTCTGGTGTTAAAGTCTTCCGCAGACTCCTCAAATCTCTGGAGCCACCTTTCGGGGTCAAACGATTCTAGGTTCTCGCCGAATACCGGATGGCGGTGCACAACCCATGCATTAACGCCGACAGTCGTTCCGGGCGGAAGAAAAGGACCGTCCGGTAACTGAAGACCTTCCTCTGGAACAACGCGTTCCAGCAGTAATCCCACAGGCGGGTGGAGGCGGAAGGCCTCCTTGACCACCGCACTGAGATATGGCAACAGCTGGCTCTCTTTCCATTTGACCGGCAGAGATAGATTTCCCCTCCTCCGGGCGTTGAGCAGTTCTTTCTGAAGGAGGGCCATGCAATGAGGATTCTTCAGTAAAAAGTACAGGATTGATCGAAGCGCGATGGCGGTAGTATCTGAGCCTGCCGTGACGTTGCTCAATGTGTACTGAAATACCTGACGGTCGGTGACGATAGCAGGATGTTTTTGTTTAGCAGCTAAGAAGCGGCGGAGAAAGTCGTCGGTCATGACTTCGTCATGAGTGGGATCCTTGGCGAGTCGCTCTTGGAGGCACTTTATTGCAAAGCTGGCGATTGCTCCTGTGCCGCCTCCGAAGAACCTCGTCAGAGGGTTTTTGAGAAGCAAGTAATCGAGACAAGGGATTTGGCCAATCTGAAGTAAATGATTTCATACTTAGCATGGTTCTTGACCTTTTTCAAGAGTTAAATGGCAGTTCTGGGGAACAATTAAGGGATACAAACCACAGCAACGTAGTTCTGAGCTTTAATGAGGGATTCCATAATGTAATCCACATCTCTTGCTTCACTTAGAAAGCCCAAGGGCTTTCCAAACGTGACCTTCCCAATGACGTCAAATGCGTCTGTCTTCCAGTCAGCATGTTCATCCGTCCGACTGGCTCAACACGAAAACACACAAAATTGCAGCCATTTCCCAATATCGCAGACTTGCTGGGCCGAGGCGAATTTATCCAGCCTACCGAGCAGCGTTTTGATGGTGTCGTCAACACCTTTCTCAAATGCTAGCACATTACTCATTGCATAGGTGGCAGAGACTGGTCGTTTGATAGAAGAGTGATGTTCTTCATCCATTGTCGAAAACAATGTAGGCGCTAGTCTTCCCTCCGCCATCTGCTGTGCGACTCGATAGTAGGCACTCTGCAATATGATTAGTGAGTGGTGCACGATATATGTATAGCATAACACTCATTCACGCTTACCTTTCTGTAACTTTTCTTGATACTGTAAACAGTCTTGAGTACTTCCAAGTTCTGCACGCTGACAACGGTGGGGCCAAGGCGCACATACTGCCCATGTCTTGTATGTAATGCCCAGTGCGTCTCATGGGCTCGTCCCTTGGCTACATCGACCAGCCTCCACGCGTTGGTGAATTTGGCAAGAAAGGGCCCTGGTATAGCGGATAGCCTACTTCCACTTCGAAGGTAGACCCAAAAGAACAAGATACAGAAAGTAGCGGTCAAGCCGAAGAACGCTTGACAGAAGAGACCAGTCTCTGTGATCAAATTAGGAAGATTCATGCTCGAGATGCAATGGTTAAGTTGATGAGTCCGAAATTACGTTGATGTTTAGTCTGAAAGATGAAAGACTCCGCACTGGTTGATCACTACCAAATTGTACTTGATTCGAACCTCACTGTATGAACACTGACTGACGGTGGCCGCTCCCTATTCGAAAGCGTGTTTTCTTCTGTCGAATGTTCATCTATGAAGCCACTATATTTATTCTTGGGAGCATGTGGGTACGGCGAAGTCCGGAGCCTGGGACTTGAGCGTTCCGCGTGCGAAGGTCAAGCTCAAACTTAAAATTGGCCATGATAGGCACGAGTTGTCCGTCAGACACCGAGACGGTATTCCTATTTTGACCGCGCGCACTCGGTCGCCTTCAAATGGTGACTTCCACACTGCGAGCTTGTCCTGAAATGAAAGATCTATCTTGCTATTTGCGACGCCTGTTTTTGAAGCGTTCAGATAATAGTTAGTGCTTCCAATCTCTAGAAGTAGCGTTCTGAATCTCGGCCTCAGAAATCCATCTGTAAATGTAGCTGATGCATCTGGTCACCTTCCTAGTGTCTCTGTCCTGCCTTTATTGGAATCACAGTAAGATTGCATGGGATCATCTCCATGCGTCAGTCACTGTTCACCTTTTCATGACATCATTTATCGAAGCTTTCAGGAGATGAGATCTAGGAGGCCGGCCCTTTGGCTCTTCTTTGAAATTGATGAATAACATTACTACAGATTGTGCCGCGGCAAAACTTGCGCATGACCAGCCTCCCACTTCTTGAACGCGTCAATACTTTCCCCCAAGGCATCAAACCCCAAAATGACTCTGAGGTAGGCTGTATCCGCAAAAGTAAAGCCATCAGGTGAAGTGTCTTGTGGGCCAGATCTAAGCCAAGCGTCCCTAGATTCCTGGAGGGGACCGTCCGGCAGGTGGTAGGCTTGCTGATTTGATCTCGCCCCTTGGACATTGATGGTAGTCCTAGACTTTCTTAGATTCTCGTAGATCTCCAGCAGGTCCAAGATAGAGTCTTTGGATTTGTCGTATAGACCTGAGGTGACCAACTGCCCAAGCAATATCCCCAGAACAGCGCCGTCTTCTACCGCCATTGCAGCGCCCTGTGCTTGATACGGCAGTGTTGGATGGCATGCATCGCCAAGCAAAGCTATAGAGCCCTGTTTGAAGTTAGCCATGAGCCACAAACACTCAGTTAGGGGAGTGCTTGCCTTCCGCCAAGATCTCAGTTCTTCGTGGTGACAAAGCTTCCATTTCAAAACGGACGTAACGGATGACAGCATTTTTGTCAATCTTCGCCATCCTGGTCAACAATGCCACCGGAATCTCAATGAATACGACTCTTACCTTCCATCCCAACCCAAAAACAGCCCCCTCATTTCTTCCACATCCCCAGGCGCCTGTCGCACACGTTTAGGGATATCGTCTGGACAGATAATAACGAGGTTAAACACTTGGCCGCCGCTAATGGGATAAAGAACGCAATGCTTGTTGGGACCCATCCAGCATTTGACAGTCTTGTGCTTGATCAAGTCATCTATTTGAGGGTCTCTCAGATCCTTCATCTGCTGAAGGGTCAATGTGGCTCGATATGCGAGATCTCCTGTCTCGGAGGGAGGCGAGGGTCGGCCAAGAATCTGGTCCCTTGATCTCGACCAGAGACCTCCAAAATAGTCAGCCAGGACATTTTCACTAGGCTGGATAAAGGTCAAGGAAAGGTAACGGGGAATGTGGGCACAACTGACCGTCAGCACCGACGATAACGTCGCCCTTCACGATTTCGCCAGTCGCTAGATGGACGCTAGGGACCTCAAAATCAATCTCAGCAGCCTCCGCACCTAGTCGCAACTCTACGCCAGCCTCCTTGGCAGCGTTCCATAACACATCGTGGTAGTCTGGTCGAGCAATCACCCTATTATAATGTCAGCTTCATCAATGAAACTCCAAGTTTGAACGCTGTGGGTGGTTGCGATAACTGACATCCAAGTATCACCGTAAACCTGCTTGAATTTCTCACCGCCTTGTATCTGGTACAAAACTTCACCATCTTTGTATCGAAGGTAATCAATTGAATCGATCAAGGTAGCCTTGTCTATTAGTTGCGGGAGAAGGCCAAGCTTGCGAAGGACCCGGGCAGCGTTGGGGGGTATCTGTATTCCAGCGCCGACCTGCCAAACCCATGTTATTAGGCGAGCCTTCAAGTCTCCAACTTCGTGGTGAGTTGAGGTGGCACTTACAGGTTGCAGAGCGGGAGCTTGTTCAAGTACCACGACTTCGAGGCCTTCGCGACGACACGAAATGGCGCACGCCAGGCCACCAATTCCAGCACCAATAATAATCACCTTCATATTAGTTGCAGCAAATTCGTGGTGGGGTAGTGTTCAGGTAGGAAGATTCAGTCGGGATGGTAACCGGAATGTGCGGAGGAATGAATAGGTGCCATCTTCCATGTCATCACTCATATACGAGACTGCTCTGTGAGAACCAAACTATTAGCACAGTGACACGTAAAGCTGATGGAATTGGCTTGCCGAATGGGGGAATGCTGACCGATGTCAAAAAGAGCTCGGAACGATGAGTTTGCCGGCATTGACCGAGCTTTGCCGATGCGGTATTCAACGGTGATACGACTGTCGGTGACCCTGTGACTATCTTTCGCATTCAAAGACATTCATTCCTGCAAGTTTACAAAAATTGCGTTGAATCGTCAAGCAAAGCTGCAAACAAACATGCGTGGCCACGGTTTTTGGAACGTTTGCGCCTGTATCCCTCTGAAGGGGTCTAAGAAAAACGACACCGCATTACATATCAATGTGTCACATAATTGCAGTATCTATTACACTATGGAGGTAGATACCAAGCTTGTACCTGTAGAACCATGCCAATGCATCATCTCTGCATGCTGTAAAGCATCTGCATTCTCTTCCTGCGACCTCCGACTGAATGATGGGTCTACGCTGTCAAAGGCAACCGTCACAGGGACACAGGCTTAGGCTTCCAAACTCCGCTGAGAAGTCGTGAAAATTAGGATTTATGTTAGATAGAATTTACAACGAGCCTTGGCAAACACCTGGGTTTATGCTCAACTATGACTACCTACATATGACTGCATGTGGCGTCTTGCACTACGGCATTAGGTGAGTACCCTCTTTTCATAAGCTTACTGCATGCCCACTATGTCAGCCGGTGCTTTAAGCCGCTGGTGGCATGACCGGCTTCCCTGCATCCTCAATCCTGCCAGTTACAAAGCCGAGAGGAACGTTTGGACCCCAAACATGGAGGGCGTCTGGTGCTTCGGGAGAACGCGTAGCTTCAGTATCCTCATTGACCAGATCACCGTCGCAATAATGTTCAAGAATGTTTCCAGAGCTATCAAACCTGTGGGGAAAATATCAGGTTAATAGACTATTCGGCCCATGCTCTTTGGAATCCTAGGAGATGCGCCCATGCTTACCAGTAGTCAAAGAGTTGACTGCCCAGGACATGTCGTCCTATTCCCCAACAGTTGGTGTAACCATTCTTCAGAAGCCACTCATGGCCGAGGGCCTGGGTGTCCATATCATTGACCTCAAAGCTAGCGTGGTGAACAAACGGAGTCTGGCTGAACGGATGGGCGCCGAGGAAGAAGCTCTGTGTTCGGGATCAATAGATGTCATTGCGATTCCACGGAAGTGCTACTCACATGATGGTCTGTGAAAGTGATGCCTTTATCGATGTGCATGAAGCAAGTCGTGTCCTTGTTCGTCTGAGGGTCGAAGACCGCATCGGTAGGCACCAGGTTCATGAGGCCAGTGTACCATTTCAGCGTCTTTTCGTAACTGTCTTTGGGGACCATGAACCCGTAGTGCCCTAACTTATGAATTGGACTAGGCCCGTAGTTGAAACGCCTGAAACGACCTTTTCTTGGTTTTTCGTCAATAAGGTTGGTGGAGGGGCTCTCATTGTCAGCGATCCGGCTCTTCTCTACGTCGTCAACATTGTTTCTTGAGGCCTGGCCGTGAATGAAGCCCACGAAAAACCCATTTGGGTCAACGATGTCCACCCTTTTACCGCCACCGGGACCCTTCTCGTTCTGAATCCCTGTAGCGTCAGGATGCTTCGCAGCGATCTCTAGGTCGCTCTCAGCCTCGACAACCCAAGTTGCACCAATAAAGGCGCGGCGTGAGCCGGGAGACTTTTCAGCTGCATAGACGTAGGGGTCAATACCGAACCCGGCGAAATAGATGCGCCCATCCTGCCGAGCCACCTCTTGAAGGCCAAAGTCTCCGAGAAACTGGGCTGCTTTTTCGACGTCAACGTGCTGATACAGCACCGAGGCCAGGCGAGCGACGTTGATTTTCTTGGGTGATGGAGCCATTCTGAATGTGAATCGTGTTTAGTATTATCTCGAGTTGAAAAAGGCTTGCCGACATCAAATTAGGTGAGGGGTAGACTCTTTGGTTCATCAGAAAGGCTATTCGTATTATTGAATCCATACACTCTATGTGCCAACAAAACTTCGCGCATTTATCCATCGTTAACAGCAACGCGGTCTAGATCGGGTTTGCCGTGAATGCCGCCTTTTTACCCGCGTCTCTCGGAAGAAGCGGACTCTCAGTGCCAAGAATCCAACTCTATTTGACGGCAATTTCTTCGTAGTCTACGGACTCCGCGATGAGAAAACTTTCGTTCAATTCTTGACTTGATTGCCGACGGCGATTGGATTGCTACGGACCAGGGATTCTTCTTCCAATTGCTCACTCTGTTGACTCCGGCGACACACTTTCGACTATGTCTTTCAGCCGACTAATTCGTTTTGAGGAAGATGGTATAAGTCACTATGGTGATCTCATCGACTCTAGTGACGGAAAAGGCTCCGATGTCTTGGAGCTCAGTGGTAACCCATGGCAAGGTCTGAAATACACTGGTCGCAAGATCAAAACTCCAAAGGTACATTACTTCATGCGCTCTACCAGATTTAGCTTTTGCTTACGACGAATGCACAGCTTTTGTGCCCTCTGGAGACCTGTCCTATCATCATCTGTGTAGGACTCAATTACAAGCAACATGCAGAGGAAGCAAAGGTCTGTTCAATACTCAAGTCCTGCCCCCATAACGCCGGGTTTCCCCCAAACTGAGCATTCTTTACTTACGTATAAATCCACTTTGTAGCTGAAAGTACCGACCTTTCCCGTAATTTTCACGAAACCTAGCGATGCTTTGGCAGGGCCATTGGATGATGTCAAGGTACATCCTGATGCCCAGGTCCAACTTGACTATGAGGGAGAGCTCGTGGTCGTAATTGGACGTGATGCCAAAGATGTCCCAGAGAATCAGGCTCTCAGTTACGTGTTGGGATACACAGCTGGGAACGACGTGTCTGCAAGGAATTTTCAACTACCAGAGGCTTCTGGTGGGCAATTCTGTTACGCGAAATCTTTCGATGGTTTCGCACCTATTGGTCCCGCCATCTGGTCAACTGAGTTGGTGCCGGATCCCCAAAAGCTTCATCTCAAGACAATCGTCAACGGCGAGGTTGTACAAGAGACGGATACCAGTGATATGATCTGGTCAGTCGCCCAAATCGTTTCCCATCTCTCTCGAGGAACGACTTTGCGGAAAGGAACGGTAATTATGACTGGTACGCCCTCTGGGGTCGGATATTTTCGAGGCATTTTCCTCAAGGACGGTGACTTGGTTGAAGTGGAAGTCTCTGGACTTGGCCGAGTCACAAATCGGGTTGTATTTTAGTGTTCAACAAGCATGGTAGGTCTGAGAAATGTCTAGAGTGCCGCAGCACCATGACAGTGTGAGGTTTCCATTACTAGAACAGCCGAATAAAGTTGATATGCATATTCTAACGATTGAAACTCTCCAGGATACCTGATCGAATGGTAAGAGAGAAACCTATAGCGAAGTCGCTTAAGTCAATGGTTGGGCTCAAAACAGTTGAACCCATGGCTATCACCGCATACTAGATATTCCATCTGCATGGGAGAACACCAGTTGTATAATCCTTCAAACGTGTTTGCTGGAAGCTGTGGTGCCTTATCGGCACCCTCATTCAGTTCAAATCCAATGTCAAATAACTCCTCTGGAGACTGACAGTTATCTTCTGGCTCAAACATTCCTTTATGGACAGATCCGATGCTGGGGTGATGCATCTTTGATCGAGTTTTGTTCGTGGCTTCGAGTGGTGCATTGCGCAGTTTCGGGTGAGAGAAGTAGATCTTGCAGTATTTCCGTATCGCGCATTGGTTCCCAAGGAATGACTCATCGTTCTTTGACTTGGAGTTTATCAGGCCTGCGTGAATTGGTATTATTAGACCTGGTGAATGGGCTCGGTATGGAAAGGGATGTACTTACCTAGTAGCACAGAACCCAGCTTCCAGAAAGTAGCAAAGTGGGACAGGATCAAGGCTGAAAGCTCTTGGTTACATGATATGCTCATTGGCCGTGATGAGGATAAAGAGGGGTAAGTGCGGGCAGAGAGAAGTGTTCCGGCAAAAAAGGGGTGACTGAGGGCGATGTATTCGGGGTGCCAACGATTGAAGATCCTCGAATAATCGTCTTCGAATGTCTCGACATTTGAAAACGGTGTTGCTGCCAGAGCGGACAGACACGCTCGAGTGTTCGTCAGCATAAGGTGCATGCCAATAATCCAGTTGGCCTTTGCAAAACTCCCGGCAGCGAAAGCAGGTGGGTTGGTTTCCAATCCATGTCGTTGAGACACCGCAAGACAGAAATAAGTCATCGAACTTGTGAGCTCGCTATGGTCTCGCTGAGACTTCTGCCGGCCTGAGGCTGTCTCGTATGCTAGAGCCATTATATAGTTGGCCAGGAGGAACCATGCTCGTTCTTCCTTGTTCGGGGAGTCGAGCAAGACTTTCCAAGCCTGTGTTGGATCCAGAGGAACGACAGGTGACTCGCATGGACGGTTGGAGAACCACGCTTCATCGCTGACCGGGAGACGCACGACGATTCTTTGGCTGTTGAGTCCTCGCGGCCTCATTGACAGGATTGAAGCAAAGGTATCAATCTCCCATACAAGCCAAAATGCTCTCCTGCGCTCTTCATCTGCTGACCACTCCGCAGCCGCCATCTCCATGTCGTCGTCTTCCTCGTCCACACAGCACAGATCCAGGTCGTAAGCTAAGCGGACGCATACCCCGGTGAGGATCCATGCTTGATGACTTGGGCCGGAGGTGTAGAGGTAAAAGGCCAACAAGATACACCCCTGTAAGTATTCCAAAGTTGTTTCGCCATCGGACGATCGTAGTTTGGCGTAGTATTCAATTGCCCGCTCAGCGAAACTTTGTCCACGATTTGGCGATGGCAATCCCTTCAAGTACTCATGATTCGAGTGTCGGGCGGCAAGGGCAAACATGCCATGTAACAGCAAGCCCTCTTCTAGCGAAACCACCAGTAGCCTATCCATTTGGAAAGTGCAATCGACCACGTATTTAGTGAAGAAGTTTGGCCGATGAAGTAGTGGTAACCATGCTTGGATCTTGTCGAAGTACAAATTGACGAGCTCTGTGACCAACTCTTCAGGTATCTCGGTCCAGCTCGCAGTCTTTTCTGTGCTTCCATTGCTGCTGGCCGTTTCGAATTCGACATTTTGACGAGAATCGGGTTGAAGATAATGACCGAGTAAGTTGGCGGAATTAGAGCTTGAAACCACGACGACGTGTTGCTCCGCATCTTCTCGACAAGTTCCGATCGATCCGGAGTAACTGGGACTCGTAGCACTGGATTGAACACTGCCTTGGTCTCTTCCTGGAGATTCGCCGGTGGAGCTTTGGCTCTTTGGGGTCTCGTCAAGTCTGGATTCAAGGAGGCTGACAAGATGTTCTAGCAGAGAATTAGTACAGATAACAATTGATGCATGTGAGACTAGGTCTAACCAAGCCTTTGGGGATCTATCACGTTTGCTTCCTTCTCTTTCGCCGGTCGCTTCCTAAATTCAGGGGCTTTCCTCTTTGTCGGAAATGTACAGGACCCTCCTGTTCTACGACAAAGACCGCAAATGGGTTGTCGCATGTCGCCTGCAGCTTTGTGGTCAGTGACATCTCAAGAAATTACAACAATCAGGTGGTCCTTCCATACATCTTGTTTTCTTGCTACGCGGAAAGAAGTCAGTATCGGCCATGAAGAAAAGAGCAGACAGTGATGTCGACTCTTGGTCTTCGGGCGGCAACTCACCGTCGGCACTCGATACAGGCGCGGAATCCCCTCTCTGGGGAGGCAGTTGCAAGAATATGACTGTCTTTTGAGATACGGGCTTCTATCGTCGTCCCAATGCCGGCGGTACTTGCTTCGACCTCCATCTGTATTAAGCCTGTCTAACGATGTTGAGGAAGGCGTTCGTAACTATGGGGTTGCAAGTCGCGGGCGATCCGGACAGAATTGACCTCGGGAATCGTGATAGTCTGGACAATGTTGCTTGTATGTACACTGTGCTCAGATGGTGTTAATGAACATGTCGATGTATGAGGGAAAGATCAAGCGGCTTGCAGTTATGCCCCGCTGGTTACCCCAGATTCCAAGCGAGGGACCGTTCCGGGTTCACGGGGTGGCATGCGGGGGCTGGGGCACAGGCCGCTTCAGTGCCGCAGGGGGAACATGATCGGCAACGCATTCCTCATGGGGTAACTAAGGCCAATCTTCTACATGAATTTATCTTCGAACTACAGTGTCGAGTAAATTTATAAATCCTAGCCGAGCCATCAGCGAAGCTCTAGTCTTCTCTTGTCATTCTTTCAGCAGTTGCAAGCCTACATGTCACACCGCAACGTGACAAGATACTGGTAGCATGTGGCTTCCGGTTCGAATGCCAACATCCGTAAGTATGCTGAGATAACGACGCTTCAACACAGCTAAACTTTAAACTTTGCCGAATTGGAGATGTGAACCGCCGAGATGGCTATTTGAGGTCAATGCCCATGTGGGGACGGTCAACCACGGCATTCCGAGATGCCGTCCTAGGTGGTCACATTAGCTAGGCACGTACGGCCAAGAAAAATACCAAGATACTGCCGGGCGAAGCTTTCGGCCGTGGACGCCGGCGCGGCCGTTGTGCGTGACAATATTCTCACCTCATGGAGATAATCATGTACAAAAAGCCCGAAACCAAAATATTAAACGTATTGTGTTATCTCACGAAAACATAGCCACCAGTCCGAAAAACGTGATATCGATCGTAAATTTGCTGGTTTAACACAGCTTGGTTTGAAAAGGTTTGCGATGAGTTCAGAGATTGTATGTCAAGTTCTGCTGCGCAGTTGCCTATTTCAAAGTGTTTATTACTGATGACTCCGCAGGCAACTGAGCACGATGTGCCGGTTCTGGTTGTGGGCGCTGGCCCTGCTGGGTTGCTTCTAGCACTGCAACTGGCAAAGAATGGTATTCGAAGCTTACTAGCTGAACGAAACCTAGATACAACCAAATGGCCAAAGATGGATATCACTAATTGTCGAAGCATGGAGCTACTGAGGAGACTCGGGATTGCTGATGACCTGCGGGCTCAAGGTGTCCCGCAGCACTATTCTTTCGATGTCCTGTTCAGCACGGGCCTCTCAGAAAACGGGGAGCTCATTCACAAATGGGTATGCCATTATCTTTCCGGATATATTTCCTGGCCAGGAATTTCATGTGCTAACGAGATGGTAGAATCTTCCTTCACCGGACGAATGGCGACAACGGATGCACACTTGCAATGATGGAACCATGCCCAGAGAGCCATATCAGCGCTGCAGCCAGGCCATCTTTGAAGCGTGGCTAAAGTGTCGCTTACAGTCTGAAGAGCTAATTGAGGATCACTTCGGCCTCAAATTCGAAAGTTGTGTGGAAACTCCCGACGGTGTAAAGTCGGAACTCGTCGACACCGTCACTGGAGAGCGACACCTAGTGTCCAGCCAGTATCTGGTCGGCTGTGATGGCGCTGGCAGTAGCGTCCGTCGACAACTCAATATTAAGGTGATTGGTGGTCCCGTGTGAGTTAGCATGATTTTCAAATTGCTGGCAACTGTGAGTGTCTGACGAGGCATTTTTCAGCCCTTCTGCGATGTATCTCATCCACTTCAAATCACGAGATCTTACGGCATTGCATAAGCAAGGTCAATTCTGGCACATCTTTTTCACCAGCGGCAGCGTCATAATATCTCAAGACGAAATCGACACTTGGACCATCCATATTCCCATATCTATTGACACGGATTGGAAATCCCTTGATCCAACAGAGTCTATATACCGAGGTCTAGGCGGGTCTTTGGCCCCTTATCCTATCAAGGTCGACGAAATCCTCGTGTGCAGCTCGTGGCGCCCAAATATTGCCGTCGCAGAGCGTTTTGCGTCGGAGAGCTTCAAAGTTTTCTTAGCTGGAGACGCAGCTCATCAAAACATTCCCACTGGAGGATACGGCATGAATACGGCTGTCGGCGACGTCTTTGATTTAGGCTGGAAGCTATCGGCCGTTCTCAATGGTTGGGGAGGCGAAGAGCTGTTCCACTCTTACGAATTTGAACGGAAACCGGTTGCCATCCGCAACATCGAACGTTCTGGTCAACATTTTCAGGTTCACCAGACATACGTCAAGTGGGTAAACGATGAAGGAGCAGATATCCTCTCCAAGAAGGAAAAGCGTAAACGTCTGTTTCATCGCATCAAAACATACACCGAGGCCCACCAAGGCGAGAATAAGGACCACGGAATCGAAATGGGTTATCGATATAACGGATCACCCGTAATTCTCCAGAATGAGGCTGGAGAAGTGGAACAGGAACCTTCGTGGAATTCGCGAACCTTTGTGCCATCTTCTTGGCCCGGTGTTCGTGCTCCTCATGTCTACCTCAAGGACGGGGACACCAGTATTTTCGACCTGTTTGGAGCAGAGTTCTCGATCATTGACTTCACAAAAGCTGGGACTTGGAGTCAAGAGTTTGGAGCCGCAGCTGCTGAGCTCAAAATCCCGCTTACGAATGTTCACTTGCCAGAAGAGGCCCAGGCAAGAAACATCTGGGGTAGAGACGCCTTCCTTATCCGTCCAGATGATCACATAGCTTGGAGGTCGCCACTTGACGGGAAGGGAACAGATGTGAGAGGAGTGCTAGAGATTGCATCAGGCCAACGCCCACAGACACAGACAAAGGAAACTAACCCATATTCTTCTGCATTAGAGGGCGTCAAACAGCATGGATTTACATCAACCTTAGGCAATGTCGTAGACGATAGAGTAGATCTTCTCGCCCCATTTCAGCGCTAGAATGTCTTGAGACTCCCAAGATTCTGTAGCACCTCATTCTGTTCTTTGGTCTACCTCATTATCATCATGAAGTCGCACGGGACAATCGCGCTTTGCCATTCGCAAACATAGCAAGAGCTCCTCCGGGTATCACTTCATCAAGAAAATGCCTTTCCAAAATCACAATGGTTTTCTCTTTCCTTTCTCCCTGCATCGCTCCTTCATTCATTCCCAACATGGTGCCCAAGCAACGCTATTTTCCTAGCACAATGGGTGTTATCATTACCGTAAAGAATGAAGCAGAATTCGCTAAGCACCAGTCACGAAGTAACACTCGTGGAACCCACAAATGGGGAATGCATGGGCAGACTGCTTCTAATACTGCGTGAATATTCGCCGTCAGTGAGTCTGTCTACTGTCCATTCTATTGTTAGTGCCTGATTTCAAAAGAAACTTTACTAACAACTCACTTGCGACCCGACGATCTGAACGACACAGTGACCTCAGAACCATCTTTCGATTGACTGAAGTCACGCGTCAGATCGTCAACTTGCTTCATTGTGGTGTCCAACTTCTGCACGGTCTCGATAATGGTTTGATGATGGAGATCAAGACGGTGACAAGAGTTGCCTAGATTGGTGCCTATCGGCGTGCTCTCCTGAAGACCCTTGTAGTGCGCCTCCATCGCGCGGAACGCCTGAGTCTCAGAAAGCAGAAAGTTGAGCTTTTGATTGATTTCGGTCAAGGAGTCATCGATGTCGCTGGACCACTTGCGAAACTCCTCTACTTCAGGGTTGGTACCAGGAGATGCCGGCGTCTTGGAGGAGGTATCTGCCAGTCGGACATCGGGCCATTTGATAGCGCTCGTCTGTACCTAGGGAGAGTTGTTGTCAGCATTACGCAGCTCAGTAAATACAGAGCTTTTCAATACCAGGGGAGGGACAGGACGAGCTCCTGGGAACTGTCCCGGCATCTTTGGCCAGCAGTCTCCAACTGTGATCTCACGTTGTCGCTTGTTGTTAGGGGGTTGGCGGTCCATCTCTCTAGATGCCATCAGAATAACTTTCGGGCCTGCCCATAAATGATCTTCGTCGCGTATGATATTTTGTGGTGTACAAGAGTCGTGCAGAGTGAAGAAGACCTGCGTGTTCCGCGGTTGACAGTGAGCTGGCAGGGGCTCTTTGCTATATCGCGGTGAGTGCTATGTCGCGGGAAAGGCTCAGGGTACTCTTGATGGTAAGAACGGGAGGCATTTAGGAGTATGAGATTGCGGAAGACAAATGTCACGCCTTGTAGGAGACGAGGGTGGTTGTCTTGGTGACCAAGGCTGACTTCATCTCCCACCTCGCCAGTTAGAGGTTTTACACGTAGGTACGGCACGAAATCATGTGATATCTACATGATGCGCGTGCCTATCGAGCCCTGGGCCCTCCTTATCCAATCACTTCACCATTCTCCATTGCTTATCTGGTGATCGTACTCGAAATACGCAAAGGTGAAGTTGCTGGTGGGGTGAAGCCTCACAGAGCCCCACAATTACCCCTTTTGGACAAAGACGGCGAAACGAAGTTCAGATGAACAAACGGCAGCTTCCTTTGCTGCCTACGGAGACAGGCGGGCCGTAAGTGTAAAGCCAATTTCCAGTTTAGCCGCTGGGTCTTCATTTTTCTTTGGCCATTTCCACTGACTTCGATTCGATGTCTTCCACTTGATCACTACGCGGTCTGATGTATGTGTCACAACCCGCCATCCGAGTTTGACCTCTTGTCGTAACAAGCGGACAAAGTAGTCCTGTATACCATCCAGTCTGGGACTATCATGTCTAAGTAGGTCTTTTCCATCTATAAGAGATGGTATGTTCTTCTAGTGATGCCCATCGCAACAATCACGGGGGAAACGTTTCTGATGGTATGAGCGAAACACAAACACGCCCGTTACAACATATAATTGACGTGAATATAACATTTGAAGCCAAGCCTCCCTCGCCAAGTGGCAGATAGATTTTATCGTATCCAACAAAAAGGAAGTAAGCGAAGCATAGGTACCTGAGTCAAGCTGAACTACCACAACCTGGCTGGCCTCGACTGACGCTTGTCAAGTCGTCCGAATCGGGATGTCTGCTCATGCACAGACAAACTTGACTTTGCAAGCAAAACCTTACCAGCCCAACGGTCAATGCCGTTGAGTTCTCTCTACTTTCCGATTCATCAGAGATTCGAACTCGAGAAGTCCAACTTGGGAGCTGATTGGAGGTCTTGGACACCGTTTTGTCAGCTTGTTTCTCGGGAGGCCATCGCCGAGAATCCAAATCGTGATAGCCTTAACCAATAATCTTAAAATTCAAAAGTTCTAGTCGAATCTTCTTTTGAGCTTGATTCCAATCCTTAAAATGCACCCTGAAAGATAATTGTATGTTCAGCTTCGAATACCTTGAGCCAGGGTTTAATGTTACGTTCCGTTTACCCGCTTGCAGAATAAAACGATCGCAACATGACTAGGCTATCGCCGTCCCATAAACTTCCGCATGGCCAACGATGATCCCTGTGAAGATGAATCATTCACAGAGCACCATCAGTAGGGCTGCCAGGACAGGAGCCGGGTGGGCGGATACGACACCCTTCTTGAGGTGCCTTTGGTCTCAACAGAAAGGTATGTTCAACCTGGTCTACGAGGACCAGCACACGCACCATCTGTTGAACGTTTGTGGCTCTTCATCGCCGCCAAGGCTGTCTACCCGCCTTGGCTGTGCTCTTGGCGTGTTGTATGAGCTGCAGATATCTCGTGAACACTACCGCAGAAGAGCCTCACCACACCAAGCATTGCGAATGGGGGCTTGTCGCTACTTGGCAGCGCTTGGCGCTTGGTTCTTGGCTTTCCATAAATAACCCTCCAAGCGCAAGTTCGCAGCATCTTTGCAAACGCCTGCACACAGCCACTCAAAGTTGTTCGTGCCACCAGGCCCCATGTCTAATCTGTCCTGTCTGACTTGTTCTGAGTCTTCGAACCTCTCGCTGCAAATACGACTTCATAATCTTTCGTAGAAATTTGCCTTCGCTGATCGCCCGGAGCCGAGATGACAGAGTTGCCCCTGTGTTTAGACTGGCTTAGCCTTTCGGCGCCGGCTAGCCGTTTCCCTTACCTTGGATTGGGCTGGCTGCCACTTTGAGGCTCGCGGATGCAGCCGACAGTGATTGCGAAGGCATGAAGAGAAAAACATCAGACACAAATGCTGCTTTCTTTGCCCTCCCTCCCAGCCCGGAAGTTGGCTCAACGCCCGCTTGTTGTCTTGAATCGGGGAGGAAAACTGTAGTTCAAAGCACAAACCTGAGTTCGTGCCGTGCGTAGCCCGCGCGCGCGCGCGCTGGTTGGTGTAGGCCGACCTGGACTAGGCGCAGCAAGGATCTGTGTGGAGGGGAAGCTAGTGAAAATGTCCGAACACCAAAACGAAATTCCACTTGTAGCCGCAAAGCTATGACTTGCTGGAGAGTGACATGTTCACAGCTGGAAACAAACTAGGTTGCCCTTGGTTAGGGCGGCTGGGCCTTCTCAGGTGGGAATGGTGGTGAGCTTGCTGATATGGAAAAGGGGACTCCTTTTCTGCTCTTCGACAGCGAGAAAGGCACAGCAGTAAAGTCAAAGTTGCGGTATCTTCGGATAAGGAGGGCGGATATTTGAGATGACGCGCAGCTTCAGGGCTGCCCACCGTTTGGCTCTCACCCGTTGCTTGTCTCGGCAGTGAGAGTCAAAATTGCGCCAGTTTGTAACTCCCATGAAGCTCCCGTGATGGAGATCAATCATTAATCAAGTTGGAATCAAGTCTAGTGGATCTGATGATCTGGGAAAACAACGTTGTATTACTTGTATCTTAATGACTCTTCACCAGGGGGCTTCGGGAGCGAGGCGACGGCCGAAAGGTTAAACGGCGTAGTGCCGGCAACAGGTCTGCGGGTGTGCGCCGGCGGTCTACTGGTCAGTGAGCAGCTAAATTGCAACCGGAATAAACTGTTACTGTTCAACCGCCATGCTAGAAGTGTAAACCAGCCCAGTGTGGTCGTAGTCCTCGGGGACCTCGTTGCAAGTGCTCTTTGACCCTACTGCGTTCATCCTGGCGTAACTTCACGGACCAGGCCTTGGAAGAAGGCAGTGAAAGTTGGAAGTGGGAGAGAGTGTGCATCCCAAAGGCAAGATGAGGAAGAGAAGGGGGGCTCCAAGGTTTGTTTCACCCCCGGACAGAGTTCGCCGCTCGCGGCCAATCCCCGCCGACGGCCATCCCCCATCAATGACTGTCCTAAACTTCTGGACGACAGCTTATCAACCGGACTCAAGGCAATGCGTGTCTCAGAAAGGCCGCTGTAAGTTCGGCTTACCCAAAGGTGAAAGGCAAGTACAGCCCGTCGTGGATGCACGCGGGGACGTACGTCGTCTGAAAAGTTGTGCCCCGTGCATGCCGAGAGCGACATCGAGATCAGTGCCTGAAGCCCTCCAGCTCAGCAGTCACCAGCAAGTCGGAACTTAGCTCCCCCTTGCATTCGAGGCGTACGAAGAACAGAAGCTTTAGATGTCTCCCAGTATGTCGTCTCTTCCCCCCAATACGCACGCACTGAAACGACGTGGGCTAACCATCAATGCTCAGACCGCTAGAGGGGTTGGGCTCTGCAAGGCACGGTCGAAGCTAGAAGATAGTGAGGGATCATGACGTTCCGGGAGAAGGAAAACGAGGCGTAAATAAGAGTCATCGTGCTCCCGTTCTTCTGCCCTGTTGCTCATCCCGAGCGTGACTCTGTTATTCAAGGGCGTGCCAAGCAACCATGGGATAAGGGACCCTGATCACGATCACTACACTCAACAACTCAACATGAACACCTTCAACCCTCGTCGGGTCTCGTACCTCAGGCCGCCTACCACGGTCATTGAGGTGCGCGAGTCTTGGGCGTCGCCATACCCTTCGCTCAGCTCCATCGGATACCCCCCTTCGGAAAGATCGGCCGATGAGAGGTTCGCATCTGCTGTCTGGAAACGCACTTTCAACCATGTCGACTACGCAGCGTATAAGGCAGCCTGCGATGCCGAGAGGGAAGCCAAGCCGGAACGAGATCCTGATGTCTTCTCCACAACCTCGAGCGGAACACGGAAAGGCTTCTCAAGACTAGGTGCCATGCTTACCATTTACCCATACCGTGATATGGGATGGCTTGTTACCATGGTATTCATCGGGGCCGGACTCTGCCTTGCTTTAAACGGCATCTTCAGTCTCATTCATCTGCTCGACCCCAAACTCGACTTCCCTGGCCGCGACACAGGTGTACAGGTCACGGTTACCCTAGGCAGCTCTCTGCTTGCTCTCAGTGCTTTCATGGGCCTGCTCGCTGCATTCAACGTCGACAGAGGCACTCTTGACCCGAAGAAAGATGCTCCCGATGCCTACAAGCCAGCACTCCTCGGTAGCGAAGAGTGGGTCTGGTGGCCCAGCTGGTACGAATTCCGCAACATCTTCTGGCCAAGCTCAGCTTTCCGCGCCGGCATCCTTCAACTCCTCGCTGGGTCTTTCTTCACCATCGCCGCAATAGCTATTCTTCCCGGCGTCCTCGACCTCACACACCCGGACGCCTCCATCATCTTCGTCTCTGCACCTCAGCTTATTGGCGGCAGCCTCTTCGTGCTTGCCGGACTTCTCATGATCTTTTTGTCCCAAGACAAGTGGTATGTCCCAAAGCTGCTGGACGCTAGCTGGCAAAACGGATTCTGGAATTTGGTCGGCGCAAGTGGATTCCTGGCTATCGGCGTGGTAACCTTACTCGCAAAGACTGCGACTGTGGCAATTGCCTCATTGTTTCTTATGAGCGGACTCGGGTTCTTGATTGCCAGTCTGATCCAGTGGTACATCATTATGGAGTTCTACCCGGTCGATCCTTACGTAAAGGATCCTAACCAGGCGGCAGAGATCCCTTCGCAATCTATCTATTAACGACACCT